CTTCCCTAATCCAGTTATTACTAGAGCATTCCTATAATCGTAAATATAGCAGAAAAATGAACGCATTTCCTGGTGGTAAAGGGAGCTCTATGAAGATGTCTTCTGAGATTTGGAAATTTCTCCAGCATCTAAGCCAATTCTTAAATTCTTCAAACAAGGCACATATTCATCCTCTTGTCAACGTGAGCCACTTAGACTAGTCATCCAGGAAATAAAAGAAATGTTTCATTGGTTTTGACCAAAGATTTATGAAGTACAAAGAGATCCTGGGGCATGTGTTCCCTATTTGTTTATGTGAATTCATTTAACTGTTTGACTGAGAACTACATGTCATTCTGTTCCTGATCACATAATTGGTTTGATGATAAGGTCAGAATTTTCATCATATCATTCCAGTTACTTTTATTATGATCTTGATGCATCCTTGATTCTCTCTCTATTTATAAGAAAAAGAAGGAGGGGGAGAGAATGAATTTGTTGGAAAGTCTTCTTAGAATTGCAACTCTTTTTTTCCCCTTGAAGCAAGACAAATAGGAATTTATTTGGAACTTCTGTTATTAAGAGCATACAGTAACACATCTGTATCTATGGGAAATATGTTCTCAGACAGTTTGCAGTTTGGGTAAGTCTAAGCACTGTTAAATTACCTCACTTCTAGTCCCAACATACAACAGAGTTGCATTAAGGGTTTTGAGAAACCTATAAATGTCAAATGTTCATAATCTGTATAGAAAGGAATCTCAAATTCCAGTTTGCTCAACTTGAAATGGTATTTTCTTATTTGTTTTCAATCTTTCAAATGTTTGTTTATAAGAACACCATTGAAAATTATGGCCTTCATTTGACTTCATTTTATATTGATCTTGGTCAAATTACAAAATATCTTGACAAGTCAGCCATTTTTTCACTCTTATTTCCTTCCTATAAAATACTTCTTGTGTTGAAACCCATAATGGCATTTCAGGGCATAACTGGTTTGCATAGGTTTCATATTCTTAACAAGATACATCTCAAAAAATTATCAGCATTCATTTTAGCTTTATCATACCATATTCATTCCACACAAACATTTCCAGATCTAGTAATATCTTATTCATCATTAGAATCCAATCCAGTTAAGAAAGTACATAAACACACAGGGAAGAGAGAGCGTTAAACATTAAATCCATTAAGAGCTTTCCTGTAAGTTGTTCTGTTGTTTTGTTTTTGTAATTGCACAGATTCTTTTGATGTTCTGGACCTAGATGGAATATGTTGTTATTATGTATATTAAGGTAAAGGATAATTACGTAAGTATACAATATGTAACTGTGGTTATAAAGTTAAGATCTATGAGTGGTGATTCATGGAATGCCTATGGGGATTTTGAAAAGGCCAGTGTTTGACAGTTCATGAGGAGTAAGAATAGAGTCGAAGATTAGCATTAGTTGAGTTTAGAGATTTGAGTGATCAGGAGAGTTAGGGTAAGAAGTATCTAGGGTTAGTTAAGATATGAGAAAAAGATGTAATTTAGATGTATTTAATAAGTAATCTGTGAAATTATGTTCAATTTCTGTTTAATAAATCATTATTTTTATATTATTCACTTGAGCATCCAAAAAAGTTTCATATTAGAAAGCTTGGGTTCAGGCATGTGGTTCCATTTGATGCTATAGTGGTGGGACAGGAGAAGGACATCACATAGGTGCCACAAGTGGAAATAAGCAGAAGACGGTTACATTTGGTGGCTGCAGCAGTGGGACAGGAGAATTTTCGCACATTGGTGCCAGAAAGAGAGATAAGTGAAAACCCTCGCATTTAGCGGCATGGAGGGATTCGTGGAAAAGGTCACAGTTGGTGACTATCACAGAGGGATAGTTAGAGGTAACATTTCTGTTTGTTTGCTTGTTTGTTAATACAAACCAAAAACTAGCAAATGTTTCCATTGGTGTTAATAATGTTTAGAGCAGCAGAGGGAGACCTTTAGCCCTGAAATGTTTAGAGCAACAACTCCCATAGTTCTTTATCATATCTGTATTGGCTGCTGCCTCTAGGATTTGACTCAGAGAGCAAAACCTTTACCATTCCTGTGTTAGAGTCTGAATTAGGAACTTATAGGAGAGAGAGAGAAATAAGGCAACAAGAATTTTATCTTAAGTATTGTGATAGGCCACATCATGAGAAGAAAGTAAAGCTTAGAGAAGACAATTATGCTGGGGAAAATGGAAGGAAAAAGGAAGACGGGCTGACCAAGGTCAAGATGGATGGATGGCATCCTTGAAGTAACTGGATTGACCTTGAAGGAGCTGGAGGTGGTGACGGCTGACAGGGAGCTCTGGCGTGGGCTGGTTCATGTGGTCACGAAGAGTCGGAAATGACCGAACGAATGAACAACAACATTATGATAATCAAGTTTGAATCTGACAGCTGTAATAACAATCTTTCTATTAATTCAACAAAAAGATTTCTAGCAAGAGCACACATTTCCTTTGAGTAGAGGCAGACATCGATTAAACCCCATCTGATTAGCAGTCTCACCATAGCAGTGTTCCCTGTTGCTTTGAACATAGCTTTGATCCCTATATATCAATAATGTTCATAATTTGTCTGCTGAGATGCATCGTTGTCAGTTTAAATCCACAGTAACTGTTTTTGCGTTCCCCCCTAAAATATTTTAATGATCTTTGGCAAACTATATTCTTTCTGTTCACTTGGGCAATCCTTTTCCTTCACAAATCTGAAGTATTGTGGTTTTGTATAGTTCTTGAATGTCTTCTCAGCCTAAGCATTTCTGCTTATTTCCCATAGTGCAACCAATATTTAAAAATAGGGTTTCAATGGTGCCTAAATAGGGGTTCCATGGTGTTGAATCAAGAAATGATATATGTTTTAGGTGATACAGACAATGAATGCTTAAAAGCATGGTAGCCATACCAGTCTTTCCTTGGACAACAATTCTGGCCACACGAGTCCCCAAAATTTTTTGTGGTCTTTTAGTCACCACTGGCACTGCTGTTTTAACAGCAGCACAGTATCTAGCAAACCCCTCGCCCTAACCACCAAGGATCTGAGATTTATGTTCCTGGAAGCCTAAGAAAAATCACACTCCTGGAAGCCTCCCAAAAGCCTCTGAATCCCCTCCTTCCTAACTGCTTCGTTCTACTTTGGAAAGAAAAAGCATAGTACATTGGTTAGAATGTCAACAAAGGAGTGCGGAAACACAGGTTTAGATTTTTTTTTCAGTCATGGCTACCATCCACAGGGGCAGGATGCTATCAGCACACTGATGACACCCAAATATTTCTGCCTTCAAAAACAGCTTTAGCTATGTGTAGCATGTCTCCTCTGAATGAATGCCTGGAGGAGGTAATGGGCTAGACAAAGGAAAACTAATTGAAACTGAATCCAGACAAGAAGGGGATGCTTGTCACTAAAGGTCCTACCCTGGGTATGGAGGTGTGTCCACCAGTTCTAGATGGGGTTACACTCCCTCTGAAAGACTATGTTCTCAGCTTGGGAGTGCTCCTGAATCTGTCTCTCCAAATGTCAGCCCAAGTAGATGCAACAGCTGGAGTGCCTACTACCAGCTTCAGCTGATATGCTATCTGCACCCCTTCCTAGAATCGGAGAACCTAAAGATGGTAGTACATGTGATGGAAACCTCAAGGTTGGACTTCGGCAATGTGCCTTACATTGGGCTAGTCTGTACTAAATTTGGAAATCCCAATTAGTTCAAAACATGGCAGCCAGACTAGTTACAGGAACATCCAGGAGTGAGCATATGACATCTATACTACATTCACTCCACTGGCTTCCAGTTAGTTTCAATGCAAAGTACAAAGTGTTGGTTTTGAGGTTGGTTTGGCTCCACGTTACCTTTAGATTGCCTTCTCCCATACAATCTATGTGTTCTGGGGGGTGGCTACTCCAGCCTGCCAGAACCCAACAGCCAACTGTCACCTAGAGGGCATTTCATTAACTGCCCTAAGACTGTGGAATCACCTGCCAGAAGACATTTGATACCTAAATCAGCTGTCTGAATCTACGATGAACCTGAACACCAATCTTTTCTAGCAGACCTACCCAGTCAGTTTTACGTTGTGAATTTTAATCTGCTTTTCATCAGTGGATTTTAACTCTCTGTATCTTGTTGTGTCTGTTTTAATAGTGTTTTATATCTTGTTTTAATGAAGCTGTAGCCCATCTTGAAACGCGGGGAAAGATGGGAGCACTGCACTGCTCCACATCATAGATGGAATGGTAAAGGCACGCCAACAAACTAGGAGGCAATCATAGAGAACTTTATTGTCACTTTCACCCAGGTGGATGCAAATATAGCAAGTTTGCAGCCATGAGTGCTGTATATATCTGTACTAGTACAGTATGACCTCTTTTCTCAATTTTCTTTTTAAACAGAGCCCTATTGATCCTGTGCTAGAGAAATGTTACCCTGTTTATCCTGGGATCAGAACAAGCCCCAACATCAGGAGGAATGAAATAAATGCCTCATTCAGTTGATGCTGAATTGCAGGGTTGCTAGAATTAGATATATGGTTAACAGGAAAAGATTAAGCAGGCCTTTTCTACTCAGGTTTACAGTTTCATGTAATGCTTTTCATTAAAAAACAATTATCTGATATACATAGGGGAACCAGACCTGCTTCTTCTCTCCGCATCCAGAGCATGGAGGGAGGGCCTTTCATCTCTTGTGGGCTTAGGCATGATAGAGCTACGTCTGCTTCTTCTCATCCGAGTCTTGGGCAGTGGCAGTTGGGAAGAAAGAAGGGTCTTTCATCTCCTTCAGCACTTATAGTCTGGGTGAATTATAATGTTGTTATGAGTCTGACATGGTCAAAATCTCCATCTTATATGGTAAATTTTCCACACACCAGCATTTCCTTGTCATGTGTCAAAATTGGAGGGACTGAAGCGACCAAGGTGCCCATGGAGCACTCAGTTCTGCATGACTCCAATAAGCACCAAAGTCACACATTTCATTTTCAGTATGCTTGTGTTCACAGCAGTCCTATTAACTGTCTGCTGCATGCGGAGAAAGAAGAAGGCATCTAATCCAGAGAACAACCTGAGCTATTGGAACAATGCTATCACCATGGACTACTTCAATAGACATGCTGTAGAATTACCAAGAGAGATACAATCGCTGGGAACATCGGAGGTAAGAATAGAAGCCAGGTTATTTCTCCTAGACCCCATCTCTTCCTGTAGAGTGGGAAGCCTTAAACCCAGCAGTCTTTCATCTCTTCATGAACTACTAATATACTGGAAGGGTTGCTGCTCCTACTCCAGGGATCATGGAGTTCCCGGGGGAGTGTGTGCTATCCCAATGCTATTGTTATAACCCTGGGGACATAGAGGCTCATGTGCTGTCATAAGTTTTGGGACACAAAGATTACAAGGGGTGCCAGGCCTCTTAGATGGCTCTTATTTGATAATGGTATTGTGCCTTGTGTCTCCTGTACTGCTGTTGCAGATTGTTTAGTATTTGGGTTTGTGTTTATGCCATGACTAGATCCCTGGACACTTATACCCAGCTCCACTTTCTTTGGCCTTTCTGTCTGCACCACCCATTCTTTTATATCCTTTGTCCTCTTGTCTTTAGTCATCCTGACTCACCTCTCTGTATCTTTCCTATGTTAGCTTTTTCTGTTCTTTTTCCAGTAATATCCTTTCCATAACTCAACTTCTCCTTATTCTTCCTCCGTATCCACTCCCTCTCTCCTCAGATCTCTATTTTTTCCATCTACACTACCCCTAGGTTCTGATTCTCAGTTTTTGTGTGTGTTTCAGTAACTCTTGCACATTTTTGATTCCCTCCTTCTGTCTCTTTGTATCCCAGCAGAGTCAATATTCCCTTTTCTTTTGAGGCTTTTCCTGAACTAAGAGTTTCTTTTCCTTTTGCAAAATAGAGACATTTGGGAACATTATGTTGTTTAGTGATTCATTTCTCAGCAGCTAGAATATTCATGAAAATCCCATTCCATTGCAGTGCATAGACTGTAGTTGTTTCCATCATTATGGCACTATTATGGGACAGATGGGTCTTGCAAATTGTAATCTCACACATCTTTATCAAAGATGCAAAGAAATGGCAGTAGTAAGCTGTAGAAGTGGCACTAATGGAACAAGGTCTCTTTGAGAACATTGCACACTGTCAGCTAGTCATTTAATTTGGACAAAGCTTTTTTGGTCTGACGCAAAAGCAGAATAGTGAAATAAGAACAGATTGGTAGTTAACACAAATATAAAATGGTACAGTGCTTAGTATTTTGAACACATTCAATTTAATGTTGAAACTACATTTGAAAATACTTAGCCATTTCCTTATGAAAAGTTAATTAAAGTGCTATTTTATTCTAATATATAGAAATTTATTTAAATAAAGGTAAGGTTACCATGTAAACTAATTTTAAACTCACCAGACTTGATTATAGTGGTGTGTTTTTTTCTTATAGTTTCAAGTCTTTTAGAGGTAGGAATGAAATTAGTTGCTTCTTTTAATCATTCTCCAAATGATGTAGTGGGAAGGTTGTGTGAGTGTGTCTGTTTATCACATGTATTATATATATTCTATGATCATTTTTAATTATAACAATTATACAACCAATCTTGCTTCTCACACTACAAGATAACAACCCCCTGGTAGCGCAGCAGGTTAAACCGCTGAGCTGCTGAACTCGCTGACAGAAAAGTTGGTGTTTCAAATCTGGGGAGCAGGGTGCATTCCTGCTGTTAGGCCCAGCTTCTTACAACCTAGCAGTTTGAAAACATGAAAATGTGAGTAGATCAATAGGAACCGCAAAGGCAATTGCACTCTATGCAGTCATGACCTTGGAGGCACTTCAGCTTAGAAATGGAGATGAGCATCACACCCCGGAGCCAGACATCACTAGACTTAATAAGGGGAAACCTTTACTTTAACCCTAATTGAGACCTCCCCCCCGCCCCACCTGCCATATCTGAACCATACAAGGCACAATCCATGTAGCCCTCTCGCTAGAGTCAGTGGTAACTATTTAAGGGAGCAGGAACATCACCTGAGTGTATCTCTTAGTTTCCACAATCATTGCTATCTTTGGAACACAGGGCTGCCTATGCCCCACAGTCATGCTATCCTAACATGAGGCAGAGGATATTGTCCCTCCAATAAAACAAAATCTATCATCCCCTCCCATTGGCTTCTCTATCTGGAATTGTGGGGTGGTGGTGTTATATTGTCCACTGACCCAGACCTTTGTCTAGATAGGCTACACCCAGAATTGACAAGTATGTAAAACAACATTAAGGGATAGCTAAAATGCATTACATGCAGAGTTGGGAATCAGGAAGCAGTTATGAACAAATTTTTGCTCTGCCTAAGTGCTAAATGAGAGAAGAGATTTCAGTTAACTTAGCCATGCATTACCTTGGAAAATTAACATATTGTCCACACCCATAGATTACATGATAGATGCACATACCCCAAGATACTGGGATACTGGGGCGGGGGGGGGGGGGCATCTTTTTCAGTTTGTATAAACACTTTCTGGCCCTCAAACTGAGAACGTCCCTCATAATTAGAGATACCTTCTAGCCCTACAAGACAAAACCTTTCCAGTTCTCAAAAAGAGGCATGTTTTATAATAATCTTGCATCCATCACTCACATGCAAAGATCAATGAAATGAACAGAATGGTGCTTAGTGCTTCACACAAAGGCCTATCCACATCATATGACACATTTTAAAAAATCTCTTTGCATTGCACAGTGCTCATAGAGGCACACCACTGTATTGGGGATAAATATGTGACAGATTTTCTAAAGCTTAATCTTCTTTTTTCTCTCTTTCTCTCCCCTCCCTCCTCCCACTTTTCAGGACCACCTGTCTGAGCCACGCTCCCCAGCCAATGGCGATTACAGGGACACTGGCATGGTCCTTGTTAACCCCTTCTGCCAAGAAACTCTGTTTGTAGGACGTGAACAAGTCTCTGAAATATGACCCTGCCCCTGCTCTAGTATTTGCAGTTGCATCTTTATGGTCCCCAAATTATAAATATATAAATATATATATTATAAATATAATCTTTGTGTAACCCTGAATTATGAGAAACATTTTCAGCTCCCCTCCCCCAAGAATTATCAGCCTCTTTTTTACAAGTGTGATTAAAACCTTTACAGACCAAACTTCGGCTTTATAAAATAAAAGCAATTTCTAAGCAAAAACAAAACAAAAGCCTACTGAGCCAGTTTTTTACTGAATGTCTATAATTGATACTTGGCTTGTATGGAAGCAAGTACACTTATTTAGAAAAAAAAACATTTTGTCTGTCTCTTTCCCCCCTTTTGTCAGCCTATTTCACAAGACTGAACAAACACAGGAGCCTCAACTGATCTATACTCAGATATAGTCTAGCATTCTTTTGGGCTGAGCCATGGAAAAAAGAAAGTTATCCCTGTTCTCCTAACACAATGTGCTGCAACTACAATAACGCTGATGGAGCATTATCTGAGCATTAAGGGATTGGCCAGCATGCCGGGCAAGAATCCACACTATGCCATATGTGCAAAAGGACCACCAGGCACTAAGAATGCATGGAGGAATGTGGGAATGCAATAACAGGGTCTGATGAAAATGCTGTGCTTGTCCTTTCAAATATTTTCAAGTTCTGATTTGCCCATTTCTTATCTGCAGCTGGTGGTCTTGACTGGGGACAGCCCTAAACACTACAAGTTCCTAGCTTTCTTTTAAATAGAATGAATTGTTTGTGATGGTAACATGGGCTAGGAGTTGATAAAGTGAGATCAATATCTTATGCTTTATATTTGCAGAAAAATAATTCATGTTTTTTATGTTTTAGCCTTTCAACTACTCTGTGGGAGAGAACAGTATTATCCCAGTGTCAGAGGGGAAAGTGTTACTGAAATATAGTAACTTGCACATTGAGTTCAGAGTTGAACTCAAGTGCCAAGACCAACTACTACCACTCATTTCAGTACACATGCTCTGTATATTACTTTGTCTTGAGGCTCTGGTAGCACTTGGAATATTTCTTACATTGATTCCTGGCAAAATAAAAAAAAAATAAAAACAATACATCACATTTGATGTGTGTGACAGAATTCTCAGAGCATAAGAGAACAGATGAGGAGTTTCCTGCCTTCCTTTGTTCTTTCTTGCCTGCTGGGACCTACATGGCAGTAGCATTTCCCATGAAAGTGTTAGAGCACTTAACCACAACAGTGAAACAGCCTCTCTTGGAAAATGTTAACAATCCATGGAAATTTCACCGTAATTCTACTGATCAAAGCACCACCTTCTCTTCTCATCCACCAGCTTACTAATAAGCCTTTCTTTAACACTTGATTTGTTTTCAGTCATTTGAGATCGTTCTGTTTTATTTCTCAACCTCACTAGTTCCAGTCAGCTTGCCTCATTTCACTGAAGTTTGTGCAGTCCCCAATTAGTCAAAATATTGGGGTAAATAAACATCCTAAACATAACTGCACCTCCACAGTCCCAGTCAACCTACCCAATGATAAGGAAGAATGGGAGGTGGAGTCCAGTAACATCTGGAAGGCCACATGTTCCCACCTGTTACAAAACTATGTTGAGCCTACTCTGAGGCCAACAAAACAGATTTTTCTTTTGCAGGGTTGAAGTCTATTTCCGCCTGATCTTCATAAGATAAATAATAGATATACAAATCAATAAATCTAGTTCAGGTTTAAGCACGAGTCCTGGCTCTCCCGGCAATCTTTAGATGAAGTATCAGTCTTGTATAATTGGGTTGCTGTGAGTTTTCAGGGATGTACAGCCATGTACCAAAAGCATTCTCTCCTGATGTTTCCCCCACATCTATGGCAGGCATCCTCAGAAGTTGAGGGGTGTGTTGGAAACTAGGCAAGTGAGGTTTATATATCTGTGGAATGTCCAGGGTGAAAGAAAGAACTCTTGTCTGCTTGAGGCAAGTGTGAATGTTGCAAATGGCCACCTTGATTAGCATTTAATGGCCTTGCAGCTTCAAAGCCTGGATGGTTGCAGTCTTGGGGAAATCCTTTGTTGGGATGTGTTAGCTGGCCCTGATTTATTCATGTCTGGAATTCCCCTGCTTTTTGTGTCATGCTCTTTATTTACTGTCCTAATTTTAGAGCTTTTTGAATACTGGTGGCTGGATTTTGTTCATTTTCATGGTCTCCTCCTTTCTGTTGAAATTGTCCACATGCTTGTGGACATAAATGGCTTCTCTGTGTAGTCTGACATGGTAGTTGTTAGAATGGTCCAGCATTTCTGTGTTCTCAGATAATATGCTGTGTCCAGGTTGGTTCATCAGGTGCTTTGCTATGGCTGACTTCTCAGGTTGAACTGAGAATTGTATAATGTTTTAACTAACAGACATACATTTTTCTGTATGTTTTCAAATGTATTTCCCACTATCATCTCCCCCTTTTAAAAAATCTCAAGCTCTTTGAAACTATTCTGGAGAGGTGATGGGGAGGTGGTTTTTTATCACTACCGTACCATTCAGTTCATACTATGGCATGGTATCTTCTGCAAATGCACTGACTCCTGTTCTTAAACCTGGAATGAGAAATGAGTTGTGGTGAATGTGCTCCCTGAGCAGATCCATTGCTCAAAAATGTAATGTCTATAAAGGCTTGGAAAGGGGTGCATAATCAATTTCTGCACTGCCCATAATCCAGATTATTTCTGGTCTGACTCTTCTGTTTAGAAGTGTATGTTTCTGAGTCAGAAGAAGTGGGCATGCATTTACATGAAATGCACAAACAGTTTTACTCATTGAAACAGAGTTCTTCTTGATACTGAGCATCTCAGTTGGATTCTTGCTCGTACATGTGGAAGCCGAGAGAATGCCAGTGTTTTAAATATGTAAAGAACGCTTTCTTTCCCTTTATTATGGCTCTGAACTGCATTGTCTTTTCTGTGTGCTGCTCTTGCAGCAGACAGATTTCTCATGAAATAGATTGCTGACAAAGTAAAAGTCTCAAACAATCGTTCCAACAAACATGCCTGGGATAGGCAGCCAAAGACAATGAGAAATGTCCCAGAAGCTCTTGGGACAGAGCACAGATAATGGCCCCATTTCCCAAATCCTGCTTGGCTCTGCAGATCTCCACGGATGCGGCCAGCAGCAGAGGCAACTCATTTAGTTAGGCATTCTGCAGTCCAACATGCCCTTACCAAGGCGCAGAGCTTCCTTTTTGGGGCAACACCCTTCTACTTCCACAGCAGACGGCTCCTGGGCCACCAGCCATAGGGTTAGTGGTGGTGGAGGAGGAAGTCTCACCAGGCCATCAGGTGTTTATGTGGGTGTTGTACCTACAGGAGGTGTGAGCAGTCTGGGTACCCGAGTGTCTCGCAGAGCTCTGGGTATCAGCAGTGTCTTTTTACAAGGCCTCCGTAGTTCTTGTTCAACTATACCGTTACCTCAAGGGCTGGAAAGGGGACGAGGCCTGTCCTATGAGAACCTAAATGAGAGCTTAGTGGACTACATCGAAAAGGTGAGAACTTTAGAGCAGGTCAACCAGGAACTTGAGGACCGAATCCGAGTTTTCCTGACCAAGAAATCTTCTCGAGCCACTCACTGGGCAGCCCTGAGAGAGAACTGGGAGACCATCAGTCACCAAGTGAGTATGAGACCTTTTGAAAACAAAGACAGATGTGAATGAATTGTTAGCTGAAACAAAAGAGATGCCAAAGGGTTATAATTAAATGCAGCTTCATGGTAATGTACTGCCACCTTGCTCAGCACATTTTAAACTTGAATTTTCATGATCATTAGCATTATCATTTCAAACAGTTCACTGTGGTAGATCCCCATTATGCATGAAAAATGCCTGAGGAGATTAATATAGGGTGGGGAGGAGGGGATAATGAAATGTTCCCCCATTTGTGCTGATTATTATCAGCTATTTTCCCTCATAGCAGGTGTTTTGAGCAGCAGCAAAATTATTAAGAGAATTCCTAACAAAATGGTGTGAGTTTATCTACCCTGGTATCATCTCATTACCAGCCAGATACTGATGGTAATGAAGAAAGCGAGATTCATGTTGTATTTCTTTCATCAAATTTTCCAAAAGCCAGACTTACATTTTAAAAAAATGGGCAGTGGCATTTTTTTCCAAGTGCACAGCAGCCTTTTGAAGATAAGGTGAATGTGTATATTCAGATTGTATTTCTAAAAACAAAAGCATGGCTTTTGTCCGTAAATCATGAACATTTTATCCATTTTATAAAATCAATGTATTAATAATCTTAGGAAAATGAAGCAAGAGGAGGCAAGAAAACAAAAGTGAAACCCAACAAGACATACACATGAGCCTGTTTTATGAAACCCAAGGAAGGCACGCTAGATGCTAGAATAAGATATCTGTGTGCCAGTATTGGCTCAGACATTGCTGCATTACTGTTTCTTTGGTTACTTTTCAGTGACATATATACAGTTCATGTGGCTCTTTGGAGATGCAATCATAGATGCATGCCCTATGGTACAATATTATACATGTCTACTCAGTAGCATATCCTGCTGAGATCAATCGGAGTTATCTCATATATGTATGGATATGACTATGCTTTATACAATTTTCTTTGAATACCTTGGTGGATGGACAAAGGCAGTGGGGAAAGTTTCACTCTTCTGATGTTTATTAAGCTCCAACAGTCTTTTACCAATAGCCAACGGGCCACGACTTTTGAGTGATGAAAGCTGAAATATCTAGAGGACCAAACATTCCCATCCTTGAGCTAAGTCATAGTTATACAAGATTTGGGAGGAACTCAACAGAAGATAATGAGAACTCTGTGTGTATCAGAGATACCTCAAGGATCGAAAAACCATAAACCCTATATATGCCCTGAAACTTGTTGAATACCAAAGTAATTACTAGGCCTGCTCATACTGAAGTCAGATTGAATCACTATCATTATTAAGATTATTCTCTGGGTCAAATCTGCTTTAGCCTCTTCCTGCATGTCAGGAATGAGAAATATGTGTAGGTGGATCAGAAGTCTCATCATTTCTGAGCATTTGCTATAATGGCTATGGTTGATGGAAATTATAATCTTAATAATATCCGGAGTCTTCGTATTTATCATGTGGCTTGGTTTCCATGTTTTTAACAAGTGAATAGCATTTGATTGGTGGACAAATTTATAGTGTTTCTGTTCTCTGAATGAAGCCTTCCGTGTTTTTTGAAGTACTTACACCAGTCAGTAGTGAAATGATAGGTGGAGAATTCAGACTCCTTCGAACCAGACAAACACCACCAGATAAAATTATATATGTTGCTATAACTGCAACAAGTTCACTAGTAAGCAGAATTGGTTTCTTTAGTGTTAATATTTCCCTGTGGAAAGGTCTTCCTCCACCATAAATTTAACTGGAAATGACCAGGAAATCCATTCTTTGTCATCAAAGCCATTTTAGGCCCACATGAGACTTCCAGATTTAGGGGGGGGGGGCACCTCCACACATAATCTGTGTAGACTCATAATGAAATTACTCCTTTTCACTCTTGTTCAAAAGGGTTTTTGAAAAGATTAAAAGTTAATAGATAGTGAACTTATTTAAGTTGGCTTAGAAGAGAGGAAATACAACGATTAAGTCTGTTAATTACCATTTAAGAGTGTATCCATATTGCACAATGCATAACATTCCATAAATTTCTAAGTAAATTTCCCCAACACAAGGAGTACTTTTGCAAAATAGCAATAAGTACTTTTGCAAAAAATCAAGATGAGTAGACTTTGGGTAAATATCCAGCATGTAAATTTCATTGGCTAGTTAACACTATTATTTTTTTAACAACTTAGCTCTACTTTTTTGACTGTTTAGCACTATTTATTATTTAGTTATCAACTCCCATGCCGAGTTAACATCAAAATTGAAACTTAATCACTACAGTTAAAAATAAATGCCATGAAGCAGTCTAGTTTCATTAACAACTTATCTGATTTCAGCTATCCCATTGCTAAATCTGGCCCAATCTATCAGAAATAAAAAGGAGGCAAATCCCAGTCAACATATCTGCCCTACTCAAGGCATGGCAAGGTGCTACTTTATTGGGTAAATATATGCTTTCAACAAGCTTGTGATTTGTTTAGCCTCCTATGGCGCAGCAGATTAAACCACTGAGCTGCTGAACTTGCTGACCAAAAGGTTGGTGGTTGGAATCCAAAAAGTGAGATGAGCTCCCGTGTTAGGCCCAGGTTCTGCAACCTAGCAGTTTGAAAACATGCAAATGTGAGTAGATCAGTAGGTACTACTCAGGCAGGAAGGTAACAGCACTCCATGCAGTCATGCTGGCCACATGACCTTAGAGGTGTCTACGGACAACGCCGACTCTTTGGCTTAGAAATGGATATGAGCACCAGCCCACAGAATCCGACATGACTAGACTTGATGTCAAGGGGAAACCTTTACCTTTATATCTTAATGAACCTAAGTTACTAATAGTTGATTTTTAATAAACGGAGATAATCCATAAATAAACATGTCCCCGTTGTTATCAGACCTTCCATCAACCTTAGCCAGTATAACCAATAATAGTGGTGGCTTTAAATTGTAATCCAAAAACATCTGGAGAACTGCACATTTATGCACTTCACCACACTATCCATTTCCTAAAGGTACTGTTCCTCCAGTGCCACTATGTATACAGAATAACTGTACAAACACAACCATCATCTAGGCCTTTAAATCACGATCAGAATGGTACCCTGCCCAGCTTGTTCTTGCAGAGAAGCCTCTACATTTCTATAAACAAATAAATCATTCTCTAATTTTGCACTCCTCAGCTTACAGTAAATAAGAATGTGCTCAAATGAGGATGCAAATGTATAAGATTGCACAACGCTGACTTGTAATCACTGCATCAGCATACTCCATCAGCAGCATATGCTTCAAACAGAAGATTGGCAAGGTTTCTATTTTCTTATCTCCCCAATATTCAGTGGACTAATCAGGAAATGAAGAGAGCAGGAGGTAAAATGTGACATGTTTCAGAAGTCACGTCACAGTAAGAAGTCTATTTAGTCAAAACAAAGTGGAACCCAACCAGAAGGATGTCTCTTCTTCAGCCTTGCCCCGTCCTACAGATAGCCTGCAAAATGAAACCTTTCTTGGTATCTGTAAGGGTAGAGCAAGAAAAAAAGAAAGGGGAAGTTAGACTGAGTTCAAATGGTTTCTTCCTTTTTTTAACCCTGTCTGAAATCAGATTGGCTCTGTTAAAAGGAATTAGCTTTCCATTTCTAAATGCTCTTTGAAACTATAACTACAACAGCAACAGCAGAGCCTGTGGTTCTCAATAAGTAGTTATGAGACTAATTTAGAATCTCAGTGCAGCAAGGCAAATTGAATTTTTAAACATTTGTTTTTAAAAACTTTTCACACTGTCCCTTGTGAAGCTTGCACCGAGTACAGTTTGGGACATCGCTGCTGTAATTCAAGTTTTAAGTGATTAATTTTTCCCAGCACCAGATCCTGTCTGATCATGAAAGCTATACAGGGTTAGGCCTGGTTAATACATGGGAGGAGGACCACCACATAAATGCCAGGTGATGTAGGCAATATTTCAGAAGAAAGCAATGGCAAACCACCTCTGAATGTTCCTTGCTCCTAAAAAATACATATAAAATTAATGTGCTCGCCATAAATCAACAGGCAAATTGAAGGCATGTACATTTAAGCTTTCCCACCTGTGTAATAATAATAATAATAATAATAATAATAATAATAATTAGAAGCCATTAGAATCAATGCCATCAAAACCAGAATTGAAAAGTCAATGACAGATCCCAAATGTAGACTCTGCAAGGGAGCAGATGAAACAATAGATCATATTCTCAGCTACTGCAAGAAGATTGCGCAGAAAGACTACAAGCAGAGGCATAACACCATTGCTCAGATGATCCATTGGAACTTGTGCCACAAATGCCATCTGCCTGCGACAAAGAACTGGTGGGATTACAAGCAGGAAAAAATTACAGAGAATGAACACATCAAGCTACTCTGGGACTTCCGAAACAAAGTATGGATTGTCGATGTTGCAATCCCAGGTGATAGCAGGATTGAAGAGAAACAACTGGAAAAGCTGACACAATATGAGGATTTAAAGATCGAACTGCAAAGACTCTGGCACAAGCCAGTCAAAGTGGTCCCAGTGGTAATTGGCACACTGGATGCAGTGCCTAAAGATCTTGGCCTGCACTTAAACACAATCGGCGCTGACAAAATTACCATCTGCCAGCTGCAGATGGCCACCTTACTGAGATCTGCACGCATTATTCGCTGATACATCACACAGTCTTAGATACTTGGGAAGTGTGATCCAATACAACAGCCAGCAGAGTGTCTGTAGTGGACTCATCTTGTTGTGTTTCAAATAACAACAACAACAATAATATTTATACCCCGCCCCCTCTCCCTGGAGGGACTCAGGGTGGTTTGCTTTCTATTGTTACTTTATTTTCTATTGAAACAGGGGAGATAATTGCTTATTAGAAGTATTGGTGCTGATTTCATGCTGATTAGATATAGCATTCCGACTTCAAAAGTCATCATCACTACCACTATCAATGACAGAGTGCAAATGAGATAACTATCCAGAACGCATCTGCATCTGGAGTTATTAACAGAACTGCAAATTGGAAGAGGAAAGGCCAATCTCATGGTCCAAATGGAGAGGGAGTCAATTTAATGGGATTCCATTTAGTATGATTAGTAGGTGATGATGGACCTCTCATCCACAAATGTCTGTGATCTCGTTTGATGCATCACTGCATTTTGTGATTGTCAAATCTGCAAATTAGAGAAGCAGTGTGCAGCACTTTACCTAACCTTCTATAAATCAACTTCATTCTGTATTCTAGTATAACAAAAAGGGAGAAAGAATTATCCCTTTTCTTCCTATACCAATCCATCCAAATAATATTCAAAGACTGGTACACATCAGCCAGAAAAACCTATTAAAGAGAGTGTTTTAGCATCTTTCTTTTGATGGCTGTGCACTATCACAAGTCATATCAATGCAACAGCTTCTCATGAAGTTACAATGATAGTTTCCCTCACTCTGCCAAAAAAAAAATCCATACAATAATTGGCCTGTTTGTTTAGCTTTGTTACTCACATTTGTATCCCACCTTTCTCCACTTAAGTTTAAGGCAACAAATACAGATCTTTTCCTTCATATTTTTCTTCATAACAGCATTGTGAGGTAGTTCAAGCTGAGAAAGACAAAGGCTCCTTCCACACAGCTAAATAAAATCCCACATTCTCTGCTTTGAATTGGGATATATGGCAGTGTGGACTCAGATAACACAGTTCAAAGCAGATATTGTGGGTTATTCTGCCTTGGTATTCTGGGTTATTTGGCTGTGTGGAAGGGCCCAAAAGAATCCCATTAAATTGACTCCCTCCCCAAAGTTATCCAGTATGTTTCATAGCTGAGTGGGAACTTGCAACCAGAGTCTACCCAGCTCTTGCCCACTGATCTAAGCCCAACATCAAATACATAGATCTGAAATACACAAAAATAAATATGGCTAAGCATTCTTAGTCATACGTATTGAGTACAAATATTCAAATCCACCATTTGGTCCATGTAAGAATCCAATTCTAAATTGTGTGTGCTCTTTTTATTTGACTGGCCTCTTATAGGTGGGGGATGAAGTCCTGGAAAATGCTCGGCTAATGTTACAAACAGAGAATATTCAAGCCTATGCTGAAGACATTAAAGACAGGTAACTTATGGAGTGGACACAATTATGGGAACAAAGACATTTTAAAGACTTATCAATACGTGTTAAAGAAAACTATCATAAATTGATATGGAAATGTTAATCTAACACCAGTAAAAATAACCAATATAAACAAAAATTACCCAAAACTGTTGGAGAGTATTGCGTTGTTATCATTACATAATAATAAACCGTTAAAAAAGAAGAAAAAGATGCAATACCTAACCAATTAACAGTAGCAAGACTGGTCATAGCAAGGAACTGGAAATGGGAAATGAATATACAATACAAATTGAAGAGTGGTGTAAGGAATTATGGAAATTGGCAAGATTAAAAATGAAGGATGGAAAATTACCTTCACAAGAGGAAATGAAAATTTGGATAGTGAATATAAAAAGAATATAAAAAGAAGTGGCTCAGGGGATGGGGAGCATGAAGGTAAGTGAAATTTGCAGTAAATATAATGGAATTAATGGGGGAAAAGATTAAGTGTCTTGGATATTATATTTATATTATATTATATTTATGGGGTACAAATGTTCTAAATAAATGTCTGCTGTATTACAAATGTATTAGCTTATTTCACAATTTTTTTAAAAAAAAGACAGGTAACTCTCCAAAAATCATAGTGATATTAAAGATAGACCTAGTCCAAGATATTTGCTTCTTAAGAAAGAACAATAACAGTACCCTATCGCATGCACGTCATATGCACAATATTCAAAGCCAACCTGGGTCAGAATTTTGAAAGAGCACATGACTAAGTCCCAACAGAGGTTCTCCTTGCAATAAATAAAAATATAGTCGTAAATTACCATTTGCTACCCTTAATGAGGAGACCCCGGTGGTGCAGCGTGTTAAATGGCTGAGCTGCTGAACTTGCTAACCAAAAGGTCGCTGGTTTAAATCCAGCGAGTGGAGTGAGCTCTTGCTGTTATCCCCAGTTTCTGCCAATCTAGCAGTTTGAAATCATGCAAATGTGAGTAGATCAATAGGTACCACTCTGGCGGGAAGGTAAGGGTATTCCATGCAGTCATGCTGGCCACATTACCTTGGAGATGTCTATGGACAATGCCAGCTCTTCGGCTTATAAATAGAGATGAGCACCAACCCCCAGAGTCAGACACGACTGGACTTAATGTCAGGGGGAAACTTTTACCTTTACCTTTACCTTTACCCTTTAATTATACCCCAAATCTGCCTCCTGAGATGATTTTTGTACCTCTATCTGCTGGCCTTGATAGAGAATAGTGAAAAGGGTTTACGTGGAAAATATATTAGAAAATGGGGCTAGTCTGGTGCAAAAGAAGTGGACTAATTCATTGGACACATATGGATAGGACAAAGCTATGGCAGGTAGGTGGAAAATGTATCTGCCAGAAGACTTAAGCTCCATGTTATATCGGACATATTGCCCATTTTCTCCATAGATATGAAAATGAACAGCCATTCCGAAAGGCAGTGGAAGATGAAATTAACTCTCTCTATAAAGTGATTGATGATGCTAACTTAACCAAAGTGGACCTGGAGAGCCAGATCGAAAGTACGAAAGAAGAATTATCTTTAATGTCAAAGAACCATGAAGAGGTAAATGAACCTATGGCTGAGAAAGAACATATAACTAGAAAGTATATATTTATGCAGAGTACTGACTCATCTATTTGAACACAGGAGAGTGATTTTATTTGTACATGCAAGAATGAAAAATTAAATTGTTCTCCCCACTACATGAGAATAGTAGGGTTTCTGAGGGCCCTTCCACACAGCCCTATATCCCAGAATATCAAGGCAGAAAATCCCACAATATATGTTTTGAACTGGGCTATCTGAGTCCACACTCAGATTATGTGGGATTTTCTGTCTTGATATTCTGAGATATAGGCCTGTGTGGAAGGGCCCTTAGTGGTTTTGTAATCCATAACAGAAGTCTTAGGGCCCTTTCACACAATCATATAACCCAGAATATCAAGGCAAAAAAACCCACATTATTATATTATCTGCTTTGAAACGGGTTATCTGAGTCCACACCACATTACCATATATTCCAGTTCAAAGCAGAAAATGTGGGATTTTATTCAGTTGTGTGGAAGGGGGCCTAGACTAAAGCAATAGTAGAAGCAATAAAAATCTGCAGAGGTTTTTGGACTGCAACTCCCAGTATCCCTATCATACCCTGTGAATGATACTGAAAGCTGTTTCCACTTTCCTGCATCAGGTAATTACATAATTACACCTCCCTGCCTAACAAATATGGTAGCTATTTGTAAAAAGTAACTTCTCCACTTACGGTCAGAATGAGAATGTGTTACCTCTATATTAAAGTATTTGTACAAACTGCAAGAGGAAAAGAACTCAGTCAATGCAAAGAGCCCCTGGTGGCGCAGAGGGTTAAAGCTCTGTGTCGGCAGGACTGAAGACCGACAGGTCACAGGTTCTAATCCGGGGAGAGGCGGATGAGCTCCCTCTATCAGCTCCAGCTCCTCATGCGGGGAACATGGGAGAAGCCTCCCACAAGGATGATAAAAACATCAAATCATCCGGGCATCCCCTGGGCAACGTCCTTGCAGACGGCCAATTCTCTCACAACAGGAGCGACTTGCAGTTTCTCAGGTCGCTCCTGACACGATAAAAAAAATTATTTAAAAAATGCAAAGATAATGTCCAAATGATGTCAACACAGGTGTATCAAAGCACAGCATCTACTTGGATATAATTTCATAGGATGTCACACTTTTTCTGATATGAGTCATTTTCAGGATGTCAAGATGCTTTACAAGCAACTAGCTGTCTCACCGCTGGAAGAATTAGAGGCTCCCGTTGGAATAAGCCTGGATGACATCCTGGAGAAAATCCGGATTCACTGGGAACAGGATATTGAACGGAACCGTGCTGAGATTACTGTCTTGCTCCACACTAAGGTAAGCTTGAAATAAGCTAAGAATAACTGAAACTTTCAGTTCCAAAATTCATATTAGAACAATGCTTATCTTAACAAATTACAAGCTCACAAAATGGCAATATTTTGAATTTTCCAGAACTCTTTATTGTGAGTGTTTAGAAATGTTAGTTTCTGGACTATAATTCCCAGAATTCCTCATCCTGAGGGTTTAGTTCAAAGGGGCATTTTTTAAAAAAGACAAAGGAGACAGGAAAGAAGATGTTGAAGCCATCCAGATTATGTATTGTCGAAGGCTTTCATGGCTGGAATCACTGGGTTGTTGTAGGTTTTTTCGGGCTATATGGCCATGTTCTAGAGGCATTCTCTCCTGATTTTTCATCTGCATCTATGGCAAGCATCCTCAGAGGTAGAGAGGTCTGTTGGAACTAGGAAAATTGGTTTATATCTCTGTGGAATGACCAGGGTGGGACAAAGGACTTGTCTGCTGGAGCTAGGTGTGAATGTTTCAACTGACCACCTTGATTAGCATTTGATGGCCTGGCAGTGCTCAACAAAAGATTGCCCCAGGCTTTGTACTTCCGTGAAATTCTTTGCTAAAAAGGTCTGGTTTTTGGGATACACAGGAATGCACTGAACCTATCTTAAGTAAGTACCTTGTGAAATGACAGATCTCAGGACATCATACAATGGGGCCATGGCAGTTAAAATGGTATAAAAATAATATGAATGTGTAAAATGGATAGATCATGAATGTTTGCTTTTAGGAGCTATATCATTTACATAAGCAGTGGGTAAAGTTGAGGATTACCTTAACAATTTTCTTTCGAATTCCCTCAAGCCTACTCTTATATAACAGACTGCCAAGTGAGAACAAGTGTCTTCTTTTAATCCGTTTGTCACTATCACATGTTGTCAGCAATCCACAGAAACAGTACCAACTGTGCGAACGCAGGAAGAGGAACTGGCTGAAACCCTGAGGGCAGAATTTCATGAAACGGCTTGCAAAATACAAAGTATGCAAGCAGAGATTGAATCCTTGAGAACTCTGGTACGTAAAGAAAGATAATGGGTATCTATTTATTTGCAAAGCAATCATTGTATTCCAGGGCAGCCATCTAACTGTGTCGGGCAGGGATGGGCAACTGTGGCTAGTAGCCTGGGAAAAAGCATGGTGAGAGTTTTAGTCCAATAATATCTATCCATCCCAGGTGTATGTCCATTGGGCCTGATGTTAAAACAATAATAGTATAACTCCATGCCTTATTACTCAAAAGTAAATCTCACTGTTTCACTCATTTTACTTCAAATGTGGATTGCATTCTATCTTGAGTTTTCAAATATATTTAATAAGCCATGGTGTCCAGATTACAATTATAGGCACAGTGGCATAGTAGTTGAAGCACAGTGTTGGACTACGACCCGGGGGGCCACTGTTCAAATCCCAGTTTGGCCATGAAAACTACTTGGTCAACTAGGGCAAGTTACATTTTCTCAGCCCTAGAAGAAGACAATGGCACAGCCTTGCCAAGATTAGGGATGTCTTTGGCTCAGAAACAACTTAAAGGGACACTACTACTACTACTACTACTACTACTACTACTACTAATAATAATAATAATAATAATAATAATAATAATAATAATAATAATAAAGATTGAACTGCAAAGACTCTGGCACAAGCCAGTCAAGGTGGTCCCAGTGGTGATCGGCACACTGGGTGCAATGCCTTAAGACCTTGGCCTGCACTTAAACACAATCTGTGCTGACAAAATTATAATCTGTCAGCTGCAAAAGGCTACCTACTGTGATCTGCATGCATTATTTGCCAATACATCACACAGTCCTAGGCACTTGGGAAGGGTCCGATGTGTGATTCAATACAATAGCCAGCATAGTGATCTTGTTTGCTATGTACTAATCTTGTTGTGTTTCAAATAATAATAATAATAATAAACATTGTCAAAATCACAATCTGTCAACTGCAAAAGGCCACCTTACTTGGATCTGCGCGCATCATTCGAAAATACATCAGACAATCCTAGATGCTTGGGCAGTGTTCAAGTTGTGACTTTGTGATACGAAATCCAGCATATAGATCCCGTTTGCTGTGACATATTGTGCTTTTGTGTCAGTATAATAATAATAATAACAATACTTTATTTATAACCCGCCACCATATTCCATAGGGACTTGGGGCAGCTTGCAAACTGGCACACACTGATAACAAAGTTGTTATACGGAAATGTTCTTGCACACTAATTATGGACACTGTGATACAGTGGTTAATATGTTGCACTGGATCTTCCTTGGGCTATTTCATGCTACACAATGTTAGTGCTATGATTCTACTGTAATTCCCATGGCTGCATCCGATGCATGGTATCCTGGAGTTTGTAGTTTGGTGAGGCACTAGAACTCTCCAGCTGGGAACTCTAAATCCTGCTCCCTAAAGGGCAAATTCCAGGATTTTATAGGATGCAGCCATGGAAGTTAAAGTAGAGTGATAGTGCTATAACGCTATGTAACAAAATGTGAAACCTTTTCTGTTCCTGGTTTCAAAGTGTTACTTCCTGTTTAATTGTGTGGTATGTACTTTGAAAGTAGTTGTTATACTTCAGAAATCTTACAGTTATCTTTAAATCAGATGTGATCTCATGGCCTTTCGAATGGAAATCTTTGAAATAACGAATTATTCTCTGTAAAATGGAACATGTGACCACCCTGCTTACAAAGTCTTAGGCACAGCAAGATAGCTAATGGGCCCTGCTATGTGGCTACTCAGTTTGGTGAGTTACAAGCTGTGAAAGCTTGCAATACACAGCATTGGAAGGGTCCTCAAATATCAGGGCCTCCACAAATGCCAGGAAGTCCACCACTCCTTTCCACACAGGACCTATAATGTTGCATGTATCCGTGGCATTCCTCACAGTTTTTCATCTAAGCACTGCTTAAATACCTCCAGTACAGGAGTGCATACTACTCTTTTGAGGCAGCCTATTCCACTTCTCAGCTGTTGCATTTATAAAGTTGTCCTTGTGTTTAAGCAAATTCGGCTACCCCGCCATTTCTACCCATTGGTTCTAGTCCTGTCCTCTGAAGAAAGAAATATATTTAGTGTTTTCATGATCAGATAGTCGATATTTATAGCAACAGCTAAATTTAATGTCATCATATAGAGAACTCAAACAATTAAAATATTGATAGTATATTGCTGCCCACAAAGCATCTAACCCTTTTACTGAAAATTCTAGGCAAAAGCAACATTTAAATACTCTTTATAAGCATGTCGTGGAATGCCTTCCATCATCATCATTATCACTATTATCATCATCTAATTTATTTGTCCCACTTTTTCCCCCAGTGCCAGGACTCAAGGTGGCTTGCAAAACAATAGAGTTTGTTGAAAGTGCAAACATTAATAGAATTAAAAGCATATAAATGGGTCCCCTGGTGGCTCAATGGGCTAAACTGCTGAACTTGCTGACCTAAAGGTTGGCGGTTCGAATCCGGGAAGTGAGGTGAGACCATACTGTTTGCCCTAGCTCCTGCCAACCTAGCAGTTCCAAAATATGCAAATGTGAGTAGATCAATTGGTACCACTTCTGTGGGAAGGCAGTAGTGCTCTATGCAGTCGTGCTGGCCACATGACCTTGGAGAGGTCTACGGACAACGGCGGCTCATTGGCTTAGAAATGGAGATGAGCACCACTCCCAAGAATCAGACACAACTAAACTTAATGTCAGGGGAAACCTTTACCTTTACCTTAAAATGAGGTTAAATTATAAATATGAAGAAATAATAATAATAATCAAACTTTATTTATATCCCACCACCATCTCCCAGAAGGGACTTGGGCAACTTACAAAAGCACGTAGCAATATATACAAGATACAATAAAATACACAAACATTTATAAAACAATAATGATCTAAATTTACATAAAACAAATCTACATAAAACATAATGTAAAATCCCTATTAATTTAAATTGCTCAGGGGAAAATCTGTTTCTCCTGAGCAATTAGTCTTCAAAAGCCTGCTGAAAGAGACGTTTTCACCTGCCAAAAGAAGGAAAACAAGGTAGGTGTCGTGTCGTCTTGCAGAGAAAATAATTTCTCATCTAATTAATTCCACAGTACATGTGTGACAGGTGTATCAATCCCAATAAAAACACTCTTGAAGCACAGCCAGAATTAGAGCCCTGTCATGTTTCTGTCTTTGCAGAAGAGAGGTTTGGAGAACTCCCTTTATGATGCCAAACACTGGCATGACATAGAGCTTCAGAATTTAGGCTCTGTCATTACCAAGCTGGAAGTCGAAGTAGGAGAAATCCGAGCGGAGACTGAACAGCAGCAAAGGGATCGTGACGCTCTACTGATAATTAAAACACAGCTCGAGAAAGACATTGCTGCATATCACTGCCTCCTAGACAAAGAAGAAAGCAGGTATTTATCCGGATTGATTGTGAATCATGTGTTGGACTTACACTTAACAGCATCTCTATGCCCAATGGAGAAGCAGAGTGGGCCAATCTGAGCAGACTCCAGAACAAAGCAGGACCTAGCAATCTCTAGCATTGCATTCACACAAAATGATTAAGGTCAAGGTCTGGAGAATCTTGGTTTATTATTCATTCAGGAACTCGCATACTTGTGCCTAACACTCAACACTTGGCTCATGGCAGCAGGGAGAGAAGTAGCAATAATAAGAATTAAAATCAATTACGTTGAGACATTTCCTAAAAAGGGGAGGTAATGTAATTAAATTCATTTTAATCCGATTAGCATAAAATGGACTTCTAGTATTAACATAATCCAGAATTAAGTTAATAATTAATTCAATTAGAGACTATGCTTAAGAAGCTAGCACATGTTACCTTTCCCAGCTGTGTTTTTGTAGATGCAGATGGCTATAGAAATCTATTTTTGTCTATAATTTACTTTGTTGTTGTTCATTCGTTCAGTCATTTCCGACTCTTCATGACCTCATGGACCAGCCCACGCCAGAGCTCCCTGTCGGCCGTCACCTCCCCCAGCTCCTTCAGAGTCAAGCTAGTCACTTCAAGGATGCCATCCATCCATCTTGCCCTTGGTCGACCCCTCTTCTTTTTTCCTTCCATTTTCCCCAGCATAATTGTCTTTGCAGTTTATTTACTGTTTTCATTTATAAGTCAGCCTCATATATAAGTTGAGGGCAGGTTTGGGAGCAAAAATTATGGATTTGATTATGATCCATAGATAAGTCAAGGGTTGCCCCTTGCAGTGCAGTTTTCCCATCCAAGAATACAAAAAGGCCAGAAATTGTGCAATAGTATATAGAGCAAGCATGAGAAAACTTTAGCCCGCCAGGTGTTTTGGACTTCAACTCCCACAATTCCTAACAGCCTCAAGCCTGAGGCTGTTAGGAATTGTGAGAGTTGAAGTCCAAAACATCTGGAGGGCCAAGGTTTGCCCATACCTGGTATAGAGTATTTATTTATTTATTTATTTGCAGCAATTTTTACCCCACCCTTCTCAACCCCCCCCGGGGGGGGGGGGTGACTCAAATCCAGGGGTCCTCAAACTAAGGCCCAGGGGCCGGATACGGCCCCCCAAGGTCATTTACCCGGCCCCGCTCAGGGTCAACCTAAGTCTGAAATGAAAGCACACAACAACAATAACAACAGTCCTATCTCATCAGCCAAAAGCAGGTCCACACTTCCCATTGAAATACTAATAAGTTTTTATTTGTTAAAATTGTTCTTCATTTTAATTATTGTATTGTTTTTAAGTGTTTATTGCACTACAAATAAGATATGTGCAGTGTACATAGGAATTCATTCATGTTTTTTCAAATTATAATCCAGCTCCTCAACAGTTTGAGGAACTGTGACCTGGCCCTCTGTTTAAAAAGTTTGAGTACCTCTGGTCTAGTCACTGCCTCCTAGACAATGGGGTCAGTGCTTCTTAGGTTTTCCTGAGAAAAAAAGAAGCTCCTGACTTGCCAATCTATTCAGGGAAAGAGTTGGTTCTTTTTTATATAAGAGTTAAGGTACAGTCTTGACCCAGGTTTTGGGGGTTGATTTTTAAAACTGATATTACTAGACTGACACGTGATTATGTATAGTACCATAATTCCAAGGCTAAAAGAGTTTAGACCAACCAATAATAAGGGCAGTTTGGAAGGAGACTAGTCTTTTTTGCATCTGGGTGTTTTATACCAGACATCACACAGACTCCTAATGTCTCCCAGGAAACTGAATTCTGAGGTTATTAGTCCTGGGACCATTGCTGGGATTGTTGAGAATATCAGTCAACTAATGAAAGAGAAAGGTGATGGAGACAATATTATAATGCAAAGAGAAAAGGAAAACAAGTGAAGAATTTTTGATTATGTGGATGAAAACTTTATTTTTCAAAATTCATGGAATGCTTCTCACAGGCTAAATATAGAGAAGTTTGAGTAAAATGTCTGATGACATTTCTTAGTTTCATTTAGGTAGAATAGTACAGGCAGTCCCTGGGTTATGTTGGCCCCTTCTGTATCCCAGGATCTGATCCCAGGTTATCTGCTCACCCCAGATTATAATTTTATTTATTTATTTGAAACATTTATATTCTTCAGGGCAGAGCACAACATATATACAGCAAGCATTCCTTGCTGGGACATAAAATAACTATTAATATACACAAAGACTAAAATCAATTATATCTACTTTAAAATCAGTTGTTTAAAACCATCTCAAAACACAATGCTGGCAAAGTGGATTTTCTATTGTTTTCTATTATTGCCTTATCACAATGCCCCAAAGGCTTGGTCCCACAGCCAGGTTTTTACCATCTTTCTGAAGGACAGGAGCAGAAAATAAAGACATCATAAAATACGAAAATCCTGATAAAACACACTAAAACTAAAAATATATAACACTGATTACATTGGAGCTCCATCAGTCAAGGTTCAACAATACCAATGGCTAGGACTACTAAAATAGACATGATCAATTATAAAAGGGCTGGGCGAGGGATAGTACAAACAACGTGTCATAGGGCTGGGAAAGTGGGTGAAGTGCAGAACAGAAGTGCAGAACTATCTGGCAACCTAGGGACTGGGCCTAGGGACTAGTTATTCTCGAAAGCTTTCAGTTCCCTACAAAAGGAGGACAGTGTGCGGGCTTGCCTAATCTCCCTGGGAGAGTGTTCTAAAGTTGGGCGGCCATCACCGAGAATGCCCTCTCCCTCATCCCACCAAGAGTGCTTGTGACGGAGGTGGAAGCAAGAGGAGGGCCTCCCTGGCAGATCTTAGAGCCTGTGCCAGTTAATAGGGGGAGATGCGATCACGAAGATGGGCAGGTCCTGATCCGTTTTGAGCTTTGTAAGTCATAACCGGGACTGTGGCGCAGCTGTCTTGAGTGTTAGCTGCATTAAGATCACTTCTGACTAAAAGGTCATGAGTTCGAAGCCAGACCAGGTCGGAGTGAGCTTCTGACCAATTGTGTAGTTTGTTGTCAACCTTTGCAACCCGAAAGATAGTTGCATCTGTCAAGTAGGAAAATTAGGTATCACCTATGTGTGGGGAGGCTAATTTAACTAATTTACGAGGTCATAAAAAAGACTCCAGTAAAGCACTCCAGCAAAAGCATGCAGGGAATGCGGAAGTACTGCATCAGTGTCGCAGATGGACAATGAAAGCAATAGCTTCCCTGGTGGCCGGAAAAGTTAAATAGCCTCTGACTGTCTGTCTATATCTGTTGTGTGTCTTTGGCAATGAATGTTTGCCATATATGTGTACACTGTAATCTGCCCTGAGTCCCCTGTGGGGTGAGAAGGGTGGAATATAAATACTGTAAATAAATAAGTAAATAAATAAATAATCTGCGCCTTGAATTAGGATCAGAAACTTATCGGCAGGCAGTGGAGCTGCTTTAATAGGGGTGTGGTGAAATCTGGTTGCCGACCTGGCAGTGGAGATTCATAGAATCCAGTTCAAAGCAAATAACCTGGGATCAAATCCTGGGATATAGGACAGAGTAGAAGGGGCTGTACAAGCTAGGTTATGTACGTTTCTTAAGTTGAATTTATATGTAAGTTGGAACAGTTACATTTGTAAGTGTAACGCCAGCCAAAAAAGTTTTTTTTTAAAAAAAGTTTAGGATAGCATAAAAAGGGTTAACACGCTGTAACATTTGTTTTTGCTGTGCCCCTGTTCAGAAAATTTCACCTCATTTTCTGTCCCTATGACAATTGGATTTTGAAATTTTTGGTTTGTCATGGAAACAAGGATTGGTTTGAAGTTTGGAGGCATGCAAGAGCACACTTGCTTATGGACAGTAAGCCGGTATTTTTCAGGATTTTGGCTTATTTTGTGTGAACATGGCTAGATATTTCACAACTTGCTATCACTACCATCTGTACTATCTTTTGCAACTGGTGCTTCAGTTGCAGATTTGGAAGTGCAGAATCTATTTAAATGAATATACTCTACATTGGACAACAATATTCAGTAAATTGGAAGGAAAAGAAGGAGAGTTGGTTTGATTCAATCAAGCTTCCACCCTAAATTTGCAAGACCAAGCAAGGCAGTTGATGACCTGATCTCTTGGAAGTCTCTCACTCATAATTCATGCAAAACTTATTCTAGTCTTGTTTCTTTATGTCTTTATTTTCAAGGGTGGGGTTCAGTTTCTAGCAGATGTAAAGCTCCTTATTATCTTCACACCCTGCTCACAGTGCAAATGTCTGCTTGCTGGACCAAGAGATTAGAGATAAAACCATGTTAAGTCTCAAGAGTAGTCTGAATAGGTACTGCAGAATTCACTGGAGGAGCAGACTTCCCTTGTGGCACATCTGTCCCTCAATTTGAAGATACTGCTATCGTTTGAAGGCTAATAATAGCCACAAGTCTGGCCAACAGTAACATGGCAGAGTATGGAGTGATCCCATTCATGTTTCAGCCAGCTAAGCATGGCCTTTTAAAACACAAACACCCCACTGTGTTTTTAATGGGTAATATTATAAAAAGCATGTTTTGACCCTAAATTGAATTTTTATCTCTAAGACTTCACCAAATGCTTTGATTTTCACTGGAAACGTAGATTTCCAAGAAGACATATTTCTTGTTTTAACAACTGAGTCATCACAACCAGAGTCTGGATTTTTCTTTCCAGTCTTGAAACCTTGGCTGAACTTGATGCATATATTCTGTTAAGGGAAACACGTGTTCTTCTCCTTACACTTCGAATTCAGGATGTGTCCTTTCACATTGCACAGTTTGAGGGCTATGATTCTCTTTTATTGAATCACAAGTGATATCCTAGCAAATTCTGGGGCTTATGTTTTAGTGAGGCACTGGAGCTCCTAAGCTGCAAATTCTAGGATCCCATTGGGCTTTGCCATGGCAACTGAATAGAAACCATAGTGCTGTAACTGTAGTGTGAAAGGGACATGAGTGAAGAAAATGAGACTATTAATTGGAGTTGCACTTAGGCAAAATGGTCAAAACAGCTAATTTACAATAATCACACCAATCAATCACAACTGTGTAATTGTTTTTACTGCAACCACAGAGCTAAATTTCACAAAAATGAGTTTATGTTGGGTTGCTGTGAGTTTTTCGGGCTATGTGGCCATGTTCCTGTAGCATTCTCTCCTGATATTTCACCTGCATCTATGGCAGGTATCCTTAACTGAACAAACCTCTGAGGATGCCTGTCATAGATGCAGGTGAAATGTCAGGAGAGAATGCTACTGGAACATGGTCATATTGCCTGAAAAATTCACAGCAACCCAGTGATTCCAGCCATGAAAGCCTTTGACAATACATTGAGTTTATGTTGTTGGTTCTCCTGTGCTGCCCAGTTTATACCAACATCCTGTACTGTTAATGATTTGCTTCTCCTTTGTTAAAATAATGTTTCTTTTTTAAACTTTCAGCTGATTTACACATCCTTTGTCTTCAGAAGACAATTGTTGCCATTCAGAGCAAAAGATGATCTCACTGGCAAAAGTATCCTTGGAAACATTGGCAGCCAACACAGAGCACTTGATTCATCTACCTACATAGGCCATTGCTTGACCTAGGCACCACCAGATATTATTGCTTTGCATATAAGTTTCAATGCATCCATCATTATTATAGAATAAAGTTTAAGTTTCAATTAGCTGGCTCTCTGACTTTAAAAATCCCAAATAGAACACATTCATCATCTCATAGGGGTTTATTATGAGGATTGGGTTCTGGGAATAGTATTATGTAAAATTCAGTTTTTCCAGATAATGTTTTCCAAATCTGGAGGATTCTACAAACTGTACTGGAAATCTGTAGGGTTTCTTGGAATAAAACGGGTTCAACATACTGGTAAGTATTGATATTGCCCTGTCATACATGAATTCAGAATAATGTTGAGTTCGGTCCTACCACCATCAGTGTTACACTTTCACTCGAAATTTCCAAAGGCCTTACTGGTCATCCTCTGAATTACAGAGCATGAATCTAGGCACACCAGATATGACAAAAGTAGATCTTCAACCATTTTTTTTAAAAGATCAAAGTAATAGGGCATATAGAATAGACTTATGTGAATCAAAAGGCCACTGGAGCAAGGAAATGATTTAGATAAATGAGGGGGGGGGGGAGGAAGGGAGAGATGAACAAACCAATGCAATTGGCCTGTGGCCCTCATTCCAAATCATAAACCTGTGTCTGCTTTGGGCATTTTAAAAAAGCCCTCCAGAAAGAAACATGATTATAGGTTCCTCACAATTCACTTGGTTTCAAACTAAACCAAAGGTGAGAATCTTTTCGTCCCAAAGCCAGATCTAACCTGTAAGCATTCCCAGGAAATACACAAGGTTCTTCCACAGGCCCTGACCGTTCACCATTATTTAAGAGCTATGGGAAATGTGAAAAATGTATGCACCATGTGCAACATCCAGAGGCATATTTGTGTTCACAGAGCCCTATTTGTATGTGTGTTTTTACAAAACAATGGTGGTCATTTTTGCTTCATTTTTGGTGTGCGCTTCTCTCACCATACATCAGGAGAACAGATCTAGGATTTGGCTATTTAGACTGCAATCACATATATTTATGCAGCAATAAACCACATTAACATAGTACTTCTGTATGCTGCTTTAGGGAGTATATTACAGCCCCTATTTAGAGGAATTTTAACCAAAATCTAGGTGCAATGATTTGCTATCCTTTCAGGAGTACTATTTCTTCAGTACTTCCCCTTCATCTAAGAAATCTACAGCAGTACTGTAACACTATAATTTACATTTAAATCAGAAGGTGGGACACAGCAGCAGATCTGAATGTAGAGACTTGTGGTACTCTATTTGTTGTTTAAGCCTTCATTGTCCCTTTACCCCAACAATGCTCCCTATGCAAAAGGGGGGATTTAGAAATGGTGCTGGCACTCTATGTTCCAACTTGTTAGCAAGATTTACTTGAAGTGTAAGCATGTTTTCAACTGCTGAAAATCAGTTAAAAGCAGAGCTGCCTTTTAGATAAAACTTGTACAAACTGAAAGTGTGGTTACAATTTTAGAATTATAAAAACACTGTTCTGTATCAAACAGAAATTATAATAATTAAGAATTTAATATAAACACTGTTGTCCAGTTATTCTGGCATTGTCAGCATGCAACTGGTGAAATGGGATGCAGTTCATGAAAGCTTATGTCAATAAAACCATTAACCTTTTGTTAGGTGACACAACAGGGACTAGAAGCTCAGCAAGGTCAGCTTTGGTTAGGACTTGGATAGGAAATTTACTTATGTATTTATATATATCCAGCATTTCTACCCCATCCTTCTCAATCCCCGAAGGGGGACTCAGGATGGCTTACATTTGGCACAATTTGATTCCGTTAAATATAACAAAGCAATATAACAACAATTAAAACAATAAATAGAACATTAATGAAAACAATGAAAATAGTATTAACCGCCGTATCACCATTCCAGTCAAATTCCATATCCAAAGTGCTATTTATGCCTGCTGTCCAAAAGACTGGTCCCAGAACCACGACTTCGGATTCTTCCTAAAAGACAGGAGGAATGAAGCTGATCTTACCTCGTTGGAAATTGCCAGCAAATACCAGGTGCTGTAGGCTATATTTCACAGGAAGGAACTGGCAAAACAACTTGGGTATTATTTGCCTTAAAAACCCTATGAAATTCATGAAGTTACCATAAAGTCAACAGATAACTTCAATGCACATAGGTTTCTTGTTGATCACTATGATGTATGGCAGATTTTGCCCTTTAGTATGTTCAGGGCAAAACATTTATCAGGAACATTCCTAAATTTCCACTGCAGTGTTTGCTAAAGAATTCAAAGATGTAAGTGGTGCCTTTTAACATCTGACAAAACTCTACAGATCGAGCTTTGCCTTCACAAAATCATAAGGAGGAAAAAATGACTAAAGTTGAGTTGGAGGAAACCATGGCCCTCCAGATATTGATGGGCAGTTCTACCTCTGACCACCAAACCTTGTGGTTGGGTTCATTGTGAAATGAGGGTCTAAGAGACCTGTCCCACTGCACCATTAAGAGTACAAGGGGTGGATCTACACGGGCCCACTATCCTGGGACTAGTTCAGTGTGGTGTTTGCTGGGCCAGCTCTGGAATCATAGGCACTCTCCTGGCTGCTGCAGAGGCCACCCTTGCTGCTGTCCCCTCTTGTTCTTCATGTCAGAGCAGTCTCCAACCAAGCCATGGGTCCTACCATTCAGGGATCGCCTGCAGTGATGCCAGCCAGGTAACAAGGGAGGGGAGAGAGGAGAGAGGAGAAATCACCCTTCCTCTCCTAATTCCTTCCCCCAATCACTGCAGGTGACAGCTGACTAGCAGAACCAATGCCATGGCCAGAGATCACCATGATATTTATTTATTTACGACATTTATATGCTGCCCTTCTCACCCTGAAGGGGATTCAGAGTGGCTTACAAAATATATATACATACAATATATTATATTATTAGCATAGCACAATGTCAGTATTATATATTACTATATTGTACCATACAATTATATTGCAATATTAGTAATATTACTGATATGGAGAACAGGAGGGGATGCTGAACACCACCTAAACACTAAGAAAAACTTCCTGATGGCAACAGCTCTTTGGCAGTGGACTATGCTGCCTGGGAGTCTGGTGGAGACTCCTTCTCTGAAGGTTTTTAAGCAAAGGCTGGGTGGCCATCTATCAGGAGTGTTCCTGCATAGCAGAATCGGGTTGGACTGGATGGACCTCGTGATCTCTTCCAATATCATCCTATGCCTGAGCCCAGAAAACAAAAAACAGTTGTACTGATTTGTTTCAGAACCAGTCCAAATATTCTAAAGGTTCTGAAGTTAGGAGATACACTGAATCCTGGGCCAGAAGTTGGCACTGCCTCGCATTACCCTGGATCAGCTCCCTGTCGCTTTGGCCATCACAGAGCAGATCCACACTAAATCGTTGAGTGCAGATGTGCCCTGTGATTCCATTTCAGCTGCCATGGCAACATCCTATGGAATCCTGGGACTGGCAGCCTAGAGATTGAGCAGCAGAGAAGTAATAAATACATTATTACCATTATCATCAACATCCAATCGCACTCAGTTCCCTTATCTCCAGCCCCCCTCCAAACTACAAATCCCCTGATTCCACTGGATCAGTGGTTCCCAACCTGTGGTCCGTGGACCACCAGTGGACCATAAGAACAGAAATATGATCCACGGTCTCACCATTACAACATTGCCTCAAAACCACATGGCAACAAGTGACTGGTTTCACAAAACCCTCTTATAATGCTGAGGCAACTGGGATGTTGGGAGAGGCTAACTACCCATGAAAGATTACTAGTACCTAGGCGATCCCTCGTCGTCCGAGTAGGATAGTCTTCCAAGATCAGTGTGCTGGCAGTGGGTTCATAGGTGACTGTGGAGCCCTATCCTTGATCTGCATCTTCTCCCGCAGTGAGGGCATTGGTTTCCAGGTGGAAAGTAGTCCTGGTCAGGGTTGGCTTGACGTGCCTTTCTCTTGGCATGTTTCTCTCTTTCACCCTCCATTCGTGCCTCTTCAAATTCTATAGCACTGCTGGTCACAGCTGACCTCCAGCTGGAGCGCTCAAGGGTCAGGGCTTCCCAGTTCTCAGTGTCTATGCCGGAGTTTTTAAGGTTGGCTTTGAGCCCATCTTTAAATCTCTTTTCCTGTCCTCCAACATTCTGTTTTCCGTTCTTGAGTTCGGAGTAGAACAACTGCTTTAGAAGACGGTGGTCGGGCATCCGGACAACGTGGCCAGTCCAGTGGAGTTGATGGCAGAGGACCATTGCTTCAGTGCTGGTGGTCTTTGCTTCTTCCAGCATGCCGACATTTGTCTGCTTGTCTTCCCAAGAGATTTGCAGGATTTTTCGGAGGCAGCGCTGGTAGAATCGTTCTAAGAGTTGCATGTGACATCTGTAGATTGTCCACGTCTCGCAGGCAAATAGCAGCGTTGGGAGGACAATAGCTTTATAAACAAGCACCTTGGTCTCCCTACGGATGTCTCGGTCCTCAAACACTCTCTGAAGCAGAGTGATTACTAGTACATCTGCACTCGATTATTAAATATGATTTTCTGTGAGCGAGCAAATGGTGATTACTGGATGGCATATGTTTTGTATCAGAAACTAGAGCTGATGTGGTCTATTCCAATGCGGTTTTGTGAATCTGCACCCCAGATAACCAAACCAAATCTAAAGTTGGCTAAAAACCGATTTATAACCTTTTTGGTACGAATGTTGGAGAGTGGTCCCTGGTCAAAAAAAGGTTGGGAAGCACTGGAAGTTGCCATGGCAGCTGAAATGAACCCATGGCCCTATAAGAGTACAGTATGAGGGGACCCTGGAACGATTTCCATTAAACAATAGGGATTCAATTCCCTCATAAAATAGAGAGAAGGGGGGATGGGATAATATAAACTGAATAAGGCCAGTGCTGTTTCTGCTTATTCTGAAGGAAATGACAAAGCAAGACCACGAGCGAGGAGAGTCCTGACTCCAAGAGTACTCATCCTCCCTTTCCCCCTCCCCACCCCGTCCACGCGACACGACGCCTTTAAGGCGCATGCGCAACGCCCTCCCATTTCACGCCAACGAACCCTCTCGATGTCGCCTAATCTCCCCCCTCTCCCTGTATTCCGGACCAATCACGAGCGCCGTCCCTCACTTCAGAGACGCTCAAAGTGCGTGATCTGCCGTCTCTTCTGATTGGGGGGCCTCTGTTCCTTTCGGCGGCGGGACGAAAAGCGCATGCGTGCCCCCGCCTCGCGCGCGCGTGGCCCAATCGGGCGCCGCGGAGCACCCCACGTGAGCCGAGCCGCCCCCGCCTTTCCTTTGGGCTGTGTCAAGCGGCGGCCACCAACGTGGAGGGCGGAAGGCGCTGCTGCTGCTCTTGCCGCGTGAGCGGAGGCTGTGGCCAGGCCGGCGGCGGTTGCGGCGGGAGGAAGGCCGGAGAAGGGCCGGGCGCGGCGGGGAGGAGGAGGCCCTGAGGGAAGCGGACAGCCAGCCAGAACCGGTTTGAACCGGAGGAGGAGCCGCCGCCGCCGCCATGGCTGAGACTGAGGAGCGGAGCTTGGACGACTTCTTCGCCAAGAGGGACAAGAAGAAGCGGAAAGAGAAGAGCGCGCGCGGAGGGGGAAGCAGCGCCTCCAATGCTGCGGCTTCCGGGGCTGGTTCGGGGAGCGTCGCCGCCGCCTCGTCGGGCTCTTCCCACGCGGGCGGAGGAGCCGGGGGGAGCCGGCAGGGCGAAGGCGGGGCCGGCGGGGCGCCCAACGCGAACGCCGCCTCGTCTGGAGGGGCCTCCGGGTCCGGCGCCGCCTCGAGGGCCGCGCACAAGGTGAGGGAAGGAAGCGGGGGAGGAAGGAAGGAAGGCAGGCAGGCCTCCCTCATGTGGCGCCCGCCCAAGTGGGCCTCCTGCCGGCAGAGGGCGCCGCTCTGGCCTGACTGGGCCCCCGAGGAAGGCCCCATCACTGAGGGAGGGAGGGAAGGGCGGCCTCCGGACACGAAAGGGCGCCTTGGGGCAAGAAGGCCGCCAAGGGGAGCCTCCCCACGCGCCCTCACTGCAGAATGGAGGCAGCGTGACCCCTCTTTGCACTTCCCTGGCTCAATGCCCTGGAGCCTTGGGAGTTGTACTCTCACAAGACCCTTAATAATAATCATTATCTATATAAATAAAAATGTAATGTTCGTTTGTGGGATTAACAGAACTCAAAAACCACTAGGGGAATTGACACAAATTTGGACGCAATACACCTAACAGTCCCAACGAATATCCATCAGCCCTAAACACACACACACACACACACACACAAAGGGACATAAAAAGAAAAGAAGAGAAAAGAAAAAGGAGAAAGAGGAGGGGAAGAAAAGAAAGAAAGAGGAGGGAAAGAAGGAAAGGGAGAGAAAAGAGGAAGGAAGGGCAGGGGAGGGAGGAGGAAGAAAAAAAGGGAAAAAGGGAAGGAGAAGGGAAAAAGGGAAAGAGGGAGCAAAGGAAGGGGAGAAGATGTAGAGAAAGAGGGAGGGAAAGAAGGAAAGATAGACAGCAGAAGAGAAAGAAAAAGGGGGAAGGAAGGAAGAAGAGAAGGAAAGATGGGAAGGAAGGAAAAAGGGAAAGAAGGAGAGAAAGAGGGAAGGTTGGCCACAGCAACAGGTGGCGGGTACAGTTAATGTTTGTTTGTGGGATTAACATAACTCAAAAACCACTGGGGGAATTGACACCAAATTTGGACACAAGACACCTCTCAGGCCAACGAGTGACCATCACTCGTAGAAACACTGAAAAACACAACAAAACAGACTTTAAAAGCCATTTAAAAAAACACACACACATTACAACGGATGCACAAAGCCACACATATACATGAATATATATACACACACATATATACACACACATATATACACACACAAAACACATACACAGGCTGGGCCACAGCAACGTGTGGCAGGGGATGGCTAGTCTATATAAATACAAATGTTATGTTTGTTTGTGGGATTAACATAACTCAAAATCCACTGGGGGAATTGACACCAAATTTGGACACAATACACCTCTCAGGCCAATGAGTGATCATAACTCTTAAAAATACTTATAAAACACAGCAGAAGATACTTTAAAAGCCATAAAACAAAAATTACATTACAACGCATGCACAAAACCACACACACACACATATATGTATATATACACAAATATATACTCACACAAGTGTGTGTGTGTGTGTGTGTGTGTGTGTGTGTGTATATATATAAATGTAATGTTCATTTGTGGGATTAACATAACTCAAAAATCACTGGACAAATTGACACCAAATTCAGACACAATACACCTCTCAGGCCAACTAGTGACCATCGCTCAAAAAACACAGCAGAAAATACTTAAAAAGCCAGAAAACAAAAAATGCATTACAACGCATGTGCAAAACCACGTATATACACAAACACCCATATATACACAAATATATACACACACAAAACCCATATACACATACTGAGCCACAGCAACATGTGGCAGGTGATGGCTAATAATAATAATAATCTCCCCAAAAATAAAACCATCTCCCCAAAAGGAACTCATGGCGGCTTACATGAGGCCGAGCCCAGCAATACAATTACAACAAAATACAATAAAATAAAACCAAACAACAAAACTAATATCACAATAAGATAAATAAAGCATAGGAATACAATAAAAACAAAACAGAATAATGCAATGAGAAATCAATTCTCTGCCCAAGATGAGGGCAGGCGCCTTGCTGAACTACAACTCTTGGGATTCCATCATCCCGTTTCAAAATCACTGCTGTGGACCTCATCCCACTACACTTTAAAGCAGTGGTTCCCAACCTTTTTTTGACCAGGGACCACTCTCCAACATTAGTAGCTTAGTATCAGTGCTGTGGAGCCCTGGGAGCTGTACTCTCACAAGGCCCTCCTGGCCCCTCTCCACCCAGAATGAGGGCAGGCGCCTCGCTGAACTACAACTCCCGGGATTCCATCATCCTGTTTCAAAGGCCCCTTCCACACAGCTGAAAAAAATCCCACATTTTCTACTTCGAACTGGAATATATGGTAGTGTGGACTCAGATATCCCAATGCAAAGCAGATATTGTGGGATTATCTGCCTTGATATTCTGGGTTATAGGGCAGTGTGGAAGGGCCCAAAATCACAGCTGTGGACCTCATCCCATTATATATTAAATCAAAGGTTCCCAACCTTTTTTTTGACCAGGGACCACTCTCCAAAATTAATACCAAAAAGGTTACGAATCAGTTTTTCGGTCAACTTTAGATTCGGTTTGGTTATTTGGGGTGCTGATACAGAAAATGGCATTGAATAGACTACATTAGCTGTAGTTTCTGATACAGGATATATGCCATCTGGTAGTCACCACCTGCTCACCCACAGAAAACCATATTTATTAATCTAGGTGCAGTGGGTTAAATTGCTGAACTTGCTGACCAAAAGGTCGCAGGTTCAAATCTGGGGAGCCGCATGAGCTCTTGCTGTTAGCAGGAGCTGCTGTTTTTGCCAGCAGTTTGAAAACATGCAAATGTGAGTAGATTAGTGGGTACCACTCCAGCGGGAAGGTAACCGCTCCATGCAGTCATGACCTTGGAGGTGTCTACCGACAACTCCGGCTCTTTGGCCTTGTAATGGAGATGAGCACCAACCCCCAGAGTCAGACACGACTGGACTCAGGGGAAAACTTTTACCTTTATCTAATTTGGAAATAGCAATCTTTTGTGGGTAGTCAGCATCTCCCCTGCCAACATCCCTGTTGCCTTGGCACTATAAGAGGGTTTCAAGGCAACGATGAAGTGATGGTGAGGCCGTGGACCACATTTTCATTCTTGCAGACCACTAGTGGCCCATGGGCCACAGATTGGGAACCACTGCTTTAAAGAGAAGGTCTAGAGCAGGCCTGGCCAAACTTCAGCCCTGTGGATGTTTTTGACTTCAACTCCCAGAATTCCTGACAGCCTAACACCCAAAGAAATGCATTAAATGTAGTATATGCAAATATAAACAACTCTACACACTTGTGGCTTGTTCTTGCAGGTATGATTATTTGTTGATTTGATTAACATTGTATCTCTAAGATTTTCTGGCTCCTCCAGCATAACTCTTTGGTCAAATCCTGCTGGCAGTTGAACATGGAGCCATCCTGGAGGATATAGCGATTCCTAGAAATAACATGTCTCAGTGAATCTCTCAAGTCCTCCAGTACAACTCTGTGATCAGGTTCTGCTAGAATGTGGCTATAAGGTTGCACTAGGGTAGGCATGGGCAAACTTTAGCACTCTGGGTGTTTTGGACTTCAACTCTCACAATTCTTAACAGCCGTTTGAACAGTCAGATCTTAAGTCCTCCTTAAAAGTCATGCGGGTGGTTGCTTGTCTAATCTCCCTGAGGAGGGCATTCCGTGGGGGGGGGGGGCACTTATTGAAAAGGCCCTCTCTTTCATTTCTACCAGCCTCGTTTGTGATGGGGATGGGATTGAGACTTGGGCCTCCCCAGCCGATCTTAAAGCCCAAACTGGTTCATAAAGGGAGATCCGGTCACGTAAATAGACAGGACCCAAATCTATCGGGCTTTATAGGTAGCAACTTTTTTAGGAGTGATTTTCCCTTCATGTCCAAGTTTTTTATGGCTGGAATCACTGGGCTGCTGTGAGTTTTCTGGGCTGTATGGCCATTTCCAGAAGCATTCATCAGAAGATAATGCTTCTGGAACATGACCATACAGCACGGAAAACTCACAGCAAGACTTTCCATTCCTTAGGATAGATTTCTCTCTCTTCCTGTTGTCTCTCCCCCCATTCTTAACTATGAGTCAAATGTTAGTAACTTGAGTACTGCTTGTACTGGTATGCAAGTATCAGCACACACAAATGTTTGAAAATAAAAATTAAACCCAGGAAAGGAGCATTTCCTGGCATGAATACTCCTTTCCCAACAACCCATTCCACCCACCAATTATTTCTTCTCTCAGTGACACAGAGAAACAGTGCTTCCTGAAGGGCCAGCCACAAACTTAAAAAGTCTGGATTTTTGGTAAAACATGGGGATAAAAGGTAGTACTCTTTTGAAATGCATTAAAATGCAAAAAAAAAAATGCATTACAAAGAAATCACAGATATCATGGGTCTTGATCAGAGTGCCTATGAGGCGAGTATGATTTTTTTTTACATACATGGAGACAATTTCCTACTCCTATCTGTAGGCACTGATGCCACTCCTTTTTTGTGCTGATCCTGACAATATTTTATGTACCTTACATGCTTCTTTTTGTGATTAGCTATCATCTGTGTCATGTCTCTATTCTCTTCTGGTTTTTTGGGGGTTTTTTGTCCTAAATCTGAAAACCCTTAGAGGAATTTCACCAGATAATACCTATGGCCATTGGATTTTATGATTATACAGCTTTTTCAAGGTCCCTTTAAACTTCAGACAAAATTCTCACCAAATGTGACAAGTTTCGATTTTTAATCATAAAGCAAGTCTCAAGATTCTGTCACATTTAAGTGTCAATAATTAATTGCTCCCAAGTTTTACAAAGGATGTATGTGAAGCACTTTTCTACCACCCAACCGCTTTGTAAAAAAAAGCCCTATTCCTGTAATATGAAAGAAAATCACTTTATCCATATTAGTCATCATCTTTTGTGTATGGAAATTTGAGGAAAGTAGGTCATTTTTTCTGCTTGAGGTAATTGGGATGTATTGGGGTGTGGTTTTATAGCGAGAGCATGGTGACGAATCTGTGACTGTAAAACTTGCATTTTGGCTGTTGAAAGCCCTACCCAGCATAAGCAGTGATGAGGAAAAATGGGAGTTGCTGTCCATCATCATATAGAGATCCATCTATTCCTTGGGTAAGCCAGTCAATGTTCAGAAGTCTTTTTGAGATTAAGGAATATTGTAATGCATGTGAATTAGGAAGACACAATAGAAGAGAGAAAAAACTTATTTCTTTGCTGGTTTGCAAGTTAACTATCAGCAATGGTGTTCTTGTTTCCTCTGTGTCTTTTTTAGGCAGCTAAAGAGTAGATTCCCTAGTATTCTACTAAACTGTATACATGCTTTGTATCCTAGGCATAGTCAGGTTAATAGGCCATGAACAATTACTTGCTGTTTCAAATTTAATTATTTGCTCTTAGATAGGTAAATGGGTAATCTTTGTTAAACAGACATCAGGTTGGATTTAAAAAGTCACTGTATTCTATTATATGACAATATTTGTTGTCAGTTGTTTCTTTTCTGCCTTCCATCCTTTTTCTACAAATATACCCCAAATAATTAAAGGCATCCTGTTTAATTCTACATTTAGCAGAATGTTTGGGTCCTTGAATTCAGGAGTGTGTGATATAATGAGAGAAGTAGGTCAAGCAAACACGTCTGAGTCCAAGTATCTTCATAAGAACCATAAAGAGGGTTTAATATCTTGGAAAGTTCAAATTATAGAGCATTCATTATGTTTTCACACTGCTTCTTGTCTGCTTCAATCCAGTTGACTGACATCAGAAATTAGTGTAACTTAAAAAAAAGATAACAATATAAAGAATTCAAAATAATCTTGCTCATTGTTTATTCCTATATGAAATTCATGCATTGCTTCTTATCACTAGAAAAATCATAAATCTGTTTTAAAAAGGAAAATGTATAAAGAACCATATTACAAACAAGAAAGTGCATGTTCATTGTACTGCATAATTGATATCACAATGATAATGTGTTCATCAGTATATAGTAAAGCTCTTAAAATGCCTTTATTTACATTAGTCATCTTTATATTTACACCATGAACAGCCTAGAATGAGCACCATAAGCCAGTACTAGATAGCCTTTCCAGTGTCTAAATACTTTGAACAATAAATATGGTTCTGGCTTGTATTAGAAAGGTGACAATGCTGGTAGCAGGGAAGCTTCTGTGGGGAAATACTTTTGAATGTAGAATTTGGATGAGGAGATGAGCAGCAGTCATTTTACCCGGTAACTAAAGTGTCAGAATTTAAAGACACCTTAGAACTTAAAAGTGTCATTTAGTGTGAAGTTTTGTGTTGTACAATGGTTTTAAAATTGTGTCAAGGCTTCTAATGTTTTACAGTCATTTCACAACTTACTGTGCTATTCAAAATTCTAGCATAGTCATACTGTGCCTGATTCTGATCTGAGAATTTGGTTTTCCATATATAGTCAGTTGTTCTGCAAAAATAAAAATAAGCATACACATTAATCAGATATGTACAGCGGACTCAACATATCTGGGGATTCTGCTGATTTAACCAACCGTGGATCCAAAATAAAAATGAAAGAAAATTTGGGGACATGGTGGTGCTTTTGGGCACTCCTTCTTCATTTGGGAGCAAGAGTATTGTTGTCATTTGCCATGTCCTGCAGAAGCTATTTGCTACTGTGCTATTGGCAGCAGTTGTGAGTAGCTTCCTTGGGGACATGGCAATTGGCAGTGGCACTCCCACTTGTGAATGAACAAACCAACAACACCAAGACGGAGGATAACAGGAGGAGCAGGAAAGCAGTAGGGGAGGGGTGAAAGAAGTGCATTGGGACTTGAAAATGTAGCTGGGGTATCTTGGTGAGAGACAGGAGGAGAGTTAAGACCAATTACCATGATCCTAAAGAAGATGCTTGCAGCCACAGCCAATTGTGGGATGAATGAACAAGCAGAAACTCCTGCCACCACCTATCACCATGTCCCTGCCAGCCAGAGCTTGCTGCTGCTGTTGCCGCCACTCTGCAGGCACTTGAGCATCCACAATTTTTGGTATCTGCAGGAATCCTGGAGCCAATCCCCCCAGATACCAAGGGCTCACTGTATGTGAAATATTTGAACATTAATAGTGTGCTTTGTGCTTTTGGAGTGGGTTGCATTCTGCTTCTGAAACAGTAAAAGAAAGGAAGTATTGACATCAGGAGAGGGTTTTTAAAAACTATTACACAATCATTCCATAGTTTACTGTACTTGTTAATTTCTGTTACATAGTGAGGTGCTGATAATGAGCTTATATAATGTTCATGTCTTTCAGGAGGAGGATGACTGGAAGGAATTTGAGCAGGAAGAAACAATTGATTACAGTGGCCTCAGAGTTCAATCCATGCAAATTAGGTATGTTTTAAAAGCGCATTTTAAGTATAGTAATTTATGTTCTGATTGTACATGCTGATAGTTATAATAAGCTTACTAATAGCTTGTTGGCAATAGTTTCCATTGGCTCAAACCAACCTGTGATCATCCCCTACATGTATCAGTATGTTTGGCATGACTGATGTTTCTGGAAGTTCTTTCTCAAGATAATGACAATCAACATGAAAAATACAGGTTTAGCAATATTTTGTACATGAGTGTATACTCCCGGCTCTTCTTCTTCTTCTTCTTCTTCTTCTTCTTCTTCTCTCTTTTTTTTTTTACTACAATTTGCTTAGTAATGTTGTTTTGTGTAATGTTCTTAAAACAATGAACAATGAATTACGTTTTTTGAAAACATAATTTAAGTTAACGAAACACTACACACACACACATATGGCCAAGTACTATGGGGAGTATATGGTTTTAAAATGGCAACTCAGAATATTATATCTTTTTTTTTTTGAGTGTCAGGAGCGACTTGAGAAACTGCAAGTTGCTTGTGGTTTGATAGAATTGGCCGTCAGCAAGGATGTTGCCCAGGGGACGCCCCGATGTTTGATGTTTTATCATCCTTGTAGGAGGTTTCTCTCATGTCCCTGCATGGGGAGCTGAAGCTGTCAGAGGGAGCTCAACCTGCTCTTCCCAAATTCAGAACTCCGACCTGTCGGTCTTCAGTCCTGCCGGCACAGGGATTTAACCTATTGCCTCTATCTCCCCGAAGGGACTTGGGGCGGCTTACATGGGGATAAACCTTCAGCAGATATATTTCTAGAATTGAGAATTCAATGCTGGTGGGCCTTCACCTTGACCATGTTTGCTTATGAATTGAATGAAGGGCAATCATGTATCCCAAAAGGTGTCCCAAATAAGATGATTCTACTCTTTGAGCTACGTGATGCTGTGCATCTTGATTCTTTTGCAGCTATTTCCTTTGCCAGCTGGAAATCTGTAGTTTTGTAAGTTCTTATGCTTACAAAACTACAGATTTTTGTGGGATTCTTGACCTTTGATCCATGGACCCAGGGGAGCCATGATGTCCTCATAGAAGGTCTTTGAAGGCTTGAAGAAATGTTACCAACGTTTACAGTTAAATCAGAAAGATAGACATCATGAATGGAGGAAAAAAATGAACAAGGTAGACAGTCAGATGGTCTTACATAGATCTCAAAGAACGGGGATCTTGCCGTTGCATGTCAATACAATATTTCAAACTGTCCAAAAGTTATGAAAATAACTGCTTTAATAACAAAAAATGTATTGAGCACTTGATGCATCTGCATGCATTTAAAACATGCAAATGAATCACACTGAGTGAAAGTGCATAACATTTCTTTCTGCCATGCATACAGCTGGTAACCACCTTTGCAGCTGCACCAAACTCTGGTGGTGTCCATGTTGCATCACCCCATTCTCAGAATATCTGTTTCTTCCTAGAATTATGTAGTTATTGAGAATCCTAGAGCTTAGGGTTTTAAATGTTAATTCTTGGTGGTCTGCAGCAACAAGCTATTTACAGGAGGTCAGTGATAAAGAAAAGGTTAAGAACTGCTGCTCTAAGTAATACTTTTCTTTTTCTTGTTAATATTGCATTCTATCCTTTTGTGTAGTGATCCTCAAGCTTGGACACAATCATCAAAAATATGTGCTTACATATTCTGTTGTATGTAAAAGATGGATACTATAGCATTCTCTGTTTTTCTGTCAGTGAAAAAGATGACGAAGAAAGTGAAAAAAGAGATGAACCCCGAGATAATAGTGAAGAACCAGGTGGGGGTTCAGACAAGTCATCAGGTCCTTGGAATAGATCTGCTCCAACACAGATACCTGTTGCTGAACCTGTTGGTAAGTTTTGATTTTTTTCCCCTCTGTTATCTAAGGAACGTTAGTTGATTTGGTTGTATTCAGCCTTCGTTTTTCTTGTTGGCAGCCAAGATAGTCCAGACATCTCAGCATTTTATAACACAATTCACATAAATTAGAAGGATTGGCTCATTTGTTGACTATGGCCTTGATATTTTACTACGAAAATTAGCATTTGCGGCCCTCCGGTATTTTGGATTTTGGCTCCCAGAATTCCTGACCACTGAACAAGCTGGGCTTCAGAGAGTTGGAGTCCCAAACACCTGGAGGGCCACGAGTTGTGCAGGCCTGCTCTATCCCCTGGGGAAGAATCCAAAGAAACAGTTCCAAATGCCCTCTGGGAAAGTGGGAGAGGGAGATTTTGCCATGTTTGGTGGACGAGGGGCCAGGCCTGGGAGAAGATCACTTTCTGTCCACTCTGTTTTTGTTTTGTTTTTTAAAAGACCTTCCCTGCATTTAAAATGGCCATTAGGGTGGAAATGACACTGGAGGCCCTAAGTATTTTAAATCTTTTCTATCCCTGAAGCCACAAAAATAACCTTCCCAAGTAAGAATGAACATGGTTTTTTTCATTCTTACTCTAGATAGATCATTGTATGGTAATAAGTTGCCACTGCCTTTTTAATTACTCAAACCACCTTATCACTGCTGCTGCCTCTGTTGTATCCTTTAGTTGTATTTGCCTGGCAAAATATATGATTACACTCTTTTCTCTTGCTCAAAATGATATGCAAGCTATTTTTCTTTTGCTTGCTCTACCTTCTTTTGCTTGACAACACAGACAATGTTTTACAACTTTCTCACAAATTATACTTTCACCTTAATGAAAGAAAATTTAATCTTATTTTCACTCTTGGGAAGAAACTACATTTTCTGTTGCATCAGATGTTCTTGCTTATTGATTGATTGGCATGCAAAATATGGAGACCACTTTATTCCAACAAACAGCAAACCTCTCAAATTCAGATATGACTAGACTTAATGTCAGGGGAAACATTTACCTTAATTAGTTTTGATGATATATTTATATCTAATTTTGTCTAGTTAAAGAGATGTGTTGAATCAGCAAAGAGTAAACTGTGGCCCCCAAGGCTTTTTTTTCCAAACTGTCAACCTTATCAGATTCCTTGCCCATTTGTATATGTCGGACACCAAACATTGTTCATCTTTTTAATGCCAATTTTGTAGGGGATTTTTTTAAGCATTGTTGGCTGTCATTGCAGCTGACAATGGAGAGGACTTGCCACTTCTAGACTCAGAGAGGACTTGCCACCTGGAGAGGACTTGCCACTTCTAGACGCAGCTTAGAATTTTTGCTATCAAATTAAAATGTACCAGGGTGACCCCCAAAGACAGCTGGGGATCCTTTCCATATAAATACGAACAGATGTTTCTGAAGTTCTCTATCTCCTTTTTAATAGAAAGCCCAGAGCCCGTGCAGTCCAGTGGGGTATACAGGCCACCCGGTGCAAGAGAAACCAGGACACGGAAAGTGCCACAAGGACCCCCTGAAATATATAGTGACACACAGTTTCCATCATTGCAATCCACTGCCAAGCATGTAGATACTAGAAAGTAAGTATGGTAATAACATTCTGCACAGTTATCTTAAAATTACTTCCCCCACTTCTTTAAAACTTTATAATCCTATCCTTAATAAAGTATCTGTGGTGTAATTTGCACTGGAAGCAGCAAGTTGGTTTTAAAATGCGAACATATTGTTTTCAGCTGTCTGTGGATTATTCTTCCACTGGTTTGATTAAGATGCTTTCTTAAACAGATACTGCTGTTTCTGGGAAGATGATCAGAGGGGTGAGATGACAGAATTTCCGTAACATTGATCTTTTCTGATCCAAATGCTCTGTCACAGCCCTGTGTGGGTTGGAAATTTGGCTTGCCATTTGCGGGACTAAGCAGTTTTGTTATCTTAACAGAATAAATACACTGTTTTCATTTTGTTCCTCAGAGGGTAGCTTGCTTTGCTAAACCAGAATTTAAACTTTATTCTAAAAATGGACAAAACCAGAACAAAAAGTATGTTGGCAAAGATCAGTTTTACGGAGGTTCTTCACAATCTCTCACTAACCCTGAGATTGTGACTGGGGTCCTAAGAACCAAGACCTTGAGTGTGCTCAGTGGGATTGTTTTCTTTGAATACCACACACTACCCACGTTTTGTCACAGACACCATGTAAACCACAATGGATACTTACTACAGAGCATTAGTGGTGTCCACTCAAGAAGCACAAGAACAGATCTCTTGTGGGTATGCAGAACTAAGTGCACAGTTCTTTGCACCAAGCTCTGTGCTTCGGGGTAGTGGCTGAATTTACCAGTCAGTAAGATATTAGCATGTTCATATTTGTTAATGCAATATCGCAGTATTCAAACTTCTGAGATTCTGAATTCACATGATTGCTTATAAACAAAGTGCAATGAACTGTCCACTAGCTCTCCCCATCACATCTTTGAAATTGTGCATTTGACCAGGAGACCCCAGTTCTACAGTAGCTCCCTTGATGATTGCCCATAATTTATACTGTCTGTCACTCTATCCATGAAACTTCACAAGAAAAACAAGTGTCCTTGAATTAATATTACTAAGGGGCAAGTGTGTGTAAGGCACTTACTGATTACATTTATTTTCCCTTAGGGATAAAGAAATGGAGAAGAGCTTTGAAGTAGTAAAACACAAAAATAGAGGTAGGGATGAGGTTTCAAAAACCCAGGCAACTAAACTCCAGCTAGACAACCAATATGCTGTGCTTGGGAATCATTAAAGCTGCACACACATTACAATTAAGGAATGGTTATTTGATACTGTTCCAGTCTTAAGGTAATTAACCTGCATCTGTTATGAACATGCCGTCTTATTTCTGCTGGATCTACTGCAACGAGTGCAGACTACTTTGACGTAAGTGATTGGCGCTTAATTTGGTACTCCTGACTTTCACCTTTGGATATGAGGGAATTAAATGTAAGTGGTCAAACAAAGAGTCCCCAGTGTTTTGATTGCTGTACAGCCAGTGGTTATTTCAAATTTCTTTATGTTCAGATATTGAGCCTTCGTAAGGGTTGACTACCTCAGACTTGCTGCACTCATTGTGGACACCATGTGGATCACAACTTCTGGAAAAGGTTACAACTCTTTAAGTGGCCACCTGAAATGTGAAACCAGCTCTACTGGATTCCTCTCAGACATCTGCAGAAGTCGGCCATCTGGGTTCAGATTTACGATAAATGACAAATTTAAGTGACCTTAAATGAGCAATTTGTCTTGTGCCCCCATTTATTGCATCCTTTCATATGTAGCCATAAGTTACTAGGAACCTCTAGTGTATGCCACTTTCAAAAAAATATGCAGTGTAGTGTTGCTGTAGTTGACTAGATTCAGTTTAGGTTCTCAGAAAATACATACACATCCTGATAGAAAATATAGGGATGCTTGTCTGTGTATATCAACCGGTTTCACTTATGTTTCATTTTTTAAAAATGCCTCTCTTAGCTTGAGAAAGTGCAGTATAGTTAAGTAGCAGCGTGGACTATGCAGGCTATGCATACTTTTCTTTTTCTTTACTGGGTTTCAAGTGACTGCGATATGTGTAGGTTTGCATTCAGTGGCAAATAAATGTTTGTGCTCCACTGGAATCTGGAGTGTATTCTTGAAAAAAATCCATGCAGTATACTTAGCCTTAATATTGTTTTATGGCAAGTATCAGCTGTTGGTCGCACACACTATTGTATTTGCAGGATGGATGTAATGTCTAGTGAAAAATATGTTGTGGGTTCTCACTAGTTGAAATTTGGAACTGTTCTGAGAATAAGGTGTTGTGCTTGATGGCATTTTCCTTCTGCCTCCCCAAGATTGAGGGACAACTTCAGATATGTCCGTCTTTCACCAGCTACATGATCCTTTGTTTGCTAAGATTTGTCCTATATTGTACTGTGTGATATTGACAATGGATAATATTAAATCTAACAAAATCCCAAGTGGCTCTTGACATATATAGAAGGCAACTGTATCTGTTTTATTCTGCTCCTCTGAATTGTCCTTTAGCCGGTAATGTTCAGTATCAGAGAGAGTCCAGCTACTTTCTGGAGTCTTGAGCAAAAATTCAGACATCATAAAAGTTGCTTTGTTGTGTTCTTAAAGATGCACAATTGACTGGTTGTGATAAGAAATCATTGACTTAATGAAGAGCAAAGCTCCCTTCATCTCAATATGGCATTGGGTTTATCCATGAAGAGTTCCTTTGAGAGAGAAAAAAATTGCTAAATAGTTGCCTTTGTATAGAGATGTAAAGTCAGGTCACTGGATGCCCAGAAGTAAACCTACAGGTAACACCATTAACTTGTGTATCATTCCTGAAACTCTCTCTTGCCAACAAAATATTTACGGGGTCTTAAAGCTAAAGAGCAATGATTATGTGGGATTGCATATCACTTTGAAGACATTGCATAAACTGGTAGTTTTAATCCCCTGCTATGGCAATTTATTAAGGATGTTGCACAGGAATCAAGTTTTTATATACTGAATGAGAGGGGAAGAACTTGTATCATCTCTCAGGCATAGTTGGCAGAGCAAGTTAAAATTGTAACATTAATAAATGCAATTTCAAAAGTACCTGGCTCCTGAAGTTTAATGCAAGATGTTGTGATGCCATGCATCATTTAAACTTAAGCATGGCAAAGGTAATATGTGATCATGATGAACTGCGGCAATTTGGTCTTGTGCCCATTACAAGTCCTGTTGGATTCAGTGGGCTTCTTTCCGAGTAGACGTGCATAGAATTTGGCTGTTCACTCTTGCTAAGGATTGATTGTCCTTGGTTTGGTTAGTATAATATGTCTGGTCACTGTCTACCTCACCCTGCATATGCCATTGTTTGCAAAGCCACAGACTAACATAAAGTGACAAGTGAACCGATTTCTTGCTTTTTGTGTGGCAGCAACAGTGCTAACATAGCAAGTTATTCATACTAGAGCAGTTCTCACATGCTGATCCAGTTTTGATACTCTTTAGAAGCCCTAGATTTATCACAGAGATTTTCACTTTGGGGGGAAAACACTTTTATGGAAATACTAAACCACTGAATTGTTTGTTTGAGTCACTGAAGTTTTCATAGACACAATATACCACCTCTAAATCCATGATACATTATTCTTTTTATACTGCTGTTAAAGCCCAAGTATAATCCTATTAGTTTGAACTTGCATATATGTGGTATATGACCTTTAGCATTGTCTGAGGTTTCTGAATCTCAAAATATGCCTAACTACTTTGCCAATATGATAGCATACTTGCCATAGTAAACTGCTTTACAGCTTGTGATCCAGGTGTTTGTAGCAAGACAAGGGAGCATAACTTCCTCCGGAGATAAAATCAGCGATGCAAATAGATTTTGGAACTGTTAATTTCAATACTGATAAAAAATTGTAGTGGCATCCAGTCATTGTTGTCAAGAAGGCATCTACTTTGTTTTAGCAGTTGCTCTTTGAAGTTCAGAATGATAAGATCTCTGCCTCTGAAATCAAAGTTGTCTTTCTGGAATCTGTTCAGAATTTGCCTTCAGATTAGTTACCTGTTCTGTGAATGGATGTGGAGACTGAAATGTATTTGGCACACACCATGTCTCTTAATTTGCCATGCCACTCTTTAGCTGTATCACTAAACTGAGGCGGTTAAAAAAGTCCAGGCCACATTGTCCTGTTCAAATCAGTAGCAATAGTTAAACCATGGAGCTCAGTGAGCAATTGAAAGCCAGCTTCAGACAAAGAAATGAGGGTAAGATGAGCCGGGCCTAAATGTTTCATAGTGTCAATACCATAACAAGGAATCCAGGTTGAAGTAGATAGCTTGTTTGTTAGTAATCAAACATATGTTACAAACATAGATGGGCCATTTTAATGCACCTCTGATACTAGGTATCTGTGAAGAGAGCCTGTGGAGTGGATGCTCATTTTTGGCAAGCTATAGAAGTGCTTGAGAACCTTGACATCATTTTCACAGGCTTTTGTGCAAATGCAACAATGATGTGATGGCAGCCTGCAAGTCCTTTACAGGCGTAGTTGCAGTGGCAATGCCTATATGCAGCAGGGAATCATAGTCACTTCACACCACACTGCTGGCAGACCTGCTCCATAGCTGCATTTTGGGGATGACATTCGATTGGGGGTCCTAGATGTATAAAGCCCAGCCTGCACCAGCCCACTCAACACATTATTACTTCATGGGCTTAAGGGCATTGGTCTTTACATGCAAAAAGGCCTATACAAATTTAACTGCATGTTAGGTTGGCTGCAGTTGGGCTGCTTCAGTCCTGAGTCTACAACCACCACTCAGGCACAATAGTCAAAGCTGTGTCTGCATAGACAATGTCGTTTGTATTCTCTTTTTATATATACTTCAGTGGGTCCTGTATGTGGAAATGTTTAGTGCGATGGCCTTAGATTGCTGTTATGATCCCGATATCCATATTCTAGTTTCAAGTTTGGAGTGAAGAAAGATGGAAAGTAATTTAGAAGAGGGAAGGTAATTTTGCATTTTTCTTATACAGTGCCTAAGCCTAGCTTACTAAAGAGATGGCAAATTTGACAGCTTTCAAAAACTTGTTCTGTGACAAGGCAGGATGAATTCAACTGCAAATGCATACATCATCTAAATAGGCTTATTTTTTGTATACAGTTCATTTACTAAAAGTCAGCACAACGAAACTTGCTAGCAAAAATTAAGTGAAATGTCTAAAGAGGGAAAATCAGGAATTTCAAGCTTTATGAAAAATTACATCCAGAAAGAAATGTGGCAATGAATGGACTTACTCCCCTCCACAAGCTGATGGCATTAAAATGTAGTGATGCAGCTATAGCTGCATTGTAATTAACATACTGTCTGAAACAAGATAAGAAATGAGGGGAAGTTCAGAAAATAATTGCTCACTTATGGGGTGAAGTTGCATGTTCAGTGTGACAAATAGAAGGTCGCTTTGCCTAGCTATTTACATTGAAGAGATGTTATACTAATAGACTGAAGTGACAGAGTTCTGGACTGGACTCCTTTCAAGCAGTTGGTATAGTTGGATCTTACCTAAAATGCTCCTCAACTGACCAAGCAATGGAGAAGGAAGAATCAAGCCTGATCTTGATGCACTTGTTAAATGAGTGGAGGTATTTCATAGGATTATACTCCCAAAGGCAATCAGAGGTGATACAGTTTAAAGTTTTGTCCTTTTTGTCTAGTTCATCATTCTGTCAGATATGCAGAGTAGCTCAAAATTGGGGAGAAGAAATACTTCAGAATAATATCAAAGCAAATATGAATCAATATCACCTTTACATGTGATGGTTAAGTAAATGAGGATGTTTCTCAAATACAGAATTTGTGAAGTACCTTTTACAACCATAAAAATCTGTTTTTGGTTCCATCAAAAAATAAAAAAACAGCAAACTTTGCTGGTATAATTACTCAGACCTATTGGAATCTTATAATGTTAAAAAAAACAGTACAAGAGCAGGTTCATTTGTGTAGAAGAAATCGGAAACAACTAGAAGGATGAAAGCATAGTCTGCTCCAAATAATGTTTTGGGAAAGAATTGAAAGTCTTGCTGTGCCTCAGTATTCTAGGTTTGAAAAAAGACTTATTTCCCTACCTCACAGGGGTGTTGTGAGGCTGACTTCATTGTCTGTAAAATGCTTTTGAGTTTTTGTTCCTGACGGAAGGTGCTATAGAAGTACAAAACATAAGTAACCAGCTGACAACTTGATGGCTGGTTCTGTCACAATAAGAAAATGTTCAACTTAGTTTTCATTACAGTATTTTGCTACTACTATAGAAAGCGTCTTTATGAAACATTATTTAAATGTATGGATCATGTAACAATGGACATTACAAGAAGGCATGGTTGAGTTTTCAATCTTTATGCATCCCTTTCTGGTTTTATGTGATTAACTGTGCAGATCTAATCGTATTAACAAGGTTTTGGGGTTTTGCATGGAAAATTAAGATCAGCTATCATTTTTGTAAACTCCCTGGATGAAATAAAGTTATGTTCACACTGTTTGTTATTCCTTTTGCGTGAGTGCCATGAATGTGTTTTATTAAGTTGTTGAACTATCTCTGAACCATTCCTGTCTACGTTATTGTGAGTGCCCAGTTTCACTTTCCAAGTAGTGATCATTTTTGCATTTCTGAGTACTGTTTAAAAAGCTAAAATCCTGGCAAGCAGCTCTGAAAGATGCGTTATATTCTCACTTTTGCAAAAAAATAAACCCCTGATCCTTGTGTCCTTCTTATGTCTACAAAGGAAAGCAATCTAATGCAATAGGGGGGAGTGACTTAAATCAAGTTTCCATTTGTGGTTAATATGTTATAAAAATAATGCATGCTAATTAATTGACAGAGCAAGTAAACAATACCTAGAGTTTTAGAAAGTGAATGCACAGCAGCATTTTGCTCAAAGCTTGTGTCATGTTTGATTAGCATAGCTCACAAATAAAAAACACTGTACTGAGAACCAATTTCACACATCTATGGGTACACCTGCATGCACATTCAAAGTAAGCATTTGTTTCTGTTGACACTTTTAAAAACTTGTATTTCTCATAAAGATGTAGTGGTAGATGTCCTACAATGGATGGTGAACTCACATCTATGATTGGGTAGTTGGCCTTTAGATATATTTCTTCCTTTCTCTACAGATGGTTATATGCAGATAAAAAGGGCAGACCTAAGGTGCATATTTTTAAATACTTTCTTTAAGAAGCGAAGAGTCCTTGCATTATTTGGCTCTTGGGTGTTAACTTCAGGGGTTTAATTTATTGTAGGCCTCTGTTAAGAGCAGCAGGTTCCCTTTTGTATGTACTGGTAAGAGGGATTCAGGCTCAGAGAAGGGTATTTGCAATACTGCCAGAAAAAAATGGAGCCTTGTCACAAATCTCAAGTGTCTCCGCCCACTACTGATGAATTATTTTTTTCAGTTTGAAAGGGCACTTCTGGAAGTAAGAAATCTAGATTGTTTGGTCTTCCCATCTAGAACTGAAAGTGGCATTCTAGAACCATCACTGAATGTTCTAAGAAAAATCTACTGCATTTTTCCCTTTAAGAAAATATTATATTCTTGAGTGGCAGCATGATGGAAAAGGCCAAAACTGCAAGCCCCACATTTTAAGATTTATGTACACATCACTCCAGTTTGGGGAATGCATTAGAACAGGGGTCCTGAATACCATGGCCCACACCCCATGGTACCAGCACCACTCCTATGTACCCCTGCACTCATCCACCATCTTGGAAAGAAGGAGGGAGGCAAGGAGGAGGATTTGGGGGAGGGGGTAGGAAACAGGGAAGGAAGTGTGGTGTAGTGGTTTGAGCCTCCTACTATGGCTCTGAACCCACTGGGTGACTAGCCAAGTCACTCTCTCAGCCTTAGATGAAGACAAAGACAAATTCCCTTTGAATAAATATTGACAGGAAAACTGTGATAAGAGTCTGAAATTACTTGAAGGCACATGGCAACAGAAATCCCATCAACCAAAAAGGAGGCCCTCACTTCCCATTGAAAAACTGGCAAGTTTATGTTGGTTAAAATTGTTCTTCATTTAAATGCTGGAATGTTCTTTCATGGTTTATTTGCATTACAAATAGGATATGTGCCATGTGCATAGGAATTCCTTCATTATTTTTTTCAAACTATAGTCGTCATCGTCCCCCTCAACAATGGGGGATCACAAACCAGCTCTCTGCCTAAAATCTTTTGAGAACCCCTGCATTAGTGCCGTCCTCCTGAAAATGGCTTCCTTGTTCAATTGGGAGATTGACAACTGTTCTCATACATTCTTTTGGGGGCACCTAGCTTCCCCCTAGCTGTGAGTAAAACAACAGCCCCATCAGTACTGTAGGTTATATCATATATCGCTAACAAGTTTAGCTGATGCAGGCAACTGCAAATTTGCTTTTATGTTCAAAAATGGTATCTAAGTTTGAAACATCATTCTATTTGTTGACACCAAGAACAGCAATTATTTCTCTTAAAGAAGAAATAAACCATAAAAAACAATGAAAGTAACAATCCATCTGTTTTAGGGGAAGGAATATGAGAGAGGCAGACATTACAAGCATATGGGTTCTATTAAAAGTAAATGGTTTTAAATATATCACTGAATTTTACAGATGCTGAACAGCTTTGATTTGAGGACAAATACTGAAACACAGTATCAGTGTGAAATAAAACTTGGTTTTGGATGCAAGTAAGGTCAGGAGAAAATTTGTAAAGCAACATTCACCAAATACTACAAAAGCTTTTTAATGTCCTTTTTATATTGAAAGAAAATAAAAGTACTGCATATAAATACAAACCGAAACTGCATATTTAAATGGTGTAATTACAGGCATCTCAGTGCATTCTAAATCTCTTCACTGTGTGTGCTTCTTCAGGAGCTTTTCGCTTTTGAGACGATCCAATTCTGTGTTCTTTTCCATTCTGAAGATGGGCACCAGCTTCTGGCAAACAATAATTTTCCATTGGAGGTGGTGGCTCCTTTAAAAAAGGTGTTTAAATGTTAAGGAAACAAGTAACATTTACAGTGCAGTAACAAGAGTCCGTTTGGGAGAAAAGTGGATATAAATGAAATGTATTGCTCTGATAATCCATAAATATTCAGCTATCAACCTTTTTAATATAAATTGTTTTGCCTTGGATTCTTCCATTGATACTTCTTTTCACATTTACGATTCCAATTTTCCTGACACCATACTGCTAATCTGCGAATTTATCCACTGCTAGAGCCATAGTGTTAAAAAGCAATGGCTCAATAAATCCCATATTGAAAAATCAAGTAACAACTATCAAAGCAATGAAGTGCCTTAATAACTGAAAAATATTTTTCCACTATGAACTGTGGAAAAAATACAGTGAAGACACCACAATATGCAGAGCCAACCTTAAGAAATGGAATTACAAAGTGGAGTCCACGACATGCAAGTGTGGAGAAGAGCAAACCACAGCCCACCTATTACAATGCAGTCTGAGCCGCGCCATATGCACAACGGAGGACCTTATAGCAACACCAGAGGCACTCCAAGTGGCTGGCTACTGGTCAAAGGACATTTAATAGAATGCAAAGTTTTCAAACTTTGTGTTTTTCTTAAAATACAACTGTTTTGTTTGCTCCTGATACGATAAATAAATACTATGCAGAGTTTTCCTCAGTTCACTGAATGGCCTTGACATTTGCATGGATTTGGAGACTACTATCCCCTGAGCCACAGAAGAAGACAAAGGCAAGCACTTAGATAGAATCGCCAGAAATCACTTGAGGGCACCTAATCTCAAATATGTAACAGCACATATATACAAACAGATATACAAACCTGTATAAGGTAATCAGCAATGTATTCTGGCTTCAGGCAGTTCACTCCTTGATGGGCCACTTCTGCAATATCAATTCTTAAATCTCCTGGCTTCAGTTTATTAAAATCGGCAAATAGATGAGTAACTTCTCTAAAGGGAGGTGGCGAATGAGAAGGGAACACCTGCAGATTCAAGCACATAGGACATTCTGGTTTACTCATAACTACAGGCAGTCCTTGAATTACAAACTTCTGACTTGCAAACAACTCCTAGTTACAAATGGGGCTAAGACAACAAGAAGCGAGAGGAAATCTATCCCTAAGATAGGGAAATTCACTCCTGTAAAAATTATCATGGGAAAAGGTGTCTCCACTGAAACTTCCATGGCAACCCAAAAATACAATTGTCAATGGGACAGAAAGCGAGGTGGAATCTTCTGAACAGGAGCACAGACTGCAAAAGAAACATTACAGGGGTATTAACCCTTCTCTATGCTATCCAAAACTAAAAAGAAATTGGCTCAAGTTACACTTAAAAATGTATCTGTTTCAACTTACATACAAATTCAACTTAAGAACAACCCAACAGCTCATTCGTATCCTGGAGACACCTGTAGTTGCATATATTATGTTTAACTTTACCAAATGAACTGCTGCTGCAGCCTCCAGAATGGGCTTAAAGATGATATGTATGTTTCTTTTAATCTTAAAATATGGAGCATTCATAATGGCGAGTAGTCAAAAAATCAGCACTATTTGAACAGGTCTGCTCTATATAGGACCCCTAGTTTGAATTTGCACTACCTACATGCATTTTCCAACCCAGAGGTCTAAAAGAAGGCTCTGTCACAGGGGTGGTAAATATTTCATAAGAACTTTTGTCCCAAAATGTACATCAGGTAGTGCAAAAAAATCCCCCTATTTTGAAAACCCACCTGGCCATTTTAAGCAGAGAAAAACTTTTTTTAAAAAATGGGAAGTAACTTTGTTTTGAAACAAAGTCCTTCCCTGGACCACAGAAATGGTTTTTGGAGCTTTGTTTCATTTTTTGTAATGGGTGGCATGAGGAGTACAGTTGCTCACAGTTGCTGACATCTGTAGCAACATCCAAATACTGGCTGTTCTCTTTGTCATTCTAGAGAATATTCATCACGTTGACTCTTTTTCCTGATAGCCAAAATGATTTAGGGTGGTGAGGATAAATTTCTTAACCAGGCAACCAACAAAGGGAGTTAGTTAAATCAGAGTTAAATACTTTTAAGCCTATATTATATTTAAAGAGAGTTCAAACACCAAACAGGATTAGGGAAAAGAAAATGTAATTTATGGAGCTCCCCATCTTAAAACATACCTAGTAAACCCTTTGCTTTGTAATCCATCAGTAATGAAAAGGGGAACCCGGAGACACTATTCTTACATACAGTTCAACGACAGTCTTATGCAATTGCCAGTTATACTGGGGAAAGAACAGCCAAGCATTTACGCACCGTTGCTCCTCCTGACTCCAGAAGACGTTTGAAGCCTGCTTCTTTGGCGGGGTCAACATTCAAGATTACTTTCCAGCCACTAAATGCTCCCTAGAAAGACATGGCAAATTTTTAAAAGCTCCTTGCTTATATTTCACCTGTTGGTTTTTTCTTCCATGACTAACAGCTTGGGGACAGGAAGGGGGGGGGGGGTTACTTTCATCCGATCCCCAGTTTGAATCCAGACTGGGCCTCATCTCCCATGGGCCACTTCCTGTCAGTCTGATATGAGAATAGCACTCATGTATCTGTTACAAAATATATCATAGCTTTCAAAGTAACACACAAGAAAAACAAAACACAAAACCCAACAACTCCATCATCACATTTTCTACACATGCATAGTTTTTTCACAAGAACTCTTTTCTGCAAGTCTTTATGAACCAATTTGTTAACATCGATGCGAAATGCAGATTAAGTCAACAAATGCAATTTTACGGTGACACCTGGAGATGAATGCACAAAACACACATCCACAAGAACTGATCATTTGCGGATGAATATCCACGTATCTCCTGTAGATACATATAGTATAGGAGATACGTATCTCCTGTACTATACATGAGTATGCTTCCAAAAACATTCTGCACCAATTCTAGGATCCAGCAGAGATATCTGAGCATGGAAAAGGGACAAGGGAGAAACAATCATCCCCTGCCTCACCTTCCAGCCTTGTGTTCACACAACACAACCCCCCCCCCTTCCTTCTGGAAGAACATGGAGAAGGGGCAGGGCCGTTCTAACGGTCAAAAAAGGTCTCGAGAATTTCTGATGCTGCCTGCGCGCAGGAATAAACCTCATGTGCAAATCACAGCTGACCACGACGGGAAAACAAAAAAACCAAATACCTCAATAATTCCGCTTTCCCTTTTCCTTCTCTGAATTGTTTTCCTCCATCTCATTGCTGCAATTGCTAATTTCTTCTGGATTACATTGATGCCAGACAGAACACTGAGTATGGAGTTGCTTCCCCATTCATAATCTTCCTCCTAGAGGAGAGGACATATAGTCTTAAGTAGTTTTATCAAGTTGACTTTAAAAAATGCAAAGGAAATCCCAACAGCAAACTATTTCAGTGCAGTAAACTTGAAAGGATAAGAGCAATGAACAAAATTAAATGATACAGATCTTTGATTTTTCACAGCATTTACATTCTAAGGACATAATATCCCAGGCAACTTCTTTGGCTATTCCGGGGGTATCTGTGTAACACTGACTTCCTTTCCTAGGACATATCCCTACCACTTTTTTGCCATGTCACAAACTACTTAAAATGAAAAGAGGTTTCAAAAACAACCCAACTTGTGGCATGAAAATTTGCTTTTAAATAAATAAATATCACTAGTATTCCCTAGTCTCCGGATAGTGGCCTAGACCTTAAAGTTCACCCTGCATCCAGAGAGCTCTGTGACTCCCACCCATGACTCCTAGCTAACAATGTGCAGCCACCTATAATTTGTTTTTGTTACCTTTTGGAAACAAACTACAAATGAATAAAAATTATAATCATAAGCATGAAAAACAGTATTTCAATTGAGAAATACTGGCTTAAAAGAGGCTCTCAAGCCAGTCTACTTAGAGAAGGAGTGGAAAAAAATGCACACTGCAACTCAGAGGTGCACAATCTGGTCCTCCAGGTGTTTTGGCCTTCAGCTCCCAGAATTCCTAACCTTTGGACAAGCTGGCTAGGGCTTCTGATAATTGGAGACCCAAACACCTGGAGGGCCACAGGTTGGGCACCACTGCTCTCTGGTGCAGCACAGAGCCTATTTGGTAGGTTGGGAGGGCACTTCATTCCCTGCTTCCCCAATGCTAGAAAGGTGCTCACCCCAATATATAAGATCCTGGCCAGATTCAGAACCCCATTTGAGCTAAGCCTCATCTGAGCAAAGGCACTATGTTTTGTTTAGAAGGGACATGTAAAACAGCTATAGGATGGACCGTAAAAATCTCCCATATTTTGAGGGAACACTGTGTGGGCTGTAGTGGAGTTAAAGAGATGAGGTAGGTCAAACTGGATAGGTTAGACTGCCATTTTCAGTACCCATCATGAGTTAGAAGAGTGAACATTGGGACTTTGTTGTTCAAGTGTATTATGAGAACAACCATTCCGTGATAACGACACAGCATTACACACGCTTTGTGCTCAGCTGAAATGCATCTGTACCAGATTGGAAAACAATTTTTCTATACAGTTCTTCAGGCAACTGAAAAGAATATCCCGATAAACCTTGGACCGTTAGAATGCCAGAAAATGTGGAAGCAGTAAGAGCATCACCCACTCAGCAATCTGCTCATAAGCATGCCTTGGTACTGGGATAGCAAGTAAGAGTTTGAGGAGGATTCTACTTGCTAATTTACAACTGCATCCTTACAAAATGATTTGGTTGATATAATTATTGAAACTAAAACTAAACTGTTTTATGTACGTTTTAGAAATATATACTTTTTTGTTTGTTCTTTAAATATTCCTTTACATTTATATTCCTTTTTGATATTCCTACTGCCTCACCCTGTAGAAACAAAGCACTATGCCTTTAACAGGGTTAACCATACCTCTACAAAGCACCGTGCTGCTCTGCATGCTTCCAGGTAGGAGCGATGGAGAACCCACTTCCCAGCAGCCATCGAGGCCAAGAACTTCTCGTTGCGCAGAGGGTGCCCCACAATGGTGTGTGTGCAGCTGGGGTCAAAGCACTGCTTCTCAAGCACCACCCCGCCTTGAACAAAAATTAAGCACGGTCATTTCAACAACAATAATAATAGTACTTTTTGTTACATGCCTCTCCTCAAGACAGGGCACAAGAAAGTCAAAACATATCACCAAACCATACACCAAACATAGGGTACAAAGATTAAAAGGTCATCCTTATTGCAGGATAGTCAAACTTATAAAGAGCCGGTTTAGTTCATGTCAGACAAATGGGGCTCAGTGCAGTGCAGAACTGGAATTTAGCCACCGAACTGTGTTTCTTACCTAGTTTCTCAATGAGATGATAATAATCAATTCGTTCTTGAGGGTTTAGGGAAGACAGCTGAAATTTACGCTGTTTTGCTGCTTCTTCAGAGGCATTTGCGTCTGTTTGAATGGCCTGAAGTTTGAAGTAAAAGGTACAGGGAACAAATAAATAAATTTGATGCCTAATAATAAACTGTCTCATTGTTGATTTTTCTTCATAAAATTTAACTTAAAACATACATTCATATAATATATCTCCACTGAGGAAAAGGTTTGGTGAGGAAGTAATAAAAAAAGTATTTTTTTTATCAATCATGCTTTAAAATAATTATACAATAGTAACTCTTTATCCACCCACTTAAAATACAAGAAACGAGCAAATTTAGTGACACAAAGCCAGGATGTTATACCCTATTTGATTAATATTTAATTCTTGGATTTGATAAACCTGCAGATATTTCAACAAATCTGCCAGACTCGAAGTAAAACTAAATCCTGAATTTCTGCTCCTCATAATGCAATTACTTTTACTAAGTGAACCCATTTTTTTCCCATGTTTCTCACTCTTAATACGAAAAAGGTTCAAAGCAATTGCTCCAAAGCTACTGAGAGTTTTAAAAAAAGCATACTATCTGCTCACTTATAATTTATAATTTACTCACTTATAATTTACCATTAGTTTACTGTCAAAGTAAAATGAAAGTTCAAACATTGTAATATAATTTGACACAGAGTCCTTTAATCAGTTTAATGTCACACAACATACATTTTCTTTTGGCTGAGGAGCAACAGGAGGGTTTGCCAGTGGGAAGGCAATGGCAGGTGCCAAAGGAGTCAGGATCACATTGTCTTCATTTTGAGGGGTTTTCGGACTTCTACACACTGGCAGCCTTGGGACCTCAGCTATATCTGTTTTCACAGGATCCTCAATGGCTATAAAGCAGAAAACAGTTCTTAGAATAAGTGAGGATGGGCTTCCTCTAAGTAAGGCAGAGGTCTGAATCTTCCAATGGAGACATTCATAGGATTTTTTGTCTGTTCTCCAATCCCAAACACATTACACATATGTTTCTCTTTAATTGGCTTTCTCTCTTAGTAGACATAATCGGGAATGCAGCCTAAATTTGAATTGTCTACATAAAAACCGCAGCTCAACTTAGTAATTAACAGTTTTGAGAATAAAAAACTCACAAAAAGAAAAGCAGCAATACTTATGAATAAACATATGCATATTTAAATAGCGATTACCAAACAAACATGCATCTCTACTCTACCTATAACTCTAAAACTGTCAACATAAGTTTCAAAACTGGATTTCCAGCTTCTCTCTTGTTGGTTTCACTATAAATTTAACATTTTTCCTGCGTTTTATATCCAGCAAATGGTTTACTTCTGCTTGTTTCAACACATTTACAATGTTTTATGTCTCCAAACACTCAATTCCTATACTTCTTTAATGCTTCCAAAATTTTAGTTAAAACATGTGTTAATTATACTACACAAGGGGAGTTGGAGAACTGTACAGCCATCAACCATAACAAGAATCCCCTTCTGAATTTTTGATTAATCCTTTTTTTAAAAAAAAATACTTCCCATCCCTGATTTCATACAAGCTGTCTTCCCTTCCTGATTCTCAGTTCCCTTAATGCAAAATCTCCAATTCCCCACTACTCCATTTTTTTAAAGTGAGAAAGGAATTTCAAATATACCAGGAATATATGAACAAGACAAAAGCAAATGTTGGCTTCCTAAAATGAGTATCCCTTTTAGCAGTAAAGAGACATATAGTTAGCCAACAAGAAACTGCTGACAGCTGCAGAGACAGCAATCACAAGCACCAAAGTGGAGCAGTCTCTGTCGCTGCGAAGTTTCACAACGGTTTGGCTTTCTGTCCAAACCACACAAATAACACCTCATAAATAGTAAAAAAATGTTCCTCAATTCTACTGCTGTTCTAGTAAGGGGCTCAGATAATTGAGTAGTTTCTCATTTTAAAAAAGAATGAAGAAGGCCAGGTGAGAAGCGAAGCTATGGAACTCCCTTCCTGGCAATATTAGATCAGCCCCCTCCCTCCTGTCCTTCAGAACAACGGTGAAGATCTGGCTGTGAGACCGAGCCTTGGGGACAGTGCAATGAGGCAATAATAGAATGGTGTCCTGTGGTGGTTTTTAAGCAACTGATTTTAAAGTCGATACAAGTAATTTTAATGTTTGTATATATTTATAGTTTTATGTCTCGGCACTGAATGTTTGCCGTATATATGTTGTGCTCTGTCCTGAGTCCCCTGTGGGGTGAGAAGGGTGGAATATAAATGTTTAAAATAAATAAATAAATAAATAAATTCAATGTGTGGGGATTTAAACAAAAAATAGGCAAGCATTGAAAAATACAGCTGCTCATTAGAAGTGGAATAATATAGGCTGTATTGAATCATGTGGCCACAACAGAAGTCCCAAGAAGCCTCATTTGCCGGCAATTATTATTATTATTATTAAAATCCTTGCCAGCAATCTGCAAAACCACAAATAAAAATGGTAAAAGCAATTATGATCACCAAAATGCCTGGCAAATAACAGGGTTAAAACCGAAATATAAAAACAAGACTATTAAAATACATACATATAACAGGAGACATACAGATAAAATTACTGAAAAATGCAAGTTAAAGACTGGCATGCAACCAGTTTCCAAGCGTTCAGCAAAACCTCAAATTAAAAATGGAAAATTCAACTATGATCACTATAATGCTCGGCAAATCACAGTTGATTAAGCTTATACACAAATCATCCTATCCAGTAGAATCAACCTCAAAATAAATAAATAAGCCCAAACATGCCACTCGCTTCTTACCCATCTGAGCAATTTCTGTATCACTCAAGGATTTTCTAATTGAGTCGTTGCCAACATTGACTGCATTCCCTTGAATTTGTTCGGAACATTGCGAAGGACTATTGGGCCACTGCAGGTTGCTGGCAAGCCTCGCTCTCTCTTCCCTTGCAGTGGGATCGTCCCAGATAATCTGCTCATTCTGAGATGGCTCCGTATTGACGTCAGTCACGATCTGGCGGGTCTGCCTAAGGAGCAAAACAAGCCGGATGTTTCCGCAGGGCATTTGAAGGCAAGGAGCAGAAGTTCTGCCTATCTTTTGGGAGACTTTGTAAAGTTCCCAGACATCACTTAGAAAAATTTCTCTGAATTCATTAAGCTCAGTAATCAAAAATCAATAGTAGACAAAGTAGTCGTAAGTAGCTTAGGCCCTACTTATTTTAATGGAATTATCCCTTTATATTATTATTATTGCTGTTGTTGTTTTATTGTTTTATCCCACTCCCACCCTCCCCTCCTTGTACATGCAATTTATACAGCAAACTACAGAAGTTATACTGGAAATGTCAATCTTAGTCTTAATTTTTCTACTCCACATCTTAGCACATTCTCTAAATAATTCCTAACTGGTTCCCACATCCTCTTAGTTATTGTAATCTTTTCAATTTTATCTATATTGTTCCACTTGCTATTTGTTATTTCCACATTTAACATATTAACTATATACTTATACCAATTAGTAAGTGTCCATTTTGTTTTATCTTTCTAACCCCTCAATAAAACAATTTGTGCACACACTATTAATTTGTCAACCAGTTTTTTTTGTATATTCTTCACTCCTATTATCCGTGCATGTAGTACATTTCTATTAAGTCTTACTATTTCTAAATTTAACATTCTATTGATTTCTCCTTCAATCATTCTCCAATATTCTTGCACTCAATCACATTCCCATATCATATGATTAAACACCCCTCTTTGTTCACAACCATGCCAACACCTGTCCTTTATCCCTGGTAAAAACATGAAAGCTGTGCAGGAGTTCTGTACCATTTTTGTAACATTTTCCTTCTTGCTTCCCTTAATACACTGTACTTTTCTTTTGCTATATTACCGTATATTCTGGTGTATAAGACTACTTTTTAACCCAAGAAAATCTTCTCAAAAGTCAGGGGTCGTCTTATACGCGAGAGTAGTCTTATACACGGGAATAGTCTTATACACAGGAGTAGTCTTATAGAGCGGGTGCTGAAACTTCCAATTGGATTGGAGAATCTGTGGTTGCTGCATATGGTGGGGGGAGCTCAAAAATGGCAATGGCCGTGTCCCTGCCATATGCAACGACTGTATGAAAGCATTAAGGGCGACGCTGTACAAGCACGGTAGAAGAAAATCAATTCATCAGTATTCGTGGACTTATGTGGTCCCGATGGTGAAGTGAAGGGGCGTCTCACTGGGAAGGTGTAAGTGAAGGGCGGAGCAAGCTGCAGGCTTCCAGGGTGCCCGGGGTATGGAAATCAGAGATAGAGTGGCTCTGGGCCCAGACAAACACAACTCTTTTACATGTCTGGCCCTTCCTTGTATCCTATTACCATACCTCCTCTGCCTCTCAGATTTCACTCCTGAAGACTGCAGTGAAGTGGTGCAGGTGCACATGTGCAAGATCTGAGAGGCAGAGAAGGAAGTACAGTAATAGGAAAATTACCATATTGAAATCAAATCTGATGCTTTTTAAATTTTTATTTGGTGTGCGTTGGAAGAGGGGTAGTCTTATACGGCGAATATATCCCAAACTCTATATTTTAACTGGAAAAGTTGGGGGTTGTCTTATACGCCGGAATATACGGTACTTATTTCCCTCTCAATTTCCATGTCCATTCTCTATGTTGGGCAAAGTTTGGCCTGTGAGCTGCATACACTCTCACTCAGACTCTCATGTTTTAATGCTATATTTTTAAATGACATAATAATAATAATAATAATGATAATAATAATAATAATAATAATAATAATTTTTATTTCTTACCCACCCTTCTCATCCCAAAGGGGACTCAGGGCGGATCACAGAACACACATGTGGCAAAAATTCAATGCCATTACACAATGACAAGACAGACAACAGATAGAGGTATATTTTGAGGCTTTTTTTCATTGTTCAGGATCTTTTGGAAGCTGTGTTCAGTTCCGGCCACCGGGTGGGGGGGCTGTCACTCCATCTCCCTGCCAAAGACCTTTCTTTGTTCGTAAACTTTCCTCCAAAGTGCAGTGCCTAAAATATGTCTCCACTTCTCTTAAAGCCTTAACATTTGTTCAGTATGAAACAAAACACTTGTGGCGTCCTGACATAAAAATCAACCTTTTTTCTCATCAGAATCTTATGACTCAACCATGGAAACAGCTATAGCAAGTACCTGTCAACATCAATGATCCACAGATTGTAGCCCAATACTCAACATTGCAGACCAAGTAGTACCTTAGAGCTTCCAAGACTTTACTGCGTCCGTTACGCAAAGAACGAGGCCCATCTGGAGTGGATGGCGAGATGTCAAACCCATTTCTAGATAAAGAGGTCCTCTGTCCTTGCAACTTGGGCAGGGATGTGGCAGTCATGATTTCCTGTAGCTGCCTTTGAAAGTTCTCCCTCATTTCCAGTGTCTGTGTTAGCACTTGGGATGCAAATGAAATGCCAATTAATTAAATAAAAAATACTCAATTGCCCTTTTGTTTAATGTAATTTGTTTCTTTGCATATGTTTGTTTGCATGACAGTAGATTTGTTTCTTTAAAGACAAAAATAATATTTAAAATTTATGTTTTTTACTAATTAACTGCATATATTTCATACATTTCAAGGATTCAAAAACAGTAAGACTTGACACCAGTATGTTACCTCCTTTTGATGTATTTTCCTCTTTTTCAATAGAAACTCCCTCTTTTATTTGATCTTCTCTACTATTGTCATCCAATGGGACAGCCTAAAAAAGTAGAGATTCAAGACTTACATATTTCAGAGTGAAATAAAATAGCATGCTCCTTCTCTCTTGTTAAATATCGACACAAGGAGAATTACATACACATTACTAGAATTGACATAATCATTGTGAAAACAATTACGAATATTATTTGTTATTTTCTTATTTTCTAGATGAAGGTGATTGTAATTAAGAAAAAAAGAAAGCATTATACTGATGATACCTCATTCTCCTTCCTCATTTTTCCAGTTGAGTCAAGCCTCTCTGAGCCTCTGTCATCTTGGACACCACTAATATTCAAACTCATTTTAGGGTTATATGTATGGGGATATAGCGATTCCGGTAGCCGTTTATATTCTTGTGCACTCTGGAAAATGGGAGAGCCAAAAAAGTAAAGAAAAAAAGAGAGATGAAATAATGCTACAAATCTAGAGTGAGGCAATAAGCCATTAATTTTGTATGGAAGGAAAACATTCCTCTCTGTTAAAAAATAGTTTCCCCCATTTTGCTGACATCATAGAGAATCTTGGATTTTCAATTCATCAAGATGAGGAAAAAAAATCAGACATCATAAAATGTAAGGACAACATTAGATCTCGACTTTTGTCGTTATTGTATTTTGACCATCATACAGGGAAAAGAAACTATGAGTCTTACAAAGAGTCACAGGTCTTTTCAAACTACACAATTATAGCACTATTATCCCACTTTAACTGCCGCAGTTCCATCCTACAGAATCTTGAGATTTGTAATTTCATGAGCTACGCATTTCCTCAATTCTAAGGGGCACCATATAAACATCTCTAAATATTGGATGCGTCTTTGAATCATGGGTGCTATAGGGAGAGATTGAGAAAGATTGGGAAAGGAGTACGGCAGGCCTGCATACTCTCACCCAACCTATTCAACTTGTATGCAGAACACATCATGCAACGTGTGGGGCTTGACAAATCCAAGGCTGGAGTTAAAATCGCTGTACAAAATATTAACAATCTTAGATATGCAGATGCTATCACTTTGATGGCTGAAAGTGAGGAGGAGCTGAGGAGCCTTCTAACCAAGGTGAAAGAAGAAAGTACAAAAGCTGGGTTGCAGTGAAACATCAAAAAAACCAAGATGATGGCAACCAGACTGATTGATAACTGGCAAATAGAGGGAGAAAACGTGGAGGCAGTAACAAACTTTGTATTTCTAGGCACGAAGATTACTGCATATGCAGACTGCAGCCAGGAAAAAGATATTTACTTCTTGGGAGGAGAGCAATGACCAATCTCGATAAAATAGTGAAGAATAGACACATCACACTGGCAACGATGATCCGTATAGTTAAAGCAATGGTATTCCCCATAGCAACATATGGATGCAAGAGCTGGACCATAACAAAGGCTGAACAAGGAAGATAGACATTTTTGAACTGTGGTGCTGGAGGAAAATTCTGAGAGTGCCTTGGTCTGCAAGAAGATCAAAACTGTCCATATTCCAGGCAACAAAGCCCAACTGCTCACTGGAGGGAAGGATATTAGAGTCAAAGATGAAGTACTTTGGACACATAATGAGAAGACAGGAAAGCTCGGAGAAGGCAATGATGCTGGAGAAAATAGAAGGAAAAAAGGAAGAGGGGCAGACCAAGGGCAAGATGGATGGATGGTATTCTCGAAGTGACTGGCTTGACTTTGAAGGGGCTGGGGGTGGTTATGGTTGACAGGGAGCTCTGGTGTGGGCTGGTCCATGAGGTCAGAAAGAGTCGGAAGTGACTGACCGAATGAACAACAATACACACACATATAAAGCTTTTTTTTTTTCTTTTGGTGATACTGAAACTTGTGTGTGTCTTAATATCAAAGGTGTCTTAGAATCACTGAGATACTTTATTTAAAAAGTAGGTTGCTTCCCCAACCTACATATCCCAGGATTCCATAGGATGCAGCCATGACAGATGATGATGATAATAATAATTTTAAATTTTGAAGTGGAATCATAGCACTATAGTTGTGTAATGTGATCTGGTCCTAATAGTGTAGAATTGAGAACCAGCCAATGTTTCTAATGTATTCTGGACTGCTTTCTTCTTCCTGGAGAAGAGAGAGCAAAAGAAAGTAGATAAAAAAGGGAAGAGGGAAATAGACAAAGGGAGAGAGAGTGCAAAGGAGTAACACAGGCAGAGACAGTATATGTAAGCAGACTAATCCCAATGGTATGTGTCCCTTTGCATTCACCATATATACTCCAAGGCCACATAACTCACTCTAGAGCAGTGGTTTTCAACCTGTGGGTCCCCAGATATTTTGGCCCTCAACTCCCAGAAATCCTAACAGCTGGTAAACTGGCTGGGATTTCTGGGAGTTGTAGGCCAAAACACCTGGGGACCCACAAGTTGAGAATCACTGCTCTAGAGCTCATTGTCCTTATTCCCTTAGATTAAAGTTTAGTTTTATTTATTTATTTATTGTATTTATTAATTTAATATCTGTTTATTTATTATTTATTAGATAACCCCACATTATCTGAATGTGGACTCAGATAACTCAGTTCAAAGCAGATATTGTGGGATTTTCTGCCTTGATATTCTGGAATATAGGGCTGTCTGGAAGGCCCCCAAGAATATTCCATTGGTCAAGAGATATCACTGACCAAAATTCCCATTCTAGTATGTGAAAAAAGGGCTAAAACGGCTTCTCCATACCTCCAAAAGCCAATGTTCTGACACTATATGTATCCCCCTTTCTTTTGCAGATTTGTACTCTCGGTTATTATCATTTTGCCTTCCCTGGTAGATGAAATGTGTTACAGTTTCATCAAAACACCACCTAGAATAAACAGAAGGTATCAATTCATAGCAATAGTGCTACAATCGTAAATACGAACAGCAACATTTATCAGTTCATAAATCTATTTTATGACACCATAACTGTGGAAAAGAATCTCAGCTATCATAATCTTCATTTGATTTTTTTATTTATATCCTTCCCTTTTTCCATTTTGGACTCAAGGCAGCTTATAAAACTTAAACAGATATAGTTGCTTTGAGTCTCCATTGTGAAGAAAAGTAGTATAAATAAACAAACATTCTAATAATAGGTTTTAAAAAATCAATGTTAAAAAGTTAAAAATATAACTGAATTATCAATAAAGTGGAAGCACTTAAAAAGAAACTACTGAAAAGAATAGTTCCTAGACAAATTACATCTACCACTATCTCTTGCAAGGAAGTTTATACTCCTCATTTTTATTTTATATAACTCTTAGGTTTCTATGGTTAATTTTAGTTCACTTCTGGAGAAAACAATAATAAAAAGATTAACTAACTTTTGAAAGCTGAATTACAGCTTCCTGAAGCACCTGAATTAAATCAATTTAATTAACCTTTAAGTAAAATATATTCCTCTTCCATCTTTAGAAAGTTTTGGGGAAATTTTACTACATTTATTATCAGTGCCATTTCAAAACAAATTTCTGTATACCACACAGCAAGTTTTAGGCACAGCATACTACTATTTCTCATAATATCAATAACACTGAGAGCAAGATGACAAAATCTTACAATTTTTGTTAATTGCACATACCTGTAATCTGCTCCAAGGGATGCAGCAATAGCATTCAACTCACTCTGCTTTTTACTGAGCTTCTTACTCACACATATAACAACATTCTCTAGCGGTTTTGACTCTTCTACCTATTCCAACAGAGTCAGAACAAATATAGTTCAGAACCACAGATTAAAGTCAATTGTTAGTTGCCACTGATTTAATAAAATCTTTACAAGTACTGGAACTAATCTGTAAATTCCCCCAATTTCAAGGTCTATGGTTTCTAATTTTCAAGGATGAATTAGTAAGTCTGTCATGTTGAAATAAAGAATACCGTATCTGGTTTCTACCTTCCACCAGTAAAAGATTCAACGCGCTCTTGTCAAGAATGAGGGCAGGTCTAAGTTTACAGCTGAATTTTATTATTTTTCTTTAAAGCAAGAAGTGTCATGTAAAAAGTTAAGCACAACAGCTTATCCTTTCCTTACACTTGGATGAATGCAAATTTAGTCACACTTTGATCAGGCCTGCTGCTCAATGAGACAATCATAATTATATCCCTATAACAGACCTCTTTGCTTTCAATGGATCTACTTTAGTTATGACTATATCTGGATCCAACCTATTACTTTTTTTAAAAAAAAGGCATGGAAAAAATTGACACTCTAAATTTACCACACTTGCCAAAATTGTCTGTCTGATGGCTCCCTGCTTCATCAATATTTAGAAATAGGATATTTACTGCAGAAAAGATTATTTCTTAATTAAAAGAGAAAATTACAATTTTATCACAGAAAGTTTTCTAGATCACATTGCTGTTTGAGAGTGTATAGTTTCACTGCTACTTAATCCACAACAGCAATCATGTCCACCTCTCCCCACTAAGAAAGACACAATCACTTCCTACTACAGAATTAGTGGTGTCAGGACTTCTCCACGAACAAATGCAAACATCCAAAGGCAAAACCAACTGCCCAATTTGCCTAAATCCCAAAACTCACAATTTGTTGGGTTGCATCTTTCAGCTGAGGACTGGCAGTAAGAGCAGTTGCTTGCCGAGTGCTATTTGCTAAAGCCAGCTTCAAGTTCCTGCCAATGACTTCTGAAAGAGGAGTGCTCAGCGTTCTGTTTTGTTGGTTAGCGCCCTCTGGAGTTGCCAAAGCTGCTAGAGCATCCTAGGAAAAATGTAAAATACGTTTATGTTTTGCATAAAATGTCTATCCTTATCTTTTGGGCATCCAGATGTTTTGGACCACAGCCCCCTGAAATCCCTGGCCACCGGTGATGCTGACCTGGGTTTTTGAAACTTGGAAACCAAAACAGGTGGAAGGAAAGTTAACATATTTTTTGTTAACTATTAAATCAGTTAGCTCTGTTCTTCAAGTTCAGTGGTTCTCAACCTGTGGGTGCCCAGGTGTTTTGGCCTACAACACTCAGAAATCTCAGCCAGTTTACCAGCTGTTAGGATTTCTGGGAGTTGAAGGCCAAAACATCTGGGGACCCACAGGTTGAGAACCACTGATCTAGTTAACTGACCAGTTGTATTTTTTTAAAAAAAACAGAGTTGCATCCTTCAACAGGTAAATTTCAAAACTCATTCATTCTCTTGGCCAAGTATTGTGTTAGTCTTATTAGAAGTGACGTAAAATTGGAAAAGGCAGTAAAACATATCCACTGAACCGTGTAGTTTCCCAGAACGAAGGCACGAGCTCATGGTTTAGTGAGATTTTTAGTTTGGATATTTAGTGAGTATTTTCAATCGGCCTTATCCTTGGAGTGCAGACTGCCAAATGTGGCCTTAGTGAGCGGAATGGGCAAGTTCCACCTGCATACCCCAAAATGCTTCCTTGCATTCTAGGTTACAAAGAAAAATATCCAAAAGCATCCTCAGAAACGGGTCCATATTTCTAGTCCAGGTGTCCTATTTAGTCTGAAATAATTCAAATCAATCTCTCACAGGGGACCTCATCACACTAGAGAATGAATCCATTTTAAATACAGTTGCTGCCTCCTGCAGAATTATGGGGTTTATATCTTAGGAGCCTTCAACAGCCTCAATAAACTACAAACCCCAGAATTCTGCAGGAGGCAGAAACCGGATTTAAGTGGATTCATTCTCTAGTGTGATGAAGTAAAAAGATAAATCCTCATTTTAAAAAATGGAGCCAAATCTCACTAAAAATCCAAACTTATGCAGTGACTTAAGCTGTTATCACAAAAAGCGGCACACTATACATTGGAAATGGCAAGCAAATGATCTCCCTAACCTATCAGGCTATATTCCAGAGAAATCTGCTTCTTAAAAAAAACAATGAGCTGAAAAGAAACAGCCAACTAAGAAAATACCCAGCACCATCCCAAACTAGTATTACAGGCTCCAAGACAAGGTTAATGACTCAAATAATGCAAGCCCAAGAAATCCCTCCTCCCCACATTTGTCCCAAACTCTTGGGAGACCACAAACCATGGCAAACCATGGCAATACTGTCTTTGCAGCAATCAATGCTACACAATTAATGACACAGGATAAGTATGCGAAAAAAGATTAAAAATAACAATTGATGGCTTCTTTAATGCATATAGCCTCTAAATCAGTGGTGCTCAACCTGTAGGTCCCCAGATGTTTTGGCCTTCAACCCCCAGAAATCCTAACAGCTGGTTAACTGGCTGGGATTTCTCGGAGTTGTAGGCCAACAACACCTGGGGACCCACAGGTTGAGAACCACTGCTCCAAATGAACCCTTTATGCACACCTATAAAGCTGGTTTCAGAAACAAATTTAAATACTATTCAAAAGAAGGCAAACCATGTAACTGATCTACTTTATAGAAAGTATCTCTTCCCACTGCCACCTACTATTGTAGGAAGCAATACGCAGCCAGTGTTCCTGACACATGCAACATCTGTGGGTTTCCTAGATCAGAAGAGGCAATTTGTGGCCCTTCACATATTGCTGGATCACAACTCTCATCTCCCCTCAATGTTAATTAGAGCTCAGTGTCTGAAAGATGACAAGTTCTGTTCTCTTTGATATTTTTCAAGACAGGAGAACGATGGGTCATCTTCAAATGAGTTAGAGGAGAGCCATTCCATTTAGTGGAACTTAAGTTATACAAAACGAACTTTACAGTTCAAATAATTCCGACTGGTCTCCAATAACAACAACAACAACAACTTTATTTTTGTATCCAGCCTCCATCTTCTCAAAGGTACTTGGGGCGGCTTAAATGGGTAACTAAGTTCTGTAGCAGGTCACTATGACTGGATCCAACTTATAATTATTATATTCACCAGTTTTCTGCAACGTATTTAGTATTTCAAGCACACAAAAAGCCTTTTGGTGGTGCAAGTCGACAATATGACCAACATTTTTACAAAATTATTTTACAGGAATTGCAACTATCATATAGTAGAGGTAAAAGAACACGATCACAATAGCTGAACACAATCAACATCGCATTTTCTAAAAGAGATGGTACACATTATCACTGACATAAGAACTATTAGATATAGTTAATACGCACACGGTTTCCAACACATTTACCTTAACATCAAAAGATGGCTTGAAGAGCTTGTCTTTAGATAAAAATTTAGATGGTGTATCCAGATGCAGAGACGGTTCTTTCTGTAATGGCTTTCCACTCAGTGGAGGGCTTGGCTTTTTATCAATGTGATGTGAAATAACAGTTCGGAAAGCCTTACTCTGAAACCTGTTCATATCCAGTGGTGTTACAGCTGTTTTCTTCCCAGTTTCAAGCAGATTAGGCATATTTGAAGCTGAAGCATCTGCCACTCCATCAAGCTGATCTGTGGGATTCTCTTATTTACATTAAAAGTACAAAAAAGATCCATTTTTTAAAAAAACTATTTCTCAGGTGAATACAATCTTTATAAAGATGCTAACTGACTATGCATTTCAAAGTACAAAACAATCTACAGCCATTTGCTGCTGCGCCGCTTGACAGTGGGAGCCAAGAGGCATCAGAGGGCTGCAGCTGTGCCCCTCTGGAGCTGCTTGGCTCCCACTGCCAGGCTTCAGCCTCCCTGAGGGGCTTCTCCAATCCGGAGAAGCCACCTGGAAGACTTGTGCAGTGGCGGCAGAGGAGAAGCCACCTGGAAGACTTAAGCTAAGTGGCGCCAGAGGGATGCAGCAACAACAGCTGCTTCAGATGCCCTACTCCAGTGGGAGGGCAGTTGCCCACCTCCCTCGCCTGGTATTTCGAAGCTTCCATCTTGTTTTGTTCCCAAAACAGGAAGTGATGAGTGTGGCAATTGGCTGGGCTGTGGCGGGGCCTGGCTGCCAGTGGAGGGCAGGCTGCCTCTGTGGAGCCAAGAAGCCACCTCACAGCCCAGGAAAGGAGGCTTCGGGGCCTGGAGAGGCTGGTAAGAGGGGTAGTCTTATATGGCGAGTATATCCCAAACTCTATATTTTAAATTGAAAAGTTGGGGGGGGGTGTCTTATATGCCCATTTGTCTTGTATGCCGGAATATATGGTAATACTTTTTGGTCCTAACCATGATTGAGAAGGATACTAGCATTGAAGATACAAGTTGAACATTCCTATCCGAAATACTTCAGATTGACTAGGACACTATTTTTATTCTGGATACCTGTATTTGAATATATGAACATAATGAGTTATCTTGGAGATGGGACTCAACTCTAAACATGACATGAATTTATGTTTCACATACATCTTACATGCATAGCTCAAAGATCATTTTATACATACTATATTTAATAGTTTTGTGCTTAAAACAAAGTTTATGTGCACTGAACCATCAGAAAGCAAAGATATCATAATCTCAGTCACCCATGTGCTTAATTTTGGATTTTGTAGTATTTTGGGATTCCAGATAAAGGATGTTCAACCTGTACCAAACTCTGATAAAACTCGTAGTGCTAACAGGGATACATTCCTCCCATCCAGACATTTCTGTACACTAACTAGGTCTGGAGGTAGACTGAAATAAATCAATAAAATATTGTAATTAAGACATCACCACATGCACCAATAATCTGCCTGAAAACTGGGAAAGCAGGTTTCTAAACTGCACAAAGTGCCTTCGGAAGCAGGACATAGAATCTCATTTGAGAAATGTTACTTCAATTGATAGAAGATGGTGGTTCACAGGAAGCAGTGGGGCTTACCAACAAAGACCGTTTCCCATTGATCATGTGAAGAAACAGAATGCTAGGAGAGAGCTCTAATTATTACCGAAACTTAAATCTTACACTATGATGCTAGTTTAATACAGCTACAAAGTTTCAAACTAACTAACCTTCAGTGACTACATTATCAATTAGGAACTTGCTTTCGTCAGCCTTTTCTCCAGTCCTTGAACTCTCCAACAGCCAAGCCATAGTAACAGCAGGAAGATTCCACTTCTTTGCAGCTTCGTATTTGGAGCCTTCTGGCTCCTTCACTACCAGATGGGTGCTGACAAGCATCCCTTTCCTTGGGTTGGCTTTTCTCACAAAGAATTCTTGAACTCTAAAATAAAAAGGAGATGATATTTCCATAACATAACACACACAAAACTCATCCTTAAAAACATATAATGCAAACGCATATCTTTTAACAAGAATGAAATCTAGGCTAGCATCCTATTGGTTAGTCCCAATTAGAATAGATTCACTCACTGAATTGTTGAACGGTGAGACAATGCATCGACAAATACCATTGGTTCAAGAGGTCTATTCTACTCAGGACTAACAGTAACATTTAGGAGCTAATTCTTATTTAAAAAGTGATAATCTAAGATTACGGACTACAAAGAATTTCAATATCTTAGCTGTAATTTTAATAGTAATACCACTACTAGTAGTACTAATAAATGTATATGTACTATCCGCATCTCCTTAAGGCACAAATATATCAATAAAAGCACATATTAAAATATAGTTAAAATACATTCATTAAAGCATACACTAAAATACACAGTTAAATTCATAGTTAAAACTGACTGTGCAGGCAGAAGCAATAGGTCTTCAGATGTGTTTTAAATTCTGATAACTCGTTTAGCTGTCGGATCTCTTCCAGAAGGTCATTCAACAGTTTTGAATTACTTGAATAGAACAGTATTTTTTTTTAAAAAAATGTATACAATGTATTTGCTGCTTTTAAATTATTTCAGAGTTTTATAGATGCTTACCTTGCACCAAGAATATTTGCTAAATAAATTAAAGAATCTCTTTCTGCCCCACTAAATTGGCTGAAAGACAGAACACACTGCTGTAACGGGGTACTGCCTTCTTTTATTGGTACTGGTGTGAAAAGCGGACTTGACTGAGGATCTTGCAGAGACTGCTGTTCTACACACATCACCTAACAATTAAGAAACACGGAGTGAAACAATTAAAGCAATACAGACATTCTGGAGCCCAAAGATCATTCTGGTGCACAGAACCTAAAGAATTATTTGGAGACACAAAAGAATTGCTCAAAAGTGTTCTAAATGTAACAAACTAATCAACGTTTATGCAACTGCACCAATATAATCTTTGCTTTAGTACTTAAACCCACTCTCGTCTTCAAAGACTAAAGTTTGGTTTCTTAAACGAAGAAAATATTGAACTGCTTTATTCAAATGAAAATACCAAAAAAATGTGGGGATGGCCTTTGTTAGCCATATTCCAATATGGTTGTCTCAGTAAGTGAATTCTTATAAGTCAGCTATATCATTGTTTCTTAAACGGTGGGTCCTAACCCCAAATGAGGTTTCCTTAGCTCAATGTTGAGGTCACAAAAATTTGGCCGCAATAAAAGTTTCTTGAACATCACCTACTGGCTGTTTTAGACAATTACACAAATCTATTGTGCAGGATTTACAGTGGATTCTGCAGAAAAGGCTTCAGTTGTACATCATAAAAGGGAAAATCAGCCTGTTTAACAAGCCTTGTTATCAGTATTTGGTTTGTATATCTATTTTACTTTGTACCACCGAAAATAAAACCTAACCAGAAAATAATCCCTAGCATGATTTCTCAGGATGCCTGTAATATAAGCCCTACTCCAATAATAACCCCCAGTTACGAGAGTCAACCATATAGACACATTTATTGGTAGTACATCCATTGTAACACATGACGGATATATATGAATTATAAAATAATGTTAATATATATTAAATATAAATAAATATCGTAATATTATAGACATAATATGACCATTTTACAGAAAAAGAAGGCATGGCTGTATTTGAATAAATGTAGATTCTTGTACATGAAAAAATAAGACATCATCTGAAAGACGTCTTTTGGAGCGAAAATTCATATAATGCCCAGTTTTATTTTCGGAGAAATACGGTACAAGATAGGTTCTGTAGGCTTGTTCTTAAGTTGAACTTGTATGGAAGTTGGAACAGGTAATTTTTTAAGTGTAACTCCAGCCAAAAACATTTACATATTTTGCTTTGGATAGAATTGGAAAAGGTTAACACCCCTGTTTTGTTTGTTTTGCTATCTATGCTATTTATGCCCCTGTTCAAAAGATTTCACCTCACCTTCTGCCCCTGTAATAATTGGATTTTGGAAATTTTGGCTTGTTGTGAAAACAAGGATTCGTGAGAAAGCTTCAGTGGAGACACCTTTCCTCCATGATAACTTTTTCTTCTTTTTATCTTCCAAGAAGTAGATTTCTCTCACTTCCCATTGTCTCACCTCTGTTCTTAACTATGAGTCACTTGTAAGTCAGATGTATGCAACTCAGGGACTGCATGTCTATACCTATGTAATTTCTCAGGCTGAAAGGGTTCCCAAATGGAAAAATTTAAGAAGGCCGAAGCTATGTTATCTGCGTACATTATTTTAGCAATGAAAACAATTAAGAATCTACTCATGTAAGATTTTTAATTTGGCTTGTAGCATGTCTCAGTTCACTATTAGCTTTTTTTCTCATTTGCTGCTACTGTGTGACTTCAAGGTCATTTTTGACACATGGTGACTCTCAGTTGAACTTATCTGGGGGGTTTTTGAGGCTGAAAGTATATGACTTGCCCAAGGTCATCCAATGGGTTTCCATGACCAAGCAGAGAATCAAACCCTGGCCTCAGAAGCTATAGTCCAACACTCAAACCAATACACAACACTGTCTCACTTTTCCTTGTATGTTTGAGGCATTTATCCTACAGCTTCTCTTACCAGCCATGTATTTGTAACCACATCTCCAACAGTGGGCTCCACTGTATAACCCAGGAGGGGGACCACTGCATAGTCAGCAACTGCTTTACTTTGTTGAGGCAGAACCTTCCCAGCATTTTCTTCAATCAGAGCCCTCATGCAGGATTCATCTTCTTTTCCGAAGCCCTGAAGACGAAACCTTTTCCCACTGAACAAGGTGCCTTCAGCAATTGTAGTTGTCTCTCCCAGGGAACTGTGGGTGACAGAGAACTCTTTTTTTTCTTGAAGGGCAGTGTGGTCGTTTTCACTGCCGCCTCCAGCAACAACTAGAAAAAAGTGAACATGTAAAGAAATCTTATTTTTCCCCGAAAGTTATATACAATTCACAGTGACGATGAATGGGTGATTCACAAGCTTGCAAGTTTTAAATGTATTTTTGGAAACTGAATTCCAAAAACACTATAAGCATGTTATCCTACACAGTTCTTCCACAAAGTTTATTACTTACATTCAGTCACAAAATTTAATCTTAAAATGTCAAAGCAAATTTTGAAAAAACCTGTACATTATAGATCAAATCTGAGGTCATTTTTTTTGGATTTACATAAAAAGTTGCTATATCCCTCAATTATTCGGTGTAATGGAAGAAGGGAGAGAGTTTAAGTTCTAAGCAATGTAGGGGTGTAGTCCAATCACTTTTTAACACTGAAACTATTTCCCAAGTTTACCTCTTTAATTCAGTTTTATCAAACGTTTCCTCCTTTCTACAAATGCTGAACAAAGGTAGCATAGGGAAGAGTTAACACCCCTGTTGCTGCCTGTGCCCCTGTTCAGAAGATTTCCCCTCACTTTCTGTACCTGATAATTGGATTTTGAAAAATTGGCTTGTTGTGAAAACAAGGATGGTGAGAAAGCTTCAATTGAGACACCTTTTCCCCATGATAACTCTTTCAAGAGTGAATCCCCTTCCTAGAGGTAGGTTTTTCTCACTTAGTGTTGTCTCACACCCGTTCTTAACTGTGAGTTGGATGTAAGTCAGATATTTGTAACTCAGGGGCTATCTGTATACATAAATTGACATATTTCATTCAAGGTTTACAAGTGAATAATGGCTAAACAGATTGTCTCATCACATCTGCAGGATCATAACTGGCTGAGCTGTTTCAAAATCAAAATAATTTTCACAAGCATTTAATCTGCTGATAATTTTGCACAATATAGTTTCTGTGAGAGAACGGAAAGATATAAGCTCATGAAACACTTAGAAAAGGACGAGTGAGTTATATTGATAGAGGTAAGGAGTGGAACACTTGACGGGCGGGAATGTGAAGAGAGAAGTGCCATATGATAGAGAAACTAAAAATCTTACAGCACAAGAGGCAGAAGCAATGTTGAAAAAGAGAGCTTTAGTGAACAACCCATTGAGTTGACAGAAGGCGAAAGGAAAACAGAATGAAGAGGGGAAGAGATCAATTAGTAATGTAAGATTTATATGCAGCACTCTTATTGGTATTCTTTGTTTAATTATTTTGATAGTGTTTCAATTAATATAACTGCCAATTTAATTGCTTTGTAATCTTTTAACCATCAAAGTTTTAGTTAGACTGTATTTCAAGACTCCACTTTCCTGATTATGCAGTTTATATGAATTTTGTTAGTTGATCAAGATATGCACCAGATTTTTTCAACTGTATAATGCCATCAATTGTAAGACACACCCTAATTTCAGTACCACCACCAACAACAAAAATGCACAAGGTACACTTGCGATTCTAAGATGCACCCTACTTTTATAAATGTCTACCTAGGAAAAAAGTGAGTCTTAGAACTGAAGAAATACAGGATATTGTTTTAACCTTGTTTAACCTTAACCCATGGCAAGAAAAAAGACATGGTATTAACTTCTATTAAGCATAATAAAACTTTATCTAGCCTCTGTGAGTTATTAAAATATATCTTCAATATTCTACAAGCAAGAAAATGGGGGTTTGGTGGACAATCTCTTACCTACTGTAGAATCCTGAGTTACATACTGAGAAAGCAGATCATCATCTGCTTCTGGAGCCTTTTGGATATTGATAGTTTCTTTCTTCACAACACTGTTTCTTTTGAGGAAGACTGGCTGCTCCAAAACTGGACTGTTTACTGGTTGATAGTTTTCGGGGATGTACTGCTCTTCAGGTTGTAAATAACCTTTTTTAAAGCATTCTAAAAGCCATTGTACTGTTACAGCATATGGCCTATTGAGCAAAAAAAGTACATTAAAATCAATTGGAAAATAAATTCTTCCAAGAAGAAACATACTATTTCACATTTCTACTAAAAAAAAAAGTATATTTTCTGAGCAAAGAGAAGTTGCACAGAAATCTGAGATCTCCACCCAAAACTCATCTTTCAATAGCTTTATTTGTATGCTAATTTAATTGTGAAATGATTCTTTCTAAGGAGGCAATTTGTCTAGCTATTTGTGAACACAATCCATGTATTTCAGAAATCAAATTTGAAAAAGTTCACTAGTACAGAGACTATACATGAATAACATTAACTTAAGACTTCAGATCACTTTCAACATGGCATACTGATTTTTGAAAATGATAACTGAATAATAAGATACTCAGTATTGCCCACAATGTGGTAAAATACCAAGTTTACACATTTAATAATTACCATTCTTTTAACAGAAAAAAAACATGCAAGAAAACATGCAATTAATCCGTACCTCTGCACTGTCTTTTTTAGGAACTGCTTTAGTTCCTTATCATCATCACCTACAATGACATGTGTTACATCTTCATTAAGTTGATTGAAACGAACGCCACCTCCACAGTTGATAAGCCGTCTAATTTTATCCAATTTCTTGCCACTAAAACCACAAAGATAAATCTGAAGGAAAAAAATAAGAAAAAATCCCCTGAAGCAATATGATAATTTACAGGCAAGTTAAGATACTTTCACAAGCAATCGGGAGCTTCAGTTGATGTTTTCTTTGAAAAACAACTGAAGAGACAAACCACTTATTGCAAACAAATCTTATTTATTTTGTTTTTTCATGCAAAAATGTATATTATTCCCCCCCACACACACACACACTAATAAACAAAGCATTCTGCATAATTCTCAATCACTATTTGCATTTAGGAATCTTTTGGGGAAAATCTTTTCTGCAGCAGTACATGCAATTTCTATGGACCATTGCAGCACACCAAAATACCTGGGAGTTACTCTGAACCGTGCTCTGACTTACAACAAGCACTGGTTGAACTGCTTGAACATCAAGCAAAAAGTGGGTGCAGGAATAATATCACACGAAAGCTGACACAACCTGGGGATCACAACCAGATACAGTGAAGACATTTGCCCCTTGCGCTTTGCTATTCTGCTGCTGAATACGCATGCCCAGTGTGGAATACATCCCGCTATGTTAAAACAGTGGATGTGGTTTTTAATGAGACATGCCACATTATCACAGGATGTCTATGCCTGTGATATTATACTGTTTGTACCACCTGACATCTGTCACAATGTAGCAACCTGTAACAAAAGAGCCAAGGCATTGACATCTCTGGCCCATCCTCTGTTTGGATATCAGCCAGCAAACCAATACTTTAAATCAATAGTTTCCTAAGATCTACAGAGATACTTGCAGGAACACCTCAGCAAGTGAGAGTCCAAAAGTGGCAGGCTAAAACCCAATACCTCAACCCATGTCTGATACTGGATGAGAGACTCCTCCCGGGCACACAGAAGACTGGGCGACATGGAAGGTGCTGAACAGAAGGCACTCTGGTGCCATGATATGCAGAGCCAATCTTCAGAAACGGGGCTACAAATTGGAGTCCACGACAAGCAAGTGTGGAGAAGAGCAAACCATAGACCACTTTCTACAATGCAGCCTGAGCCCTGCTACATGCACAACAGAGGACCTTCTCACAGTGACATCAGAGGCACTCCAAGCGGCCAGCTTCTGGTCAAATGACATTTAGTACAATGGCAAATTTTTAACTTTGTGTTTTTAAATACATTATAACCATTAACCATACCCTCACTTTGCTTCTGACATGATAAATAAGTAATTTCTCTGTGTTGAAAATAATTCGGGGGGAGGGGGGGTGAGCAATTTTTCCTGAGAAAAACTGTATATTTCTATGCCAATGAATTATTCTCTAAAGATTCTATTGAATCACACCATCCTAAGGATTGTTTCTACAACATCATTAAGGAGCTGAGGAAAACTATTCTACAAAGCAATGAACTTCATTCCAAATAAAACCACAAATGAAAAAGCTACAAAATGCAAGTGATTCCCTAACCAAGTATCTCCATATCTTCCATTACTGACTGCAAAAAAAAAACTATGGTAACAATAAAGTCAGCACTCCACATTCGCGAGGGTTACGGGCACAAGACCTCTGTGAAAGGGAAAAACCACAAATAAAAAGAGAATATTTTAACCCAAATCTGTGAATGAATCCACAAAAGTCAAAACTCCAAATGTTGAGGGCTGACTATATTTGCTTCATAGGCATAATCCACGAGTGTAAATCCAATTTTGCCCAACAGTACCAATAAAACAACAAAGCTCTACCAACTCTAAATTCCAATTTACATATCAAGATAATTTCACAATTGCGAATGGACTATTAGACATACTCTGCATCCATCCAGTAAATCTTCAGGTGCTTGCAAGGAACTAATATCCAAATTGTTCAGTTCATCAGAAGGATGGACCAATCTGGTGTTCATGGAAGAGCTACATGATGTTTCATTAATGGCTGTTAAATTGATGTTTGAAATGTGGCTGACATCTGAGAGGGTTCGACCTTTGAATAATATTCAAACGAGAAGGTTAAGAGCATATCTGAAAAACAACATAATTGTACCACTATTATCTCAGTTTGTAATTTTAGCACAATTAAGACAAAAATGCCACTAAATATAAATTATTTCCATCTGTTAACCAGTTTTGTCTGCATGTCCATATGATGAAATATAGTAAGTGTATAAAAGCTCATTTTCTTCTCTCTATTGTTCCACACAGTGCTCCCCAAGGAGATAGCATATTAAGTATTGAAAATTTAACGCGTAAGCATGGAAATTTCTTATTGGGGTATGTGTTTTCTTTATTTTTTTAACTTGTGTATGTCTTTCAAATTGTTTTATATTATTTTAAGTGCTAATTTTAATTGTTTTTACATTTTTATTGTGCAGGTTTTTCTATTGATTCTCTTTGGGAGCCTATTTTAGGAAAAAGGTGGCATACAACATACATAAATGGCCCTCTTAGTCTTTACGGACCATGTTCAAAATATTTATTTAACAATTCATGCATAGGAATTTAGAAATTACATAAATGTCAAAAATGTATACACACTTTATTGAAGCATACAAAATGATATTTTCCTTATCTTTAGAAAGACACACTAGAAAGGCTGGTAAAAAATTCTCAGAAACAGACATAGCAAAACCTTCTAAGACTGCAGAAAGAAATTAAAGCATAATAGTAAAAATAATCTAACCTCTTTGTTTTACAGAAATTCCACCACTTGGGGAATGTATTACTTACTGTCAAAACTGCTAGCTTGGCTAGTCGGAGTCGATGTACTTGGTACATTTTCTTGCTTTGATTTGGGGATTACTGTATACATTGATTCATCCTGGCAAAATCCTTTTTCAATGCTGTCAAAAAACCACTGCATAGATACACAATGGACATTCCACCTTCTTGCACATTCATATTTCTGACCTTTTCAACACAGATTAAAAGAAAGCACAATTAAAATTGACATTTAAAAAATGCACTGAGAAATATATTCCACACACAAGACGTTACATCCTGTTTAGAGAATTGTCACTCACAATTTTCTTAGAGCTAACTACTGCAACCTGACTTGTGAAAATGAACTAATCTCCCACTTCTTTGAATGAATGTACAAACCATGTTTATCCTCAAAATGGATGCATTGACACATAGAATAGTGGTGCTTTCTTGGCCATCCATACAATTCAATCTCCAGAGAAAAATGAATGACTGCGTCTGAATTGAAGGAAGTAGATGGAATGCAAACAGGATCAGTAATTTTTAAACAGAAGCTTCAGTTCTTGATTTTGATGAGACAGGTGTCACTATTTTAAAATATTCTCATGAGAATATCTAAAAACATTATTGTGGTCCAAATATAACAACCTAATCTATTTGGGGGTTTTTAAACCTTAATCCACATTGTTTCTAAGAAAAAGTACAAATGTAAGAGATGGTGTGGTGTTCTGCCCATGCTTGGAAAGTGAACTGATTGCGTGGGAAACAGATTGGAGACTATATAGTTGAATCAAACAAGAATTTATTAACATAAGAATTTTAGACTTTCTCTCCTCCTAAGTCTCACTACAAAAGTCTATATAAGGAGAGGTAAAGTCTTTGGGAAATAAGACACATTTCTAGCTGAACTGAGGCTCTTGAATTTTTATTTCTTCTTATTGTCTCTTTCTTGTAGGGTGCTCAACTGTCTCTAATATATATCTGGCTGAACTTGAATACAGCTCTGACTGGACGTGCTATTTTGTAGACTTTCTGCCTTTCCTCTCTCTTCACCTTTCAGTCATGAAAAGACCAGCTTTTCCAAGAACCAGAAATGTCTTGCATGAGGCTCTGCCCCATCACCTCTAGTGTTTGAAATACAGAACACATGCCATATACTAGTTTTCATCTACTCACACACAGAAAACCATTATAATCATATCTAAGAAACTAGAGCTAATGAGGTCTTTCAAATGCAATTTTCTGTGTCAGTGATCCAAACAATCCCAGAGTTACGATTAAAAGCCAAGACACCAATACTTTTTTTGCTGTTGTTGTTGGGCTGCAAATTAAATCCAAAAATATAGACTATACTTCCTTCCTGAAGGTCTGGCTTTTGATCCTCAGAGCCAGACCATTCAGGAAGCAGAGAAGTGTTCAGAAAACTTTCAACTGCTATTATCCTACCCTCCCAAGAAATGGGGCTACAAAGTGGAATCCACGACATGCAAGTGTGGAGAAGAGCAAACTACAGACCACCTGCTGCAATGCAACCTGAGCCCTGCACAATGGAGGACCTTCTTGCAGCAATACCAGAGGCACTCCAAGTGGCCAGAGGCACTCCAAAGGACATTTAATCAACTACCAAGCTTGCAAACTTTGTGTTTTGTCTGTCTGTTTGTTTGTTTGCTTGCTTGCTTGTTAAAAAATGCAACACAACTGTTCGGTCTGCTCCTGACACGATAAATAAATAACCCTCCCAATTCCTGTTTTTATTGAAGTTTGTCCCTAAATGTTGGTGGCAAACTCCACTACAGCAACCACACCCACCCACTGTTTTCACTGATGTTGATGGAATGGAGGAAGTTGCAAAAACAGAACTTGGGAGACTGCAGGTTGCCAGCAGGCTGTGCTTTGCCCACAGTATGTCCTCTGCACTTGAGATTCACACCTGAATCACAATTAAATCTAAAGTTTATAATTGTGAACCAATGTAGAGACATAAGAAGCCTCCTGAGTTCAACCCGAGTAAAATTGTGTTTGTTTCAAATTGGGATTTACCTTTTGGCTCATGAACAATAAGGTGAGTGCACTCATTCATTTTGAGTTGCCCTGTATACTGGCCACCATTTTCGGTGGTGAGACGTTGAACCTCTTTTCGATCTGTGCTGCTCAAGCCAGTTACACACACCGTACAGCCGAGAAACAATGGGCACAAATAGTCATCCATATTTATGTCTGTGTATCTAATCATCCTGTTGGAAGCAAGGACAATAACACAACTCTTGACATTTCTCATTAGCAGAAAAACCATCCCGAGTTCAGTCACAGTTAAAGAAGACTTACAGAAATCATTGGGTTTATGTTGGTTATCCAGCAAACTCCAATCTCACTGATTTTAATTAATCAATCTCCAATTCTATGAAAGTGTCTATGTAACAGCACAAAATTCTATGGTTATGCATTAGTCAAAGATATCACTCTATATTTTTGCCATTCTCCCATTATTGTAAGTGGGAATCAATGGTTGAAATGATTCTTTCTTGGTACTGAGACTGAGCGAAGGCAAAATTGCATAATAATTTTAAAATCTTTATTAAGGTAGCTCTTAATTTTTGACTTCATAGAATGTTAGTAAATTCACAAATCACAGTCTTACCTATGTTTGGATTTATCCCATAAAGCTTGTATCCAAGAGGGAAGCAAAATGGGTTTCTTTAAATTAGCAGCAACTAAGTATTTTTTGCTTCCAACTTCTCCAGCTATAAGATGTGTTACTAACACATTAAGATCTCTGTATACACGGCCTCCCATCATCTGTACATGCTTGTGGATTTCTTCCTAGAACAGTGGCACATCAAAACAATGAAATTACAAAGATGAAAAAAAAATTGGAATTACTAGAAAGACAAATAATGTTATACAAATAATACTAGAAGTATAGCTCAAAAACAGTTTGAAAAGCACAACAGAAACAATACTGGCACACTTGAGAAGATTCAGGGGAAGGCACAATATGTTGACAATGTAAACAGGGATAGATGTTTTACATTCTAATTGTAATCATGATGTAACATGTACCATAAACTATTGGACATGCTCAGTGAGGATGATGGTTATAGGTCAAAGTAACATGGAAACTAATGATTCCCTATCTCTGATACAAAACACAGGATCATCTGGAAACGGACAGTTTTGGCATGATTGTAAAAAACAGAGGAAAAGAAAAGAAAGGATATAATAATTTTCAAATTATAAAATGAACAGTCTCTCCTGCCAAAAGATATGGCAAGTATATTTAAAGTATCTTTAAATTCTGGAAGATTTTAATTGCATGTTATTGAAATAATCTTATATGAAATAACAATGCATTTATCTATATATCTATCTACCTACCTACCTATGTTTGTATGTATTTCCAAGATGGCTCCGACTTCCAGAGAGCCCTGATTCCCTCCTTACCCCAATGATAGATCTGGACCAAACCTGGCACATACACCCAACATGACCAACTTTAAATAGAGGGGTTTGGGGGGACTTGACCCTGGATGTTGGGAGCTGTAGTTCACCCACAGTCAGAAAGCACCCTAAACCCAACCGATAGATCTGGGCAAAACTTGGCACACATATTCACCATTACCAACTTTAAGGAATGGTGGGGTTTGGAGGGTAATGACAGAGGATGATAGGAATGACAGTTTACCCACTTCCAGAGAGCAATGTGTACCCAACCAACATTGGATTGTTATCAAACCTAGCATGCATACTCAACATGAGCCACTTTGAAAGTAAGTGTGGGGTCCTAGTTGCCATGACTATGTGTTTGTATGACTTTTACTGCTATAAGCAACCTAATGTAATAATCTAGAAGATAAACTACACATAAATGGCTGAGCAATGTATTCCATAATACATTACCCTAATTTCCTTCTGAAGATTTGTACATGATATCGTCACATCAGCCATGGTCATATTAAATACTGGATAGTCAGCTCTTGGGACACACCGCTGGTTCTTCATACAATAGATAACAACCTGTGGTCCAACAATCCTACAGCCCAACTGAGAAAATGTAAAGGGAGAAAGTCAATAAGATATTTTCCTCAAAAATTAATCCACCAAAGCTAATGCATATTTTTATCAGCTAACAAAATCCATATACACTGCATAATTAGGACAGCAGATTCTTTTACAGTGGAAGAATAGTAAAATCTATTACTCAATATTAACAGTAGGTCGACAATCCTGATAATTTGATGAAAAATGGGATTTGTTTTTACTGGCTTCTATTATATTGTCATTAAAATACTCATGCTTGGTCACTCTCCGTGGAATAGCTATCAACAGAACTGGAATCCAACTCCATCTATAACTCTACCCCATAACATTTTTATTAGCCCATACATTGATTCCCTGAACAGCTTTTCGTTCTTTTTTTCAGTTTTCAGATCAAAGGCCCTTTATCAAGATATCATACCAGCATAACCAAATACAAAAATAAAATGCAAACCTTTTGAAGGTGATTAAAAACAGTGCCACTGAATGGATCACATATATAAAGGGATTTGTCATTCTCCTGTATTCTCAGTGCAGCTTCATTTTCAAGAATTTGGAGATATTCTTCTGACTGAAATTCTTTAATGGACTGTGAAATAAACAGAAGCAACAGAACATATTCTCTGAATCGGCAAAAAAATTATCAGATTTCTAATTCAGTTATTTTGAATGCTTCCAGCAATACAAATGCAAAAATGATACATAACTGAAATTATTTTAGCTAAAGTTCCCATACACTAAGAAGAATTCAAACAGCAAAAAAGGCAAGGAAATTCAAAATGTCTTCTACTCAGTTTGGTACCATGTATATTTGTTTCAAAACTGATCTAAACTCCACTGAAATGTATGGAACTTACCACAGATATATATAGTAAATGAAAGGCCAGAGGTTGACCATAGGGTCAAAGAAAAATGGTCCCATGCTAAAGAAAAAAATGTTCTGAAACGAAGAAATAATTGAAACTATTGAAGTATTAGGATTTTTTTAAAAAGTCAGATGAAGATTAGCAGAGCCTATTGATCCTACCATTGGCTAAATGGCTTTTATTAATAACAATGTAAGAAAGAAGTTTAACATTAATAATTTTGACTGCTGCTTGCTTGTTGGTTTTATATTACAACTTAATGACTGACATTTCATGATTAGCAAATATATCTTCAATATCATCATAGATTTGCTGTGTCATTGCTAGGTAGATCTCCAAAACTGATATAAATAGTAAGGTATATATTTGCTCTGGTCATTATAATCATAAGCTATCACTTATGGGTATGATTGTCTTTCAAGGGTAGTTTTGGCAGAGTCCAAAAGTAACTGTAGAGACCTACTCTGGATCCCTATGGTCTTTAACAGTGAGAACATACATTTCTAGGTGGAAGGCAGTCATAACAAGGGTTTCCTTGATGCACCCTCCTCTTGGCACGTTTCTCCCTTTCGCTGATTATTTGTGCCTCTTTCAAATCCATAGCACTGGTGCTAACAGCTGATCTCCAGTTAGAATGCTTGAGGGCAGGAATGCCTAGTTCTCAGTGTTTATTCCACATTTTAGATGAGCTTTAAACCCATCTTTAAATCTCTTTTGCTGTCCACCAACATTCTGTTTTTCACTCTTGAGCTGAGAGTAAAGTAATTGCTTTGAGAGATAGTGATTGGGCATTCAGACAATATGGCCAGCCTAGCAAAATTAATGGTTGATGATCATCACTTCAATGAGCCCCCTGTGGCACAGTGGGTTAAACCCCTGTGCAGGCAGGACTGAAGACTGACAGGTCGCAGGTTCAAATCCGGTGAGAGGCGGATGAGCTCCCTCTATGAACTCCAGCTCCTCATGCGGGGACATGAGAGAAGCCTCCCACAAGGATGATAAAAACATCAAATCATCCGGGCATCCCCTGGGCAACATCCTTGCAGACGGCCAATTTTCTCACACCAGAAATGACTTGCAGTTTCTCAAGTCGCTCCTGACTCACTTCAATGCTGATGGTAAGGAATATGTTTGCTCTGCTGCCAGATTGCTCAAATTAAATGTTTACATATCTCCACCACTGTCATTTACATTGCTCTCATTTACATTGCTGTACTCCATTCCTTGAATCTAAAATTAGGCACATTTTCTCCTTCAATGGCTGCGCCTACAACACCCTTCCATGCAGCCAATTTATGAAGCCCCCAGCTTCACAAGTCTTTGGATATTTTAGGACCACTTCTGCTCCCCAGATCTCAATTCTGGGAATCAACAACTCCTCCATTTCATTTGTGCACAAGCAGAGGAAAAATGGGTGATACAAGGAAAGAGAGAGCCACACAATCCACGGAAGTCATAAGCACCAAGACCATAAATCTTGGCCCATTGTTGGCTCTAGCCTGCCTACTACTGACAGTTGGCCTCAATTGACTTTTCCAGCACTTCAGAGGGAAAAGGTTAAGAATGGAAGAAAAGCCATATTAGATAAGAGCAATGATGGATCAGAGTCAAGTATTTATCTAGTCTATCATTCTGTTCATGCAACGGCTAATCAAACTGCCCACAGAAGCCAGCAAACTGGACATAAATCCAAATGCACCCATATGTTTATGCTCCTCAGCTACTGATATACTGAGGCATACTGTTGTTGGTGCTAGAATGTATAGCCATCCTCATTAGTAATGTAGTTAAAAGTTTAACTATACATTGTGAGATGAAGTACTTTCTTTTAAGTTCCCAAACCACTCACACACAGTGGACATTGGACATTTTATTTACAGAGAGTTATTCTGCCTAATGTCCTAGTCCCCACATAGAATATTATTATTTTTAAAATAGCAGGTGCACCCTGGGCTATTTTCATTAAATTATCACAATCCTATATCATACAGGAGTATATAGGTTTTGGCTGAACTAAAATGCCAATACCTCCCATTGCTCGCTTTGCACCCATCCTACAGCATGAGAGAAGCTAAGAAAGAGGAAGGAGACAGGGAGAACTTTTCTGCATTCATTTTGGAAAATCTGCTGAAAGCCACAATATTTTTGCCTTCTGTAAGATAAAAACTTCAACAGGAAAAATCATCAGGCATTTTTGCTGCATCCAAACATGGCTCAGTCTTATTTTCAGTGAGCGCCTCACATATGTAAAAATTATCTTACTTCAAGGGCCTGAAGGAAAAAATCTGAGTTCCCTGGAGACTTGATGAACTTCACAAGATATGGTTCCTTGTTATTTTTCATCATTTAACTAATGAGGAAAGAAGAAAGAGAAGATGTAACGTTATATAGGCAAAGGAAACATTAACAAAAAGCCTATTTGTGTATTTATTTATTTACTATATTTGTATACTGCCCCTCTCAGCCCGAAGATGACTCGAGGAGGTTTACTTTTGGCAATCAATGCCCCACAAGATAATATACATTCAAAAACAATTACATATAAAATAGCCATGTAAAAACAATAAACAATTAACACCATAAAATACAATTCTCAGCATCTCGTTAAAATCATTTTCCGTCATATCGTCTTGTCATTCCATGAGTATCAATCAATCAGTTATACTGCGTCTGCAAATGCCTGCTCGAATAGGCAGGTTTTCTCCTTTTTGAAATGTCAGGAGGGAGAGGGCCAATCTAATGTCCCTAGGAAGGGTGTTCCATAGCCGAGGAGCCACCGCTGAGAAGGCCCTGTCTCTTGTTTCCACCAATCGGATCTGCGAGGAAGGCGGGACCAAGAGCAGGGCCTCTCCAGAAGATCTAAAACACCTAGATCAGTGGTTCAGTGGGTCCCCAGATGTTTTGGCCTTCAACTCCCAGAAATCCTAACAGCTGATAAACTGCCTGGGATTTCTGGGAGTTGTAGGCCAAAACACCTGGGGACCCACAGGTTGCGAACCACTGACCTAGATGGTTCATAGGACAAGATGCGTTCAGACAGGTAACCCGGGCCAGAACCATTTAGGGCTTTAAAGGCTAAAGCCAGCACTTTGAATTGTGCCCGGTAGCAAACTGGCAGCCAGTGGAGCTGGCGCAACAGAGGAGTTGTGCGCTCCCTGTGTGCCGCTCCTGTTAACAACCTGGCTGCTGTCCATTGGACCTATTGAAGCTTCCAAACAGTCTTCAAAGGCAGCCCCACGTAGAGAGCGTTGCAGTAGTCTACACGGGATGTAACCAGAGCATGGACTACCGTAGCCAAGTCAGACTTCCCAAGGTATGGGCGCAGCTGGAGCACAAGTTTTAATAACAGTTCATGGAAATATATGTTCAAATATGAAAGCACATCTCTATATTTGTCAAAGCAGAATGCATTTTCATTCACTGGACATTTGGCCACTACAGCAAGACTAATTTATGCAAAACATTGGAAGATGGAAGAGGAACCAACAACGGAGGATTGGGTAATAAAATTTTGGATATCATGAATATGGAGAGCCTAACACAAGCATCTCAGACACCGGCAGATGGTAACCAAGAGGATGACTGATTGGATTCTGATTAAAAATGTCTTTAAATTATGAAATGGCATAATAGGCAGAGGCAAATAGGGGACTGAGGAAGACTGATAATACCCATTGATAATAATTTAAATATGGCTACGTCAGAAGAGACGAGTGGATAATATACTCATCCCGTCCACATCTTACCACTCTATTCTACGCTATTCTTTTTATACTCTTTCTCTCCTCTCTCCCCCTTTCTCCCGTCCCCTACCTATCTTCATCATACCATCTTTTCCTTTCCTCTCCTCATTATAATCACTCATTATTATTTTTATGTTATCACATTACATTTTAAAAGCACTATCTTTCAATTCTTTCCTTTGTGGTGATGGTAATGTACCCCTTGTATATCTTTTAATAAAATATTATTACACGAGAAGCAACCATTTACCAAGATATCAATTAAGCAAGAAAGTAAAATATGTAGGCATATGTCTGATGCATCAAGTATCTACAATAATTGAAGACAGGGATTGTGGCGCAGCTCGCTGAGTGTCAGCTGCATTAAGATCACTCTGACCAAAAGGTCATGAGTTCAAAGCCAGCCCGGGTCAGAGTGAGCTTCCGGCCAATTTTGTGTAGCTTGTTGTCAACCTTTGCAACCCGAAAGACAGTTGTATCTGTCAAGTAGGAAAATTAGGTACCACCTTAAAGTGTGGGGAGGCTAAATTAACCGATTTATGAGGCCATAAAGAAGACTCCAGCAAAGCATTCCAGCGGGGAAGAATGCGGGGAATGTGGAAGTGCTTCATCAGCGTCGCAGATGGATGATGAAAGCGACAGCTCCCCTGGCAGCCAAAAAAAGTTAAATAGCCTCTGTGTATGTCTGTATATGTTTGTATGTCAAAAATTGGCACTGAATGTTTGCCATATATGTGTACACTGTAATCCGCCCTGACTCCCCTGCAGGGTGAGAAGGGCGGAATATAAAAGCTGTAAATAAATAAATAAATAAATAAATAAATAAAAAGAATTTTGTAACTGGGGAAAATTAAAATGCTCCTTTATGGAAAGAACAGCCACACTTAAGGTTCGTGTTTTACCCAAAAAGATGCACCTATTTCCAAAAATTCCAGTCATCATGAATGACTATCCTTTTAAACAATGGAAGAAAGATATTACTAAATTTATTTGGATAGGTTAATCCTACACTAGAAAGCATTTGTTTTCTGATGTTTACAAAAGAAAAAAAAACCTGTTAGGGAAAATGGAAAAAAAATAACAAATGGTTGCAACACTAAATGGTGATGACTCCTTTTTCCAGACAAGTTGTCTATGTTTACACTTCTATCAGGTAACTATATTGGTTACATATAATCATTATACATACACTCTTCATCTAAGGCAGTGTTTCTCAACCTGGGGGTCGGGACCCCTGAGGGGGTCGCGAGGGGGTGTCAGAGAGGTCGCCAAAGACCATAAGAAAACACAGTATTTTTTGATGGTCATGGGGATTCCATGTGGGAAGTTTGGGCCAATTCTATGGTTGGTGGAGTTCAGAATGTTCTTTGATTGTAATGAACTATAAATCCCAGCAACTACAACTCCCAAATGCCAAGATCTATTTTCCCCAGACTCCACCAGTGTTCACATTTGGGCATATTGAGTATTCATGCCAAGTTTGGTCCAGATCCACCATTGCATGAGTCCACAGTGCTCTCTGGATATAGGTGAACTACAACTCCCAAACTCAAGGTCAATGCCCATCAAACCCTTCCAATGTTTTCCATTGGTCATGGGAGCCAAGTTTGGTTCAAATCCATCACTACTGGAGTTTGGGATGCTCTTTGATTATAAGTGAACTATAAATCCTAGCAACTACAACTCCCAAATTACAAAATCAATCCTCCCCCAACCCCACTAGCATTCACATTTGGGTGTATTGGGTATTTGTGCCCAGTTTGGTCCAGTGAATGAAAATGCATCCTGCATATCAGATATTTACATTATGATTTGTAACAGTAGTAAAATGACTGTTATGAAGTAGCAATGAAAACAATATTATGGTTGGGAGTCACCACAACATGGGGGACTGTATTAAGGGGTCACGCCATTAGGAAGGTTGAGAACCACTGATCTAAGGGAAAATGAAACTAAAATAACTATCTCAGGCTATTAAATAGGAACAAATTTTGTGGAGCTCAGCTGTCAGTTTCATAAGAAATGTACAGCTATAAATGTTATGGCTTAAGCAGCTGAGGGAGAAAGGGAAGGGGCCTGAGGCTGTTAGGAATGCTGGGAGTTGAAGTCCAAAACAACCAGAAAGCCAAAGTTTGCCCAGGCCTATTTAGATGGATTAGGAGTCAGCTGGTTTTCCTGTAATAGGAAGAGGTTGGAGGTCTTCCTGGCTGAGGCCCCTGAGGAGCTGTAGTATTTCTCAGGCGGAGGAGGCCCCTCTCATTTCTGGGCCCAAAGAGAGAGAGAGAACGAGGAAGGATACAGGTTCCCCTTGCCTTCCTCTGGGATTACCTCAGCAGCACGTCCTCGGCCTGAGGAAGCGACCCCCTCTCCCCTTCTCACCAACAACTCTCCTCTTCCAAAGGCTGGCGGGAAAAGACTCCTGGACGGAGGGCGCATGCGCCAGGGACGGCTCGTGACGTCGCCGGCCTCCAAACATGGGAAAGTTTCCCTTAAAGGGGCAAGGTACGGAAAGGCAGAGGCGATTGGTTGAGAAGGATAGTAAGCGTGGCCCCTTTAAATATTGTTTGTGGGCGAAGGGATAGGGTGGGTTTGTTGTTTGAGTTTTCTTCCGGCGCTTGTGCGACCACCGGTATTGAGAAAAGTAGCTTGCCAAAGAAGGGATGTCGCTTCCTTTGGGGAAGTTTCAGAGAGGAAATCCTGGTGCCATCAACACGGCCAAGCAATGCAGTGTGAAACCGCGTTGGATGGTTAGTGTAGACTCATATAATGTAGTGAAAGGACCAAGGCAGAGACATCTCCAGTATCAGCCAGCACGTCAACGACTTAAATCTAGACATAGTTTTCTAAGATCTACGCAGTGGTTCTCAACCTGTGGGTCCCCAGATGTTTTGGCCTTCAACTCCCAGAGATCCTAACAACTGGTAAACTGGCTGAGATTTCTGGGAGTTGTAGGCCAAAACACCTGGGGACCCACAGGTTGAGAACCACTAAGAAACACTTGCTGGAACACCTCAGCAAGCAAGAGTCCAAAAGTGGCAGGCTCAAACCCAGAACCTCAATCAATGGCTGATACCAAATGAGAGACTCCCCCTTGGACACGCAGAAAACTGGCCGACTTGGAAGGCTCTGAACGGACTGCGCTCTGGCACCACGAGATGCAGAGCCAATCTTAAGAAATGGGGCCACAAAATGGAATCCACGACATGCGAGTGTGGAGAAGAGCAAACCACAGACCACCTGCTGCAATGCAACATGAGCCCTGCTACATGCACAATGGAGGACCTCCTTGCAGCAACACCAGAAGCACTCCAAGTGGCCAGATACTGGTCAAAGGACATTTAATCAACTACCAAACTCACAAATTTTGTATTTTGCCTGTTTGTTTGCTTTGTTCTGTTAGAAATGTAATATAATTGACTGGTTGCCCTGACACGACAAATAAATAAATGTAGTTTAATATAGTTTCACCTTGTCTCCTGTGCTATGTTAATAATATAATATAATATAAAATAATATATCGTATATATACATATAATATCTATAATATTATAATGTAATGCAATATAATACTACTAATAATATGATATTATAAATATATATTTGTATTACATGTAATATTAATAATGTTACAATGTAATGGTTTAATACAATATAGTAATAATTAATACTGATATTGTACTATGCTAATAAAATAATATATTGTGTGGGTGTATTATATATATATACTAGCCGTCCCCTGCCACGCGTTGTTGTGGCCCAATCTGGTGATCTAGAAAATAAAGTAATGTGAAAGTGTTTATTTATATGTAATTTCTCTATATTTGTGGGTAAACAGTTCATGGGGTTCAGAATTCTCTGTTTGTAGGTGAACTGTAAATCCCAGTAACTACAACTCCCAAATGTCAAGGTTTAATTCCCCTAAACTCTATCTGGGTTCATATTTTCAGTAGTATTCGTGCCAAGTTTGGTCCAGATCCATCATTGTTTGAATCCACAGTGCTCTCTGGATGTAGGTGAACTACAACTCCCAAAGTCAAGGTGTTTTCTAGTGTTTTCTGTTGATCATGGGAGTCCTGTGTGCCGTGTTTGGTTCAATTCCATCACTGGTGGAGTTCAGAATGTTCTTAGATTGGAGGTGAACTATAAATCCCAGCAACTACAACTCCCAAATGACAACTCCTTGGGTTAGTAGGTGTCTTGTGGCCAAATTTGGTGTCAATTTGCCCAGTTGTTTTTGAGTTATGTTAATCCCACAAACGAACATTACATATATATATATGTATATGTATATGTATATCTTGTAAGCCACTCCGAGTCCCCTTCGGGGTGAGAAGGCCAGCATATAAATGTCGTAAATAAATAAATACATTTCTGCCCATCAATTTCATAGAATCACAGAATCCAGGGGGTGGATGACTTATTAATTACTTAGATGGAAGGTTTTTTTCTGTGTCAGAAACGACTTGAGAAACTGCAAGTCGCTTCTGGTGTGAGAAAATTGGCTATATACAAGGACGTTGCCCAGGGGACACCCGGAAGTTTTGATGTTTTACCATCCTTCTGGGAGGCTTCTCTCATGTCCCCTCATAGGGAGCTGGAGCTGACAGAGGGAGCTCATCTGTGCACTCCTCGGATTGGAACCTCTGACCTGTCGAACTTCAGTCCTGTGGGCACAAGGGTTTAACCCATCAAGTTTGCAGACGACACCAAATTGGGAGGGATAGCTAATAACCCAGAAGACAGGAGCAGAATTCAAGATTAGAGGGATGGGCCAAAACTAACAAAATGAAGTTCAACAGGGACAAATGATATTCCACCTACTTCATCACACTAGAGAAAAAACCCACTTAAAATCCAGTTTCTGCCTCCTGCAGAATTCTGGGGTTTGTAGTTTCGAGAGGAGCCTTTAACAGCCTCACTAAACTACAAACCCCAGAATTCTGCAGGAGGCAGAAACCAGATTTTAAGAAAAAATTAAATGCAAAGATACAGAATGGGGGACAACAGGCTCTATGGCAGTATGTGCAAAAAGGATCTTGGAGTCCTCGTGGACAACATGTTAAACATGAGTCAACAATGTGATGCGGCGGCAAAAAAAGCCAATGGGATTTTGGCCTGCATCAATAGGAGTCTAGTGTCTAGATCCAGGAATGTCATGCTACCCCTCTATTCTGCCTTGGTCAGACCACACCTGGAATCATTCTTTGTCCAATTCTGAGCACCGCAATTGAAGTGGTCCCTTTGAAATCTTTGATACTGCATCTATCATATACATATATGTATGTGCGTGACTGGCTAGATGGCCCTTTATCAGGAGGGCTTTGATTATGTTTTCTTGCCCTGGTGAAGGGAGTTGGACTGGATGGCCTTAAGGCAGCATTTCTGAACCTGGAAAGTCAAGACCTGAGGGGGGGGGGGTGTCACCAGGGGGGTGTCAGAAGGGTCACCCAAGACCACCAGAAAACACAGACAGAAAGAAAATAAAGGAAAAATTGAGGAAAATGCCTTAAAACCCTTTGTTTATCACAAGAATTAAAGTCCTCATTAATTTCTAGACATTGCTCTGTTGACAGTTGACTGATGGGGTAGCAGCCACTGCAATGTTTTTCTTCAAATTGGAGTCTTCTCTTCTTTTCTGGGGGCTTGTCCATTAGTGATTCCTCCTCCAACTTGCAGGAATAGCATCAGCCTTCTGTGGTTTCATTTTTCCACAGTGAGGGATTTTCACTCCCATCTGGACACAAGTGGCAGTGAATTCTTGTCCCGTTGTCACCACCAAGCCCTGTCTCTGTTCCGTCCCACAATCTTCAAGGGAAAGGTCCATCTGTACCTAGGTCCTGCTTCACTAAGTGCTCTTGTCATTGACTTCCATCAATTTTCTTCTTCAACGGGTCAGGCAGCAAGATGTTGTAGATCTCAACCACTTTTTCCTTTGTGAGTCAAGTTTTGATTTTTAGCCAGAGTTTGGTAGATTTGTATTTTCTTTGACTATCTTGCATATCTGACAATTCAATCGTTTACAGGGCTCTTGGTAGATGAGGAGGTAAATGGCTTTGCAACTCTGCCATTTGTCCCAATGTTGTTCTGTGATAGTGAGATATCCGGTCTTAGTTCGCTGCATGAGACTACAAGGGCTTCTCAGGGGTTGTTGTGGGTTTTCCTCCTCCACCCCAAAGTTGTGATCATCAGCTTGTATTTTAGTTGTTGGAACATTTCGTGAATATTATTGAGTTTTTCCTCATGTCTTGGACTTACTTCCAAAGCTCCTCCCACTGTGTTTTGATGTGTGAGATGGTGGCAGTCCTGCCACGTTCCTTAAAGGGTGAAGTAAAGCTGGCATCCATCCCACTTGAATGTTGTTTCACAGACATTGCCATTCAAGTAGGAAAGGAGGATCAAGAGATACAGCCTCACAGCCCTCTGCCATCACCCTGCATTTGCTCCTCCTTCCTCAGTGTCCCTGCTCTGTAATGGCAGCATTACTTGACCAACTATCAACCACCAACTGTCTTCTCTTCCCAACAATGGGCTGATCCTGCCCCTGTAACCATTGGAGTGAAATTTCAACCTATTATTTTTGTCCGGTCGGCATAAAAGAAAATGTTTCCTAATTCTCAAATAGAGGACATCTTTGGTAATAAAACACACCTACTAATCCTATGTACACACAAGTTTTCAAAAATGATATTTTTCAGTGAAAACAGAACTAAAAGTTTATTTTTAATTCCAAACTCTAAACCGCTTATCACACAGAGGTTCCTGATACCTGTGCAATCTGGCATACTTAATCTCCTCTGTAGAATCTATTCAACCTTCCAGTTTCATCAAATCTATGAAGAAGCAAAAATTGTATAGCACTTAGATTTCCTAACAGGAAAACTAGAAAGTGAGTTAATGCTGTTTTTGTTCTCCTTCACCACCATTCTCCCCTCCTTTCACAAATCCAGTCTGCAATATAGTTCCTGTTTGTTATGTAGAGGGAACAATTTTTGAAATAGCTATGAGATGCAAAACCAAATTTGTGGGGAAAGTTTATCTTCCGAAATATCAGGCCTCTATTTGATTTTCATCTGTGCACATTCGATGTAATTTTTCAAAGCATCTCTAGAGACTGATAGAGAACAAATGAATGTTCCGAGTTCCTTTCATAGTTGGTGGTTGATCTATTCAGCTCCAGACACTTTGTCACATTCAGGAGGAGTTATATAACTCTAACCATTCAGTCATAAATATTCAGAGATGCAAGCTTCAGTAGAAGATAGACAAACATTAAACCAGGAGTCCTCAAACTAAGGCCCGGGGGCTGGATACAGCCCTTCAAGGTCATTTACACAGCCCTCGCTCAGGGTCAACCTAAGTATGAAATGACTTGAAAGCACACAACAACAATCCTATCTCATCGGCCAAAAGCAGGCCCACACTTCCCATTGAAATACTAATAAGTTTATATTTGTTAAAAATTGTTCTTCATTTTAATTATTGTATTGTTTTAAAGTGGGTTTTTTTTCCTCAGGAGAAATAAGATATGTGCAGTGTGCATAGGAATTCATTCATGTTTTTTTTCAAATTATAATCTGGACCTCTAACATTTTGAGGGACTGTGACCTGGCCCTCTGTTTAAAAAGTTTGAGGACCCCTGCATTAAACAATTGCTCTTGACCAGTGGTTCCCAACCTTTTTTGTTTTGTTTTGTTTTTAGAGCAGGGACCACTTGAAGAGGGACCACTTTGACCAGGGACAAGTCTCCAACATTATTACCAAAAGGGTTACAAATCAGTTTTTGGCCAACTTTAGATTCAGTTTGTTTATTTGGGATGCTGATTTAGAAAATTGCATTGGATAGACCACATCAACTCTAGTTTCTGATACAATGCACGAGCTATCCAGTAGTAGCCATCTGCTTGCCCACAGAAAACCATATTTAAAAATCTAGAGCTGATGTGGTAGTAGTAATCTTTTATGGGTCGTCAGCCTCTTCCCTCCAGACATACCCATTGCCTCGATACTATAAGAAGGTTTTGCGAGACCAGTCGCTCTCATTCCTGCGTGGTTTTGAGGCAACAGTGTAGTAATTGTGAGGTGGTGGATCATATTTTCGTTCTTGCAGACCAGAGGTGGTCCATGAACCACAGGTTGGGAAACACTGTTCTAGACTGACTTCTGATTTAGTTTCTGGTTCCTAAAAAAACAGGATCCCTGTTCTTCCTTCATTACTCAGATCTACCCAATATCCCCAAATTGTGAGTACAGTGGCATTTTCTGTCTTACCACTTAAGGAGAGACAAGACTGTACTTCATATGTACCAGCTGCAGAACAGGTTTTTGTCCTGTCTCCATAAACTGGCATTTTCATATTAATAGAATATTTTTGTTCTAGGATCTTCTTTTAAAAAATAAGTTAGGAAAATTTTGAAATTAGTCTTAAATAATTTTTAAAATCCAATTTTAAATGTAAACATCCAACTCCCTTTTAAAACATCATTGGCTTTTTAATCAACTCTGATTCATATAAGATCAGGTTTATCCCATATTTGTCTTCTCTGAAAACATGCATGCACACATATTTCAGAGATTATACAATCTATATGACTTGCTTGAAAACTTAATTTTACTGCCATTTTTTCCAGAATCTTTGATAATATAATGTCTATAGTCCCACTGCACCTGAGATTTGTTTATGGTAAACCTTGTCAGATGACAGAAACCAAGGTCCATTAGATCCATGGTTCTCCATGGTTCACCGAGGAGTTGGCTGTGATGAAGCATACGAGAAGGGGGCTAGAGCGCAAGTGGAGGAAATCTCGGGGCGTGTCTGATCGAGCACGGGCTAGGGCCTCTCTTAAGGCATACTCCGTGGCTATACGGGTGGCCAGGGAATCTTTCACGACCACCCGTATAGCGTCTGCAGCAAATAGGTCATCGGAGCTGTTTCGGGTTGTTGGGGAGCTCCTTCACCCACCTGTGGTGGAGGAGATCTCTGACGACCCAGCAGCTCGGTGTTGCGATTTCGCACACCATTTTGCAGGCAAAGTTGCCCAGATACGTCTTGAGCTCGACTCCAATTTCATCGCAGTGCCAGAGGAGGTGACTGAGGCATCTGCTTGTCCAATTTTGTGGGATTCTTTTCGGCTTGTTCTACCTGAGACCGTGGAGGAGGTCCTTGGGGCTGTGAGGGCGACCACTTCGGCCCTAGACCCTTGCCCATCCTGGCTCATTAAATCTGCCAAGGAGGGGTTGGTTGATTGGTTTGTGTTGATTATTAACGCATCGTTGGAGCAAGGGATTTTTCCATCTAACCTGAAACAGGCTGTGGTTCGCCCACTCCTTAAAAAGCCTTCCCTTGACTCTACGGTGCTGAACAACTACAGGCCGATCTCCAACCTCCCTTTTTTGGGTAAGGTGCTGGAGCGGGTGGTCGCCCTCCAGCTCCAGGGCTTCCTTGATGACATCAATTACCTAGATCAGGCACAGTCAGGTTTCAGGCCTGGTCACGGCACCGAGACAGCCTTGGTCGCCTTGGTGGATGACCTCCGTAGAGGACTGGACAGGGGGAGTGTGACCCTGCTGGTTCTCTTGGACATCTCAGCGGCTTTCGATACCATCGATCATGGTATCCTTCTGGGTCGACTCTCTGGGATGGGTCTCGGGGGCACGGTTTTGTCGTGGCTCCGGTCCTTCCTGGAGGGACGATCCCAGATGGTGAAGCTGGGAGATGCCTGCTCGGACCCCTGGCCTTTGACCTGTGGGGTCCCGCAAGGCTCTATTCTGTCTCCCATGCTTTTTAACATCTACATGAAACCGCTGGGAGAGGTCATCCGGAGTTTTGGAGTTAGGTGCCACCTCTACGCAGATGACACACAACTCTACTACTCCTTTCCACCTAATTCCAAGGAGGCCTCTCGGGTGCTGGACGAGTGCCTGGCCGCTGTGTCTATCTGGATGAGGACGAACAAGCTGAAGATCAATCCCGACAAGACAGAGGTCCTCCTGGTCGATCGTAAACCAGATCGGGGTATAGGATGGCAACCTGTGTTGGACGGGGTTACACTCCCCCTGAAGCCACAGGTCTGTAGCTTGGGAGTCCTCCTGGATTCATCGCTCACGCTTGAGGCTCAGGCTTTGGCGGTGACCGGGAGGGCCTTTGCACAATTGAGACTTGTGCGCCAGCTACGTCCGTACCTCGCTAAGGCTGATCTGGCCGGGGTGGTCCATGCCCTAGTCACCTCTAGACTGGATTACTGCAATGCGCTCTACGTGGGGCTGCCCTTGAAAACGGCTCGGAAATTCCAATTGGTCCAACGGGCGGCAGCCAGGATGTTAACTGGGGCCCATTACAGAGAGAGGTCAACCCTCCTGTTTAAGGAGCTGGCTGCCGTTTATTTTCCGAGCCCAATTTAAGGTGCAGGTGCTTACCTACAAAGCCCTGAACGGTTTGGGACCACCCTACCTGCGTGACCGCATCGCTGTCTACGAACCCACACGCTCACTCCGGTCATCTGGAGAGGCCCTGCTCGTGATCCCGCCTGCGTCACAAGCACGTTTGGTGGGGACGCGAGACAGGGCCTTCTCCGTGGTGGCCCCCCGCCTCTGGAACACCCTCCCGAAAGATCTCAGACAAGCCCCTACACTGGCAGTTTTCAGAAAGAATTTGAAAACCTGGCTGTTCCAATGTGCCTTTTCAGATTAGGAATCTCCCAGGACCAAATCCCAGAAGCACTTTAGTTACCAAGGTCACCGCACACTGCACACCGCACTTTTATTATAATCCCACACCCCTCCGACACATCAGCACTTTTAACCCTGTACCCTACTTCGGCCGACTCAGTTTTTAATAATGTCTTGTCGTGTTCTATTGTCATTGTTTTTGCTTGACTGTTTTATTTGCTATGTATTGTATTGTTGTATTGTTTTTGGGCTTCGGCCTGCTGTAAGCCGCATCGAATCCTTCGGGAGATGCTAGCGGGGTACAAATAAAGTTATAATAATAATAATAATAATAATAATAATAATAATAAAATAATAGATCAAGGTGTTCTCCAAAATTAAAGCTGCATTGTTATAAAGGCTCAACTGTTTATAGTCCGAGTCCTACACATAGCGAGAGATGAAAAACTGTATTAGTCAGGTTGAGTTCTCTTTGGACATCCTTTACAACACAGCTGAAACGTCTTGCTCTCCAGTGGAATGGGAATATGTAGAACTCGCACGTTCCAGAGGCTCTGTATACAAAAAACGGCAGTGTTTTGACAGAGGAAAAGCAATGTGCTTCTGGAAAAATATACATGTATATTTTCGGAACTTCTCGCCAGCAAAAGCGTAGATCACAGGGTTAATGCAACAATGGGCCATTGCTAATATTTCGGTCACTTGTAACGCAATCCCCAAATTACTATAGTCATAACAGTTGTCAAGACGAAATGATGTTTGGAATGTCTGGAGCAGGAGAACAATGTTGTACGGGGCCCAGAAAAGAAAATAAATAATCATGATGATAAAAATCAGCCTGACTGCTTTGTTCTTTTTATCGTTTCTGCGTCTCATCAGGGTTACTATGATCTGAGCGTAGCAGAAGATCATCACCATCATAGGGAAGACCAGGCCAATCAAGTTTATTTTCAGTGTCAGAAACTGATTCCAGTTGGCATGTGTTTCATGTGGAAAATTGAGAGTGCATCTGTAGCGGTTATCTTCTCGTTGTAATTTGTTAAAGATGAACCCTGGTATTGAGGCTAATATTGCCACACACCATGTGACAACACTTGTGACAATGCCATAGACCACCGTCCTGACTTTTAATGCAAAAACTGCATGGACTATTGCTAAGTACCGATCGATGGTCAACAGAATGATGAAAAAGCTCCCACTATAGAAGCCTATAAGATATATCCCAGAAAGGATTTTGCACATCGCATCTTCAAATATCCATTCATTGGCTGCAGAATAAGCCCAAAATGGGAGCGAGACCACGAAAAGCAAGTCAGAGATGGCCAGATTCAGCAAGTAGATGTCAGTCATGCTCTTGAGTTTCTTGTATCTGATGAGGATTAGCACAACTAGTGCATTACCCAGCATGCCAAATATGAGTACCAAAGTGTAAAGTGTTGGCAGAAAATGGGAAGCAAATTTCTGGCCTTTGGTATCTGTGCACGGTGATGAGTCATAGTCAAATTCGGTGGTGGGAATGTCATCGACTGTTGTGTGTGTGGCAGTGTCCATCTTGTTTCCTATAACTGAAAAATTATCAAGGTTATTTATTTCCCCTGGTTTTTTAAAGGTTTTTAAACACCCACCACCCCACTTATGTACAAAAACCCACTAATAAAAATATTTTTAAAAGATTACTTCTATGAAAAGAGGTAATTCTGTAACACATAATGACATTCTGATAGCAAAACATTTTGACTGAGATAAAATACTGAGATGGGTAAAATTTTTCTCAGCTAGATGTTTGAATTATTGGATAAACATTATATTAATGGCTCTATTAAAGATCCATAAACCTGAAACTTTGCTAATTGTCTGTCAAGATATTTTTAAATGCTGTCACAAATGTGCCGAAAAGTGTTTTGAAAAAGATAACCATTTTTTTATTTTATTTTTTTTTACCCAGCAAAATAATCTTTAGCATGCTTTGTGAAATTACACAATCAAGTTAAGTTTGGTATGTGACTATAAGGGGAGACTCTTATTTATGGATGATGCCTTTATTGAGGAGTCAAGCTAGTATTAGGTAAAGACATTCTATTTTCCTAGGGCTCTTTCAAATACTTCTAAGTTGTTTTCAAAGGCTTTTAAAAGATCTGTCAGATTTTTTTTTGCTCTAACATTGCATGTTTTAGTTTATATAATTATGATTTAATACTTAAGATTTGAATGTAAACCTTTTAGAGGTTTCTTTCCCTAATAAAAAAAAAACCCGATTACATTCATAGGGTCACCAAAAGTCATCGTGTTGGTCCTCTACATCAGTTAGCTTGATATTAGACTTGTGCATTTATATAGAATTGCTATCCATTTCTGTTTGTTTCATTAGTAAGGCCCCAGTTTTTGTGTTCAAGCGCCTTCCGAAAACAGCACCTCTCTGAATGGAAGTTTTTGTTCCTCATCCGAAAATACAAAAATGTTCAGTCTATTGGCAGCAATGGGCTGGCTTTCCCAGGCTCCAGTCTCCCTCAGTTTTAGGGCTAGAGGGATTACAATCACCACACATGGAGGGCACATTTACCACTCTTAGCCCACCAAGTTTTATAACAAATGGGTCATCCCCCAATTTTTAGAGATTTTTTTCAATAAATAAAATCTCCTTAAAAGCATTCCCTCTTTCTCCTTGCTGGCCCCGCCCTCTAACTTCTCCAGGAGCAGCAGCAGGAGAGAGGCAGGGCAGGGTACCCTTCTTTCACGCCAAATATCAAAGATACTTCACACACCACACACAACCCAGTGTCCAGCCCTATTATTTCACTTCTTTTTTAACTGGCGGCAATGGCAGAGAATTCCCCTCCCCTTCCAATCATTTTTGGCAATGGCATGGTTTGTCTTGGAGCTGCTGCCCTGGGTTCTTGCTTGCTGCTGCTGCTGCTGCCTAGTTGGGCGCTTTCCCCTCGGTTTCTCATGCAAGGAAGATGGCTCCAGCCTCACTTCTCTTCTTCTTTCACACTTCTTACCGTGTCTTGCTGCTACTGCCTGGCTGGGTGCTTTCCCCTCTGTCTCTTACACAAGGAAGACACCTCCAGCCCCACTCTTCTTCCTCCTTCGCACCTCTTACTCTAGAGGCTCCTTCCTTGCATGAGAGATGGAGGAGGAGAAGGAGAAGAAAGTGCCCAGCCAGGCAGCAGCAGCAAGGACCCAAGGCAGCAGCTCCACGAACCAAGGAAGAGGCAGGAGAAGAGGGCTTGGGTCACCACACACTCTCCAAGGCACTTTAAAGAGACTTCCCATTTCCAGATAAGGAAGAAGCTAGGCACATGAGAGTTTCTGCAAACTATAGTTCAAAAAGGAAAAAAATCAAGTTCTGATACAAACTTTGATAACTTTCACAGAAAGTCAGATGTACAGTGAACTACGTAAACAATCATGAATAGTTTATTCTTGTAAAAACAAAACATAATGTCAGCAAATTGGCAGACTCAGAAAGTATTATATATTTCCACACATTGGACATTCATGGCACAGCCATCGTTGTATAAAATCCAGGGTGGGAACTTTTGCAGGGCTGTTACTCTAGCACTCTTATAAAGTATAAAGTATGCCTATGAGAAAAGTGAAAGGAATAAGTTTCAGGTTCCCGGATGTATTATAGAGGTGCAGTTGACCACCAGCCCTATGTTGAGGCTCTTCTAAATAAACCATATCTTATCATTTTAATTGAGGAGCACAATTGAAATCTCCTGGTTATCCTCATAAAATGGCACAATTGTTATAAACTGAGGTGGAAGCCCCCAGTGGTGCAGTGGGTTAAACCCCTGTGACGGCAGGACTGAAGACCGACAGATCGGAGGTTGGAATCCGGGGAGAGCGCGGATGAGCTCCCCCTATCAGCTCCAACTCCCCATGCATCCCACAAGGATGGTAAAACATCAAAACATCCGGGCGTCCCCTGTGCAATGTCCTTGCAGACGGCCAATTCTCTCACACCAGAAGCAACTTGCAGTTTCTCAAATCGCTCCTGACATGATAAAAATAAGAAAAATGAAGTGGATGAGGGAAATCTGATACCAGTAAAAAAAATTGCATGTCATTCCTAAATGATAATGCCAAATATAGCTGTCATTTTGTCACTGTATACAAGATTTTCGGCCTTCTCAGTAGGTCTGAAGATAGAAAATTTTAGAATGCCCCATTTAACGAATGCTAAAGCCAGTACGAGAATAGGAGTAATTTCCATTACTGCCCAGAGTGTTAAATTCGCCTTGACTCCCTCCTTCTCTTTTCATGTCTCTAACTGCAATCTTTCTTCCCTGCTTGTTTCTCATGCATTTCATGTTTGCCTGAGATTTGTTTTTGCTCTGGATGTGGCTGGGCCAAGGCCAAGCAAAGCAAAATAGAGCAGTTCCACAAACCAAACGTAAATGTACTTTCCTATTTCTCCTATTGAACCTCCTAGTGCACCATGTCAGCAATTCAATCCTTACATATGGGGACATTTTGTTTTTATTCTATAGATTAAAGAGGGAATAAACATTGTAGATATATACAGTGTGATACATACTTGCACAGTTTCATATTGTTATCAGTACTTCAGTTGCAAATGCACATATTTCAGCAGTGGCCAGAAACACGCCACTGCCTACAAAATATATAACATATTATTACCAATGTTTTTTTTTATCATGTCAGAAACAGCTTGGGAATAACTGCAAGTCACTTCTGGTGTGGGAGAATTGGCCATCTGCAAGGACGTTGCCCAGGGGATGCCCTGATGTGTTACCATCCTGTGGGAGGCTTCTCTCATGTCCCTGCATGGGAAGCTGGAGCTGACAGATGGGAGCTCACCCTGTTTTGCAGATTCAAACCACTGACCTTCAGGTCTTCAGATCAGCAGTTCAGCCGGCACCAGGGTTTAACCCATTGCACCACTGTGGCTCCTTTACCAATGGTGAAACAGGTTTAAATCAGTGATTAAAACAAAACCTATCTTTGTTGACTTCAATAACTGATTTTAGTGATCATTGATTTTTACTGATCTACTCTGTCTAAAACATTACAATTCAGTGCATGAACCTGCATATAATACTCTGCTAAATGGGAAAGTCCAGGTATTCGATGTGCTTAGAGAAGAGGAAGAAACAGCAGCAGCATACAAGGACATTCGGTATGTTATGTAACCTATACTAAATCTAGAAATCTTAGACTCCTTCTATGTAGCTGTATAAAATCCAGGTTATCTGCTTTTGAACTGAGTGTAGACTCAGATAACCCAGTTCAAAGCAGATAATCTGGCTATTCTAGATTATATGGCAGTGTAGAAGGGCCCCGAGTCAAAAAGTCCTGTGGCGCCATATGTCTTGCCATAAAACACACATGCAAATAAGTTTCAAAGACTATAGCATATAATGTATACGTCTAGCTTGAATGAAGGATTTGCTTTCCTTGTTTTTAACAGAACCCCTGAGAATATAATATCTGCAGTTCAACTGCATGTGAGAGTTGATTTTGTACAGTTTGTGAAATTAAAGTCTCTTATTTTCAAGTCTTGTCTTTGACCCTAAAGTTGTCATAAGGTATTTGTTTATGTTCTGTCCAAAGCCCCGTGTGCAAAGAGATCTAAAAACCTGCAGTCTCCAGTTTAAGAATGGTATCTTCCCTTTGGACATCCTTTACAACACAGCTGAAAGGTCTTGCTCTCCAGTGGAATGGGAATATGTAGAACTCGCACGTTCCACAGGCTCTGTATACCAAAAACGGCAATGTTTCGACAAATGAAGAGCAACGTGCTTTCGGAAAAAAGTGCATGTATATTTCCGGAACTTCTCACCAGCAAAAGCGTAGATCACAGGGTTAATGCAACAATGCGCCATTGCTAAAGTTTCGGTCACTTGTAACGCAATCCCCAAATTACTATAGTCATAACAGTTGTCAAGACGAAATGATGTTTGGAACGTCTGGAGCAGGAGAACTATGTTGTACGGGGCCCAGAAGAGAAAGTAAATAATCATGATGATAAAAATCAGCCTGACTGCTTTGTTCTTTTTATCATTTCTGCATCTCCTCAGGGTTATTATGATCCGAGTGTAGCAGAAGGTCATCACCATCATGGGGAAGATCAGGCCAATCAAGTTTATTTTCAGTGTCAGAAACTGATTCCAGTTGACATGTGTTTCAGGTGGAAAACTGAGAGTGCATTTGCAGCGATCATTTTCTTGTTGTAATTTGTTAAAAATCAACTGTGGTATTGAGGCTAATATTGCCACACACCATGTGACAACACTTGTGACAATGCCATAGACCACCGTCCTGGCTTTTAATGCAAAAACTGCATGGACTATTGCTAAGTACCGATCGATGGTCAACAGAATGATGAAAAAGCTCCCACTGTAGAAGCCTATAAGATATATCCCAGAAAGGATTTTGCACATTGCATCTTCAAATATCCATTCATTGGCTGCAGAATAAGCCCAAAATGGGAGCGAGACCACAAAAAGCAAGTCAGAGATGGCCAGATTCAGCAAGTAGATGTCGGTCATGCTCTTGAGTTTCTTATATCTGACGAGGATCAGCACAACTAGTGCATTGCCCAGCATGCCAAATATGAGCACCAAAGAGTAAAGTGTTGGTAGAACATGGGAAGCAAATTCTTGGACAGCAACACTGTAGCATGGTGTAGGGATGTCACCGTAATAAAATTCTGTTGTAACTACAGCCTCATCTGTTGTCACTGTAGATGTCTCCATCTTGCTCCCTGTGACTGAAGAAGATAATGCTTATTTACTTTTGTGAATGGTAGTCATAGAATCATAGAGTTGGAAGAGACCTCATGGGCCATCCAGTTCAACCCCCTGCCAAGAAGCAGGAAAATCACATTCAAACCACCCCTGACAGATGGCCATCCAGCCTCTTTTTAAAAGCCTCCAAACAAGGAGCCTAGTAGTAGTAAAAAGACCACATTTGCCTATGTGAGAGGAAGAGTGGTATAGTGAACTGAGTCTTCAACTAGTACTCTGACAAACAGGGTATAAATCTCTTCTTGGCCATATAAACCCACTGACTGGTTGAGACTCTATGGCCCCTTCTACACACCCATCTAACCCAGAATATCAAGGCAGATTATCCACCATATCTGCTTTGAACTGGATTATATGAGTCTACACTGCCATATAATCCAATTCAATGTGGATTTTATACAGCTATGTGGAAGAGGCCTCAGAGGAAGGAAAAAAACTCTCTTTGAACATAGTTTGGCCAAGAAAACTTCATAATACCTTAGAGTCGCCATAAGTTGGATACTACTTGAAGTTACGCAACAAGTAGAAATGCTGTCTACCAGAAGTTGGAAAAGTTCCTTTTTAACATTAACTTCCTAATTCGCAGCTAACCAGACACAGATCATGCTGTCTGGACATTCAGGGAATGGCAATATGGACAAACTCTGATCTGTCTGCAGGCATGGGAACAACAAAATCCTGTATATGGCAGAAGGCCCTGGTCATTTAATTCTAAATGAATAAAATGGAGATATGAAAAAATACAGTAGCTCTCATCTATAAAGATATTATTGGATTTGGAGTGATCTCTCCCAAGATCCCTATGTTTCTAGAACTATAATATCCACATATAATTATGAAATATTATATATATATATATATATATATATATATATATATATATCCATCATCATTTTTGCGCCATGGCCCCTCTTAAATCACCATAAGAAGCACTTGTTGGGTTCCTGATCCAGTTTTCAGTAGTGGTAGTCTCCACTGCAGAACCAAGCTGTAGCTATTTCAGTCTTCTGTGAAGCTATGTTTACCATCAAAAGCGTTTTAAAATGTTTTAGAAGTTAATTTAATGTGATTTCAAAGACCAGTAATATTTGTTTAATTTTCAGATGTTGGCATTGCTATTTTTGTTTCATCTCTTAAATTCTAATCCCACATCATTGAGGATTTTATTCCTTTTCCAAGGCCCTGTCTACACTGCCATATAAAATCCAGATTATCTGCTTTGAAATGGATTATATGGCAATGTAGACCGATATAATCCAGCTCAAAGCAGATAACGTGGATTAATCCTAAACTGCATTTCCAAATTGTCAACTGACTTTTAGGTTACTACAGTGCTAGAGATGTGAAAAGAGAAAGGCTCGTCATGTACACGGTATTTAGAGAGGACGGTGAATTTTTACAATTGTGGCATAATCACAAAGTGAAAATTTGTATTGATAGAAGATCACTCGTATTTTCATACTCTCTCCAGAAATGTGTTTGCTTTTTAAAAAGTTAATACCAGGGACTGTTTGGTTATTTGAGATAAGTTTTCTGCAATGTTTCAAGTTTCGCTATACATTCTAGGAACATATTCTCTGTTGCCACATGGAGGAGCTGAAGATACATTTTTGAAATGTGGTTGGCACCACAAATTAAGAGTTCAAACTGAGCCGATCCCATTAGGGATTTTATCAGACACAGTCTTGTCTACTCTTCTCCTTGTTTCTGCACGTTGTCGAAACAGAGTTCCACTGATACAGAGCAACTTCCAGCAGGGCTCCATAGTACTCCATTCCAGCAACGTCCAGAAACAGAGCCCATAATGACTTTGGAGAAAGTGGAGAAAGTGGAAAAAGCGAAGAGGAAGTGAGAAAGGTCAGGGAAAGGATGGGAAACTATGTAAGATGAGAGGCCATCCCAGAAGACATGGAAAGATGATAGGGAACAGAGGAGAATTCCCTCCATTTTCCTCCTCTTTCCCCCTGCCCATCTGATCAAGTCGTAAGCGTGTCCTCCTCCTTCTGTTGCCAGAGACTCAACACCATACATCATATTGATATTAAGGAAATCTGTAAGGAATCTTTACTATCTGTAGTTATTTAATTCATGAGGAGATATCAAATTTTGCAAACAAACTCACTATCTTGACATCTCACCAGTTTAAATGTCTTATGGCCATAATAATCTATTTGCACAGGCACTAAGGCTGCAGGAACAAAACAAAAATGGAGATGGTTTCTCTCCTCTAATGGCAATGTAGAAGAGGTACGTCAGCCAGCGTTATTACCCGGTTGTGTAACAAGCAACACCTGAAGAAATTCCTTCTTATACACAGCCATGATGGATACAAGAACTCTCACCCTGAAAGGTGCTGATTGATTGATTGATTGATTGATTGATTGATTGATTGATAGATATCTGGGTGTGTCTACACTATAGAATTTGTTTTGAGTTAACAAAACAAATTCTGCCATAGCCATAGCGCAATGATATGGAATTTATTTATTTACTTTACTTTACTTGTATACTGCTTTTCTTGTATACTACAGGGGACTCAAAGTGGTTTCCAACATAATTATGGCAACATTTAATGCCTCATATACAGAAACCTGACATAACAATAATAACATACAATTATCAATTAAATCATAAAACACAAATCATAAAACACAAATCCTGGGATTTGTAGTTAGGTGAGGCACTAGCATTCTTTGGCAGAGAAGGCTAAGGAGTTGTAAAACTGCAACTTCCATGAGTCCTTATTCCCAGAATAAGGAAACTCCTAGCGACTAAAATGATCAAGGGTCTGGAGAACAAGCCCTATGAGGAGCGGCTTAAGGAGCTGGGCATGTTTAGCCTGAAGAAGAGAAGGCCGAGAGGAGATATGATAGCCATGTATAAATATGTGAGAGGAAGCCACAGGGAGGAGGGAGCAAGCTTGTTTTCTGCTTCCCTGGAGACTAGGGCACGGAACAATGGCTTCAAACTACAAGAGAGGAGATTCCATCTGAACACGAGGAAGAACTTCCTGACTGTGAGAGCCGTTCAGCAGTGGAACTCTCTGCCCCGGAGTGTGGTGGAGGCTCCTTCTTTGGAAGCTTTTAAACAGAGGCTGGATGGCCATCTGTCAGGGGTGATTTGAATGCAATATTCCTGCTTCTTGGCAGGGGGTGGACTGGATGGCCCATGAGGTCTCTTCCAACTCTTTGACTCCTAGCATTATGTCCCAATGCACTTTATCAGAGATCTAGGATATCTGCATGCCCATCCCCCTCCAAACACTCCACCTGGTCATGCCCAGCACTTTTAATTTTAATTATTACATTTGGCCCTGCCATTGATTTTAATTGCGTCATTGTGTGTTGTTAATGTCATTGCTTTGTTTTTTGAGTTATTTTGCTGCTGTTGTTGTTATTGTTTTTACTATTGTATTTGGGCTCGGCCTCTTGTAAGCTGCACCGAGTCCTCCGGGAGATGCGAGCGGGGTATAAATAAAGGATTATTATTATTATTATTATTATTATTATTATTATTATTATTATTATTAAGCCATTGCAGTTAATGTAATCAAAGACCAGTTTAGGGGATGCCAACAAGCTGCATGGCACACAGAACCCCATCCCTAATGGTGGGAAATGGTCAGAAGGTTTGGGAAAAATAACTGCAAGGCTTTGACTGCTCTCAGCATCTGCCCACAAAAGGCAATTGCTTTGTTTTGCCTCAGCACAAATTTTGGAATGGTAGCTATGAGGACAACGGCATATTTCCAGTTTTTAGCTTTTAATATTGTTATTATGCACTGTCTTATGTCTAATTGCACTACAATGGTTCTTTTGCTTATCAATGTATGTATTTTTATGGCATCAAATTGTGCTGATTGTGTACGCCACTCTGAGTTGCCTCTGGGCTGATATGAGCAGGGTAGAAATAATGCAAATAAATAAAATAAATAAATTTCTTTTTTTTAAAAAAAAAAAAGCATTTATCTTATAATATTAGGCACAGTTTTTAGAATAGCTATTTAATTTTCTCAGTGCAGGAAACTTGCTACAACTTGTTAGTGATGGCCAGGATGGCCAGGAAGATATATAGCCAGAGTTGGTCTAGGGTTGGTTAAATCTTGTCTGTTCTGTTTTTCAGCTTAACACCTCTCTTCCATGCTGTTTTTTAAATTTTTCCATATATTTTTATTTTCAGGGAGAAAATATAGCAGGGTGGAGGACTTTGAGTCAGAGTCCATTGTAAAGTGAATCCATCTTGCTGTTCTTTTAGGACCTCATCACACTTACCAATGTAAGCATCCTAGGACACTTGCCAGCCAGTTGAGGGGCGGATGGGAATGTAATCCATTGCCCTTAACTTCCAGTGGAAGCCCCATCCCCAAACAACATGGAAATATCCTAGGACGCTTCCTTGTCAACACAGGAAGGCGCCAATGGAGTCAGCACACTTCTGCCCTGATTGGGTGACACTTCCCCCATGTGATAGGGGAAGCATAGCCACACTGGAATGATGTGCAGGGTGCCAGATTCGCCTTGCGTGCTTGCCGCTTTGCCATGCTTACCGGCAAAACAACACAAGTGGGGGATGTGTAATAAGGTCCTTAGTCAAGCTATTAATAAACATCAAGGAAAAGACAGCTGTAACACTATGCTATGCCTAATTTGGACCTCAGTTTCAAAAAGGGTCTCTTGTGTTTCACAAGAGGCCGCCAGCTGAGAAAATCCAGTCTAAAACACATGTGGACTCACCAAAGTGGTGCACAGTTTTCTGCCTGACCCTCTTCTTTGAGAATCTGAGTTTCTTCCAAGTTCACAGTCTCTGCTTTCTGGTGGCTTTCTATAGCACAGAAGTAATCATTTTTGCCCTTCAGAAAATTTAGTTTTCAGAAGCCCAAACCTGTACTACTAGGTAAAAGTTTGATAGAAGTTAGACTTCCAAACAATCTGGATGGCCCTCACCCTGCCTGATGATTTTACACAAAACAGAAGGATGACTACTTTGGCTACTAATATTATTTCTGAACTGGTCCCCCAAACCCTTGGAAAGCTACTTGGCTGGTAGGGGTTGGACATTCATAATGTCTGCAGAGGGTTCTTTGAGTGGGAATGGAGAAAACTCAACATGAGCATTAAAATGCATTATGAGGGGAAGAAGACATGCACACAAGGGTTCAGAATGAGTTGACACAATCAGAAAGACAGATGTGTCACAATAATTTACCAATAGTTTCGCAATCAAAAATTTGTGTTGAATTCCTAGTAAGATAACATTCAGTTAAGAAATATATTTACAGGAAGGACATATTTCTATGGAAGGTTGTAACTGAATCCAATTCAAAAGAGAAGCAAGATCGTCTGCATTTTGCATTGGGTTCTGTTAGATATTTCCAGGTTGTTGTTGTTTTTTTCCCTCTTGCAGAAATGCACTGGACAAAATGAGTAGTCGAAACCACATCAAGGTCCCTACAACTTGAATGACTAGCACTTGCTGAAAAGTGATGATTTGCTATGACCATGGCTAGCAGTTTTCAAACATGGATCGAAACAATAAAAAATATCACATCATTTCTCTCTGTTTCTAATCCTGATCTTGGTGCCGAATAATCAGCAACTAAAGCACCAACTACACTGCCATATAATCCAGTATTTGAATGTAGGTTAACTGCTTTGAACTGAATAATATGCTGCCATATAACCCAGTTCAGTGCTCTTAATTTGCATTCAGAAACTGGCAGTGTAAATGGTTGTTGTAGGTTTTTTCGGGCTATATGGCCATGTTCTAAAGGCATTTTCTCCTGACGTTTCGCCTGCATCTATGGCAAGCATCCTCAGAGGTAGTGAGGTCTGTTGGAACTAGGAAAAAGGGTTTATATAACTGTGGAATGACCAGGGTGAGACAAAGGACTCTTGTCTGCTGGAGCTAGGTGTGAGTGTTTCAACTGACCATCTTGATTAGCAGTGCCAGGAAATCAAATGCTAATCAAGGTGGTCAGTTGAAACATTCACACCTAGCTCCAGCAGACAAGAGTCCTTTGTCTCAACCTGGTCATTCCACAGATATATAAACCCCTTTTCCTAGTTCCAACAGACCTCACTACCTCTGAGGATGCTTGCCATAGATGCAGGCGAAACGTCAGGAGAGAATGCCTCTAGACCATGGCCATATAGCCTTAAAAAACCTACAGCAATCCAGTGATTCCGGCCATGAAAGCCTTCGACAATTGATATGATTTCCTTAGCTACGTATTCCTCTCTAACATTAACATATTGTCCACATTAATAAACTACATGATGAACACATTTGTGTCTTTCAGAGCCTACACCCCAAATGTGAAAAAATGGCATTATCTTCAGTGAATATAAAAGGAAAATCTTTCCAACCTCTATAGAGAAAATCCCTCATAATAAGGGCCACTTATCAGTGTTGTGGTTGGAAAAAATATCAGAGACATTTGTGGGCTCTGATCTGACAGAGCCCTGCAACCTGAGCCCTGCCACATGCACAATGGAGGACCTTCTTTGCAGCAACACCAGAAGCACTCCAAGTGGCCAGATACTGGTCAAAGGACATTTAATCAACTACCAAACTCACAAATTTTGTATTTTGTCTGTTTTTTTGCTTTGTTCTGTTAGAAATGTAATATAATCGACTGGTTGCCCTGACACGACAAATAATCTCAATGTTAGCCATTTTTAAAAAAGCTTACAAAGCAAAGGAGAAATTAATGTTTCTAGTCAAAATTACCAAGAGCTTTAAACTTGTGAAAAGAGCAATTCTTAAAATGTTGCAAAGGAGGTCACATCTGTCAGTCACAATTTCCCTCTTTTAAGACTGAGTTTCTGACATTTTTGCAGTATTTATTTTGCAAAGCTGAATACTTTTATACCTTGTTGTCATATTTATGAATAATATCACTGATTTTCCCTTTTAAAGGTATTTTAGTAAAATAAAATAGAGAGGGGAAATAAAAAACATTCTGCCCAATTATTAAGGGATGAAGGATAATTGGACAATCAGAGGATTAAACACTTTAAGAATAGGATATGTTTAAACTGTCAATACCCTGTAGACGAATATGAACTGATAACTATATATTTGCAGTCAAGTTTTATTGTGAAAGTTAACATTCCTAATCCATTTTGATTTCTATTTTTATATTTGCTCCTTATCCATATAAGTAGGAAAAAGCATACACACACACACACACACACACAAGGATACACTCCAACTTAAATTTACTTACCAATTTATGAACGTTTAATAAATGATGTTGAAAGCTTCGTTCTTTGCATCTAGTTTTTGTAGTAAAGATTGGAATAGATGCACTTCAGCAAAAAAGAAAAGAAAAGGAAAAAAGAATGAACAAAGAAAGAAATGTCACACTTCCCTGTGTGAAGAAAGATTTTGAGTTCTGCAATTTGTTCGTTTCTCCTTTAAAAACAATATGTCAGTTCCTTTCTTCTAATAATAGCCTTTTGACTAGGCAGCTTTTCAACAATCTGTTTCCATACTTCTGTAGAATATTTGGACAACTACAAGATTTTTTTACTACTCTGTTGACTTTATTGCACCATCTTGGTTAAAACCCATGCTGAAAACACACCCACCCAACCCCAAAAACAAGGCTTTATCTTTCATCTGCACATTTTACTGCTCCATATCTTCACAAAACCACACATTTTTCGGAACGGATACATGTCCCCTTCAAGGAACCCCTCCCCCCCATTTCTGTAGTGTCATGATTATGATGCGAGAAGTTAATTCATACCTGGTGGTTTACTTTGCCTGTTTGAAACTGACCGTTGCCCTTTTTTCCATTCTTAAACCCGATGAAAATCACTTCTGTTGAATCTTAGACCCAGATGCACTGTATTTGGACAGCAAAAGTGCACAAATGGTTAGCACATCTTTGGGGAGATTATAGGAAGAGATTACATATCATCATCTGGTCTTCTTGTACATTCGTATCACTTTCTTATGAACAAAAGGGCAGTGTGGAGTAGTGCAGTCGTGGCTGATGGTTTCTGTGTCATTGGAGCAATGCATTTATTCTGGGCATTATTGCAAACTATAAAGCTGCTAAGCAAGCTACTGAAACTAGGATCTTGGACATGACCCTATTATATTCAGTCTACATCAGTGGTTCCCAAACATTTTTGACCAGGGACCACTCTCCAACATAAGTACCAAAAGAGTTACGAATCGGTTATTGATCAACTTTAGATTTGGTTTGGTTATTTGGAATGATGATTCAGAAAATTGCATTGAATAGACCACATCCGTTACAGTTTCCGATACAGAACATATTCCACCCAGTAGTCGCCATCTGCTTGCCCACAGAAAAGCATATTTAAAAATCTAGAGCTGATGTGATAGTAGTAATCTTTTGTGGGTAGTCAGTCTCTCCTCTCCTGACATCCCTGTTGCCTCGGAACTATAAGAGGGTTTTGCGAGACCAGTCAGCCTCAGTGCCGTGAGGTTTCGAGGCAACCGTGTAGTAATGGTGAGGCTGCGGATGAAATTTTCATTCTTGGGAACCACTGGTGGTCCACGGACAGGGGCAGCTCAACCCATTATGCAAAGTAAGCATTTGCAGTATAGCTGATTTTGCCCAGGGGCGCTTGAGGCGCTCTTGGGGGAAAATAGACCTTGACATATGCGAGTTGTAGTTACTGGGATGTATAGTTCACCTAAATCAAAGAGCATTCTGAACTCCACCAATGATGGAATTGAACCAAATATGGCACACAGAACTCCCATGATGAACAGAAAATATATATCAGTGATTGGTTGGGGGGGGGGGGTGCCAAAATACTGTTTGCTTATAGTTGAAAATTACCTAGGGCCGCCTCTGTCCACAGACTACAGGCTGGGAATCACTGGTCTACATCCTACCCAAATATGATTCCACTTTAACTATCAGGGCTCTAATCTGTAGAATTTGGGGATTTGCAGTTTAAGATTCTCAACTGGAAAACTCACCACATTACAAATCCCAGGATTCCATAGGGAATAACTTTCCAATTGTGACACATTAGTGCAGAGCTTCCCAGATATTTCAGGTTGGTGACTCACTTTTTAGATGTGTATTATTTTGCAACACAGTAATACAATTTTTACTAGCAAGCTGGAGGTTAAACCAACCCTTTATAAGCGATATAGACACATGCATGCATTGTAATAATGACTTTTACTTAGGCAATCCCTCGTTGGACAAGTAAGATGGTCTTCCTTGATGACCATTTTTGTGGCTTTGTAGGTGGCTGTGGAGCCCTATTCTTGACCCGCATCTTCTCCCACAGTGAAGGCATTGGTTTCCAGGTGGAAGGCGGTCCCGGTCGGGGTTGGCTTGACGCGCCTTCCTCCTGGCACAGTTTGGGAAGCTATGTTGTTAGTGTGTTGTCTGCAATATATAGGTGTGTCACAGGAACATAACAAGAAATGAGAAAAAACTTGGAAATGTATGTTATTATACTACAAATCAGATAGATAGATAGGTAGATAGATAGATAGGTTTTCATGAGATACATTATGTCTCCATACATTTTGTTATTGCAACATATGTATGTCTCTGTATCTCTTATAAAGGGTCAGTTTAACCTCCAGTTGTGGTAGTAAAACTTTATTACTGTGTTGTGAAATGATGCATGTCTAAAAAGTGTATCACCAACATGAAATGTTTGGAAAGTTCTGCCATAGAGTGTTGCCATTGTAGTTAAAGTTGAATATTACACTATAATTAGATAGTATGACAGGATAAAGAATCTACCTTTGTGTAGATTTTGCCCAGCTAACCCCACAGCCACCAGCTGCAGGGACAGAAACACAAGCTCTGAGGAAGTAACTTAGACCTTATCAACGCATTCCCTTGGCATTGTGTAAAACCGCATGCTTTTAGCGGAATCTCATATTGCTGCTGTATGCACCCATTTTGATTTTGCGAGGTTTCTCACTTCCTCAATGCAAATTGATTTTGGTAAGTGTTCACATTGTTAGGAAAATTCATTTGGATATGGGTGAAGGAAGCAGAAGGAGAGCAGAAATTGATTTCAAGAAAATGTACTGTTGGTCAAGAGTGGTAACAGCCCAACTTGTGTTGGGGAAACAAACAGCCACACCCAAATTGGGTGTGCTGGCTTGTTATAACCTTTTTCTGAAATGTTCACATTAAACAAAGCTTAAGTTTTAATTTTTCTCAAAATCACACGTTATTTCCAATAGGCAGAAATGTACATGGCTTCAGAGTTATATTTTGTTGCTATTCTAACAAGCACTCTATTGTCCATTGTAGTTCAGAGCAAATGTGATAAGACCCTGGGAAACAATTTGTACCAAAAGGGAATGGAGTCTTACTCCTTTCTGTTGCAGGCATCTCATCGGCCGAAGATTGTGTCCTTCAGAGAGTCTGCTTGTTGACAAACTGATTTTCAATTTCAGCATTATTTTGAGACTCTTTTGGGTTCTCTCTTTACCATTTCTCTGGGAGTTTCTAAATACAATTAATCACTGGAAGCAATTCCTAAGCCCCCTCAACATCACTTAATGAATGCCAAAAAATCATCTTTAGAAAGTGTTTTCAGAAACAATTATATGCAATTATATACAACTATATGCTTATGTGTGTGCATAAGAATGGATTAAGTTATATGCATCAGAAGTTTTCTAATGTATGCACTTTTTGTAAACCCTTTCCTCAATATCATGTAGATGTATTTTTCCTTCCAGTAGATGTATTTTTCAGCTATGTTCAGTTTTGTTTATATGCTAAATAAGTTAGAATTTGATTTATATGCTTCTTGATAGAAGAGGAATGAGTTTGAAACGTTAAAATCGGTAATGGCCATCTCCACACACCGTGGTGCTTTTGAAATAGAATGTTTGTACTGTATTCTATATCAATACCAATTGTACTATGCCACATTTATATTCCATTTTGTTTTCCATATACATGTTGTGTTCTATACACCTTAATTCTAATTATAAGCTTAGACTATATATTTTTCATCTGAATCTCTGATTATAATTATTACTATTACTACAAGTTGCTTCTGACACGAAAAAACAAACAAACTACTACTACTACTACTACCACCACCACTACTGTAGAATTTGCTGCCGGAAGAAATCCGACAGCTAAATGAGCTGTCGGAATTTAAAACACATCAGAAGACCCATCTCTTCCAATAGGTCTAGCCAGTCAGCTTTAACTATGAATGTTAAAATCACATTCCATGCTTATTGTGTTTTAACTTTAGTTTCATGTGTTTTAACATGTGTATGTTTTAATATGCTTTTATGAATATATTTTGACTATGTTGTGCCCCGCCTCCAGCCATAAAGAGAGGTGGGTAATAAATAAAAATATATGAATTTTAAACTTGCTTCTTCTGTTCACTATAATTTTTGTTCTGTGTATTTTAATACATGCATTTGTAGAAATACATTTTAATATGTGTATTTTATATAATGTTTATGATGATTATGTGTTTTATCTATGTTGTAACCTGCGTCGAGCCACAAGGAGAGGCAGGTAAGAAATGAAATTATTATTATTATTATTATTATTATTATTATTATTATTATTATATTTTATATACATATATGTGTGTGTATCGTTCATTTGTTTTATATTCTAACTCTGTTTTCTATTTCCTTTGTGAATTAGGTCGTATATTCCTTTAATTTTGCTGTAATTGTTTATTATACCACCATAGTGCACCTTTTTGGCATGGCTATGTAGTGGCAAGAGGAAAGCAAAGGAAACCCCTCTCCACCACCAACTCGAGAGAAAGCCAATGTCTCAGAAGTGGTTGATTACTGTAGTGTGTGGCATCTTCTGAGATTATCATTGCATCTTCTCATAACTTAAAACCAATAGATCCGGTTCTACCATCTGGTTTGCAGAGAATAAATCTGTTCCCGCTTCTCTATGACAGCCCTTGAGATATTTTGTCCTCTCTTCACTGGGCTGAACATTCCTAACTCCCTCAACCTTACTTCATATGTTTTGTTCTCCATACCTCTTCTTCCCCTTGTTGTCCTTCATGAACCTGTTCCAACTTGTATGAATCTTTCTTAGAATGAGGCTTCCCAAACTGAATGCAACACTCCAGATGAGGCCTGACCAGTGCAGAATATAGGGTACTTCCCTTGACTTGGAAAGTATGGCGTTGTTAATGCAAGCAAAAATATTATTTGCCCTCTTTGCATGGCAAAAGATCTAACCGACCACTTCATTGCTATTGAAGGATGTTGCGTGATTATTTAAAATCACTGAAATGATGCATACATTCAGTCTATACTTAATAATATAATAACACTTTATTTATATTCCACCCTAACTCCCTGAGGGGACTCAGAGCAGATTACAGCATATATACAAACACAGGCAAACATTCAATGCCTTGAGAAAATGACACAGAATTTCATAGACAAAGACAAAGGCTTCCCCTTTCAGTTCCAGTGGTGCTCAGCTCCAGCTTTGGGGGAGGTGTTCATCTCCATTTCCAAGCCAAGGAGCCTGCGTTGTCTGTAGACAAATCTTGGTCATATGACCGGCATGATTGCTTGGAGCGCTTGTTTGCCTTCCTGTCACATTCACATGTTTTCGAACTGCTAGGTTGGCAGGAGCTGAGGCTAACAGAGGGAGCTCACCCAGACTCACGGATTTGAACTGCCAGCCTTCAGGTCAGCAAGTTCAGTGGTTCAACCCATTGCACCATCACGGCCCCTTAAGTGCCTTCTGTACAAAGCAATGATGTTCATGTGAAGACTTGAAGGAAATGAATGTGGTCCTACTTTCCTTTCCATATGTTAACTTTAGATGCCTTTTTTCTTTCTTTCCATCTTTTTTTTGACACCTTATTTATTGATTGATTTTTAACAGTAACATTCTAATATACAGTGAAAATAATATATAAAAAGATAAAAATATAATTATTTCATAACAGATCCAGCTAAAAAACCCTACTAAAATTATTAACATCCACAATCCCTTATTGCTACATCATTTGATTTCTTTTTGCTCAAAAACCCCATAAATGGCTTCAAATCTTTTTAAAAGAACATCTTCAGTTGGCTTTGACTTTTCTTTCAAAAACCAAGCCAATTTGGCAATTTTGGTCCACTCCATTCTTCCACTGCTGGTGCTTGAGTCCATTTCCAGGTTTGAGTAAACAATATTCTTGCTTCTATATTGTGGATTGAAGATCTCTTTTTACTCTCCAGTTCAACATTTCTGGTAACATTATAAAATCTACCTTTAATTATTATTAAGATGTAAATTTTAAACCAGCAACTTTTGGCCTTCTTATAAATCCACCACACATAAAAAGGGAGCCATGCACTGGTCTGAAACATTGGGATTAAATATCAACTATACAGGTTTGCTTCTAAATTACTACACAAAGTAAACATTGTGCCTTTGGAGGATATTTTTCCTCACACATCCCAAAAGTTTATCATCTTGACTCGAGGGACACTTGATTTCCAAAACTAGAGGTTGGTATTTATTTATTAAATCTCAGTTTTATTCCAGATTTTCATTCTGGATCTGCTCCCTATCTGAGCACGTTGGATAGTTTCATAATAAAATACTATAACACTATTATTCCATTCAGCTACCTTGACAGCATTCCTACGACGTTGTTCAAAAGCCAAGAAAGTCATTCTGAGTGAAACAGAGCAGGTAGAGAGATGCACAGAAAAAGATAGTCTGGAGAAACCATTGCCAACAGTCACAAGAATCAAGGTACCAGAGCTGAGAAGGAGTGGCATTCACATTGCACATTGCAATCCTCTGTGTTCTAGCATGCCTTTTCTGCACAGAGCAATACTCAAGAACAAGAAGGGCAGACCTGATTGTACTGTTGCTGTTTGTCTCTATGCCCAGAACTCCCCAAATATGTATATCAATGCATGGTTGTGCCCACTGCCTTGTCAGAGACCCCTTCCAGACAGGCCCTATATCCCAGGATCTGATCCCAGGTTTTCTGCTTAAACTGGATTATATGAGTGTGCACTGCCAGATAATCTGGGATAAACAGAAAACTTGGGATCAGATCCTGGGTTATAAGGCCTGTCTGGAAGCGCCCATAGGGAAGCACCACAGAGGCAAATCAGTCTTGGGTTTTATTCCAGATCTCAAAGGCACAATCCAAGATGTAGATCCTTTGGTCTCAGGTAGGTTCAGTATTGTCATGTACTATGTTCTGCAGTTGATGGTGGTTGGCGATGGAAGGTGTGCTGTCACACGCTGGGCCTATAGCAGTTGGCTTTTGAACAGGACGTGCTCTTTGTGCCCAGTGGGAAGCTGGGGTGCCTCGAGTGAGAGGCCCTATACAAAGTCTTTAGAAGCTTGAAAGGTTTAACAAAGTCCTTTATTATTGCTTAAGTCTTCAACAAACAATCAAATACTTCTTAGATCTTCAACAAATTAAACAAATGCTTCAAGGCTTTGAATCAACTGGTGGCTTTCTTAATCTTGTCCACAAGGGACAGGCAACTGGCTTCATGAACTGTTTCTTTTCTTTAAGAGGAAAACCCTTTTTAACCCCTCCTTGGGCAATCTACTTTCTAAACTTTGCTGGTGTGGGCTCTACTCCTGGCTCCAAACTGCTTCTTGGTCCCAAGTAGACCTACCAGTCAAGGCTCTGTAGATTATCCACCCGGAGTCCTTTGGAACTGTTTCCCCCCGGAATTTCCCGCAGATGCTGTGAGAAACGAAGCTTTTCTACAGGTGGAGTTAATCCACATCCTGTAGCTAAGCTTTCCAATGCAAGACTGACCTAAAATGGCTCCCTCTCCTCCCAGAGCCCTAGGGAAAGGGGTGGAACCAAAACTTAACAATGATTGATAGGTCATAGGCCCTATAATTGCAAACCAAGGGAAGCCACCTTATTGCAAAATGCATGGAACTTTGGAATACATGCAAACACTCAAAGAAAGAAAAGGAAGTTGGAGCTTTTGGTACAGCCGTACCAGCACAGAAGGGTTAAAGTAGGTATTAGTTCTAATGGGTTGAGTAATCTGTAAGTAAAAGTTCATGGGTGACAGCAATTAAGGGTGGAGGTATGCAAGAGATAGATTGCAGCTGGGTGCTTCTGGATATAAGGAGCTAGCCTTGGGACTGATCTATCAAGTTATCTATCAAGTTATCTATCAAGTTATCTATGGGGGAAAAGTATTTGTTATATTTTGGTGGTGGATGCTGCTGATTTTCCTCCAGGTCTCTGGATTTTTAGTATCCTGACCTGTCTCCTGAATTCTTAGAATCCTGGAACCTTAAATCTTTCGACTGGCTTTTGACTATGGTAGACACTTGATCCCTGGACTTTGTTTATTGAATTCTCCGTGTTTGACCACTGGATTGGACCTTTTGACTATGGAATTATCTTGAACCTGCAACAGTGTTTTGCTATCGGTTTTTGTATATTCTGGGGCTGAGTGCTATCTTTGTTTTATATTTTGGAATATTGAAACAGCCAGACAGTAAGTGCTGTTTTAATTAAACTGTTTATACAAACTGGGTTTTTGTTTGGTTCATCTCTACCTTAATAAGGCAGAGCCCTGGCAACGTGACAAGTATCCTGGAGAGTAAAATCAGCAACCACACATTTTTATGTGAGTAATTCCCTTTACAGGTAGGAAATACCATTAAAGGGCCTTTCTTCCCAAAGTCTATATGTTCACCAAGCACAACACATTGTCCCCTACTTCTTCTGAGAAGTCTGCTGATCTTAGTTACACCATACAGCAAGAGAAGGCTCAAAAATAGACAGAGTTGAACAGCACTTTACAAACTAAAAAGAATGTTGTGTTCTGTTGTGCTTCTGGAGGAGGAAGAAGACTGTTCTAATTTGGGTTGACTTGGACAGAGCCAGCATAAATAAACTGCAACATGCTTTCGGAAGAAGACCGAGATATATTTCCTAAAGTTTTCTCCCACAAAGGCATAAATCAGAGGGTTGAGGCAACAATGAATCATAGCAATGACTTCTGTCACTTCAAGGGCTAGTCTGAAGTTGCCATCACAATCAACACCCAAGCCACATGAGAAAAATGCACTTTGATAGGTATGTATTAAACTGGTGATGGTATATGGCATCCAAAAGATGAAGTAAACAATCATTATGGCAAAGATTAGCCTGACAGCCTTCCGCTTTCTTTCATTGTGACCCTTCATCAAAACCCATATAATCTGACTGTAGCAGAATATCATTATGGCAAATGGAATGGCTAAGCCCAAGATGAACATCATTAAATTGATAACTTGCTTCCATTCTTCTTCTTTTCCAGGGGGATAGAAAACGTTGCATTTACAACTCTCTACTTCCTTTTGAACATGGGAAAATATCAATGCAGGCACAGAAGCTAATGTTGCTACCACCCAAGTGATAGCACTTGAGAAGGTCCCATAGAAAACTGTTCTGGCTCTCAATGCAAATACGGCATGAACAATTGCCAGGTACCGATCAACTGTCAAAAGGGTGATGAAGAAACTTCCACTGTAGAAGCCGGCACTGAAAACTCCAGAGAGGATTTTGCACATTGCATTACCAAATACCCACTCATTTGTTGCATAATAAATCCAAAATGGGAGTGAAATAATGAAAATCAAGTCAGAGATAGCCAGATTCAGCAAGTAGATATCGCTCATGTTTTTTAGTTTCTTGTATTTGATGAGAATCAGCACAACCAGTGCATTTCCCAGGAGGCCAAATATGAACACCAAAGAGTAAAGTGGTGGCATAAAATAGGAAGAAAATATGTTGACATGAGGATTATAGATTGGTGCTGATAGGTTTTCATAGTCATAATCCGTGGTGACCCCATCTGCCATTCCAGGAGTATTCATCTTCTTTTCTCCTGGGAATGGAAAATGTGTAGATATAATATGTAAGATAACAGTAAAACAAAAAAAATGTACTTTATTAACATGCATAATCTTACAAAGTGCAGCGAAAACAAATACAGAATATTTAGTCTGACAGTGAGGATCAATATATTGCCCAAGAGTCTACATATCAGCAAGAAAGATCAAGGTATTGACCAAAAATGAGAAGAAAATAAAAATGAATTCTCTATAATGCTGCAATTTTCTGTTTGTCCACTACCTTCTCTTCATCAATATCTGCACATGGGAGGTGTATTATTGGATTTAGAGATGGTTTAGAAATTAATACACTAAGTAAGTTTGCACACCACAATAAGCCATGGTTTGCATTAGCCTTAGTTTGTTGGCTGGGCCACAAATTGTTCCATAGTTTATTAAACTGGCAACAAATTTGTTGGGAAACAAGCCAAGAATTAGCTACTGTTATGGATTTAGATGTCAGAAAACAACAACAAAAAACCTGGGTTTGGATTTATGGCTGGTAAAAATAAACATTGGCATATCTGCAGAGATAGGTTTGCATAACAACTTTAAAGTTTTTCTCACTCACATGAAAATAGTCAACCCCATAGTCAAAGGGCCATCCCACCACCAAATTTTTCAGGTAAAAAAAAACAAACCCTAGTTTACTCATGAATTTGAACTGGTTAACCAAATCCCCATGCTATGCCTATGAGAAGCAAAGAAAATAGAATTCATCCAGAACTGCAAGCATTATGTCTACCAAATTTTGATAATTTATTCACATTGTCCATACTTCAAGAAATAAAGCCTGGCTGCTCATTGGAGGGAAGAATAGTAGACGCCAAGATGAAGTACTTGGGCCACATCATGAGAAGAAAGGAAAGCTTAGAGACAGGCCCGTAGCCAGGATTTCGTTTCGGGGGGGGGGGCTGAATTTTTTTCAGGGGGGGTTCGGGGGGGCTGAGTTTCGGGGGGGCTGAGTCTGAGTGAAAGAGGGTCTAGCCTAGCAAACCTTTTGTATCATTACCCCAATACCCCATGCATATGGGATATATTGAGTATGGTGATCAGATCATGATATGAATAAACATAACAGTTTAAATAATGTACCAGTAAGGCCTTTTTGTGAACCACCATGAGAATTTGGGAGGGGGGCTGAAGCCCCTCAAGCCCCCCCCCCCCCCCCCCGCTACGTGCCTGCTCTGTAGAGAAGACAATGACGCTGGGGAAAGTGGAAGGACAAAAGGAAGAGGGGCCGACCAAGGGCAAGATGGATGGATGGCATCCTTGAAGTGACTGGATGACCTTGAAGGAGCTGGGAGTGGTGACAACCGATAAAAAGCTCTGGCGTGGACTGGTCCATGAAGTCACGAAGAGTCGGAAACGACTGAACGAATGAACAACAAATTCACATTGTCATTACTTACCTTTCCACCAATTTACATTGCAAAAGCAGCAATAACCAACATAGTAGAAGTGACCAAGTTTTGATGTTAAAGGTGTTTATTCAACATTTCCAACATAAATATGATGCAATCCACCAAAACTGACATCAGAATCTTGAGGTTAAACTCCACAAGGAAAAAAACACCTTAAATTTAAATACAATTTATAATGTTTCCAGGTATGTAGGTAAAGGTAAAGGTTTTCCCATGACATTAAGTCTAGTTGTGTTCGACTCTGGAGGGGTGATGCTTATCTCCATTTCCAAGCTGAAGAGACAGAGTGGTCCGTAGTCACCTCCTAGGTCATGTGCGGCATGACTGCATGGAGCGCCATTACCTTTCCGCCGGAGCGGTACCTATTGATCTACTCACATTTGCATGTTTTCAAACTGCTAGGTGGGCAGAAGCTGGGGCTGACAGCGGAAGCTCACAGCTCCCCGGATTCGAACCACCGACCTTTTGGTCAGCAAGTTCAGCAGCTCAGCGGTTTAACCCACTGCATCACCAGGAGCCCCCCTCCAGATATATAACTACTATGATATTTTGTGTTTGTTTTAAAAAATTATACTTTAATTTCTCCTAAACTATCAAGTATCTTGAATATCTAGGTACCAGATTAAAGTTATTTTATATAGTTTAAAAATATAATAATATATGCCATAGATCTTGATTTTTAGATATTCCAATTTAAAATGAAAATATATGTATAAGAGATCTTTCAAAATGCTGTATCTCTGATTATAATCAACATTTTCCATGAAATTTGAACACATTATAGATTTTATTATGTAGCTTCATTTGTTTGTTTTTTTTACACCATGGGAAAACAGAAGAATGGAACCAATGGAAGGTGACAGTAATATCTTGTACCCAGTAAAACTCTGTGGAGTAGGGCGGCAATTGCTATTAAAATCTTCACCTGGATCTGATGATCTTCCTATTTCCAAAGGACCTTCTGGGTGGCCAGGCAATCATCGAACTAAAAACATACCCCAACTCCCAAATGTTTTCTGAGTTCCTTTCAGTCCAGGGTTAACACCCAGATAAGAATGAATCATATCAAGAGGCACACAGCATCCTGTGACTTGACTTATTTTCTGTAAGTTTCTGCTTTGGTACTCAAGCTCCACTGACTCAACATCTGCATTGCCTTTATGTCTCAAGTGAACCATATAAAAATTTGGATTACATTGAATGCCTTGTTTTGGAAGCCACCCTGAGTCCCCTTGGGGAGAGAGGGTGGGTTAGAAATAAAATTATTACTATTATTATTATTATTATTATTATTATTATTATTATTATTATATTAATTACAGCTAAAGTGCTGCCTTGGTTAGTAACTTTGTAAATCCCATTGCGGATTACAACTACCACATCTCTCTTTCACAAGTTGAGATGTGGTCTTAAGATTATCTGAAATGGTAACCTATGAATTAAATCACCCAATACACATTTGTGGTCATAAAATGAAAATGCTCTGTGTTCTGAAGCCTGCGGTTTTGCCAGCATTTTTTTTTTAAATCTGTCTTGCTTCAATGCTATGTTGGTCATACTGTGAAGGTTTTTTGGGGAAGTGTAATCCTAAAAGGGAGTCAGTGCGGTGTAGTGGTTTGTGCTTTGGACTGAAGAGTACAGTGCAAATCTCCACTCAGCCATGGAAACCCACTGGGTGACCTTGGGCAAGTCACACTGTCAGCCTTAGAGGAAGGCAAAAGCAAACCCCCTTTGGATCAATCTTTGCCTTAGGGTTGCCATATATTGAAAACCATTTTAAGGCACAAAATAACAACAGGAAGAGATATTGTAGGTTTTTTCAGGCTACATGGCCATTATTTTTTAAATTTAAACTATTACATTTGGCCCGGCCATTGGTTTTTAAATGCTTGTGTGTTACTGTTTACTGTTTATTGTTTATTTTTTGTTTATGTGATTCATATTAATTGTATTGTATTGATTGTTTTTGTTATTCCTTTTGTTTATTGATGTACTGTGGGCTTGGCCTCATGTAAGCCGCACTGAGTCGCTTGCGGAGATGGTAGGGGGGTAAAAATAAAGTATTATTATTATTATTATTCTAGAGGCATTCTCTCCTGCATCTATGGCAAGCATCCTCAGAAGTAGTGAGGTCAGTTGGAACTAGGAAAAGGGGTTTATATATCTGTGGAATGACCAGGGTGGGACAAAGGACTCTTGTCTGTTGGAGCTAGGTTTGAATGTTTCAACTGACCACCTTGATTAGCATTTGATGGTCTGGCAGTGCCTGGGGCAATCTTTTGTTGAGAGGTGATGCTATGCTTGCCATCAGAGGCGGCCCTAGGTAATTTTCAATGGTAAGCAAACAGTATTTTGGTGCTCCCCCAAACCAATCACTGATATATATATTTTCTGTTCGTTGTGGGAGTTCTGTGTGCCATATTCGGTTCAATTCCATCATTGGTGGAGTTCAGAATGCTCTTTGATTGTAGGTGAACTATACATCCCAGTAACTACAACTTGCATATGTCAAGGTCTATTTTCCCCCAAGAGCGCCTCAAGAGCGCCCCCTGGGCAAAATCAACTATACTGCAATTGCTTACTTTGCATAATGGGTTGAGCCGCCCCTGCTTGCCATAGATGCAGGCGAAACGTCAGGAGAGAATGCCTCTAGAACATGGCCATATAGCCCAAACAAAACCTACAACAACCCAGTGATTCTGGCCATGAAAGCCTTCGACAATAACAAAAAGAGAGTCTTAAAAACTATTTTCCCTAGCTCTAACATGTTTAATATGCAGAAGGAGAGTTTGAACTTGTCTACCTTAAATTCACATTTGTCTTCTCAATCTTCTTTACAAACAAGGGGAACTCTTGCCCCTTTTTGTCTCCCAGTTTAGCACCCATTTCCCAACATCTCTTTTAATCAATGCCCCAATTCCTGCACTTTTCCCAGCAAGGGATAAGGAGTGCATTTACACTGAAGAATTGGTGCTGCTTGACACCATTGTAACTGCCAGGGTTCAATGCTATGAAATGCTATGGGAATTGTCATTTGGTGAAGCACTGCACTTTTTGGCAAAGAAGGCTAAAAGTCTTGCAAAATTATAGCCCCCATTATTCCTTTTTTATTTTTTTTATTTTTAATAAATGATATTAAAGGTGTTAAAATAAAAAGATATCGGGGGGGGGGGGCATGGAAAGAGGTGGAATATTGTGAAGGAGATAGAAAAGTAGGAAAGGATAGAAACCTATTCCAAAGCAATGAGAGTGAAAATGATGTCAAATAGCGGGGCAGATGCACTTAGTACCAGAAATGGAGAAACTCACTACTAGCCATGATTTTCAATGCCGTGCCCTACTCCTTCTCCAAAATAATGACCCACATTTTATGTCTCTGGCATGTTCTCAGTCAGAAAGTAGAGACAAAAGTAATTTGGGGATTGGCCTTCCAAAGAGGGAGTATGTGTATTTCCAGTGTTGGTAGACTGTGGCCCTGAAAGCATGAAATTAGTAGAACTTACTTAAGAATGGGTTGCTGTGAGTTTTCCAGGCTGTATGGCCATGTTCCAGAAGTATTTCCT